AGATCAAGATTCAGAACCAGAGCCAGAGCCAACACCAGTACCAGCCACAGCATCGTAGCAGAACAAATCCGATCGCGGACGGTGCCATTTACCCAAATGAAAATCAGCTGTCCTGATGCCAACGCCGGAGAAGTCGGAGAGGGGATTCCCACTTTTCCTGAGGCGCAAGATATCCCCGTAGATTTGAATTGTTCGTTGGCTTCGAGGCTTGCAAAAGAAGGTGTTTGGGTAAGAGGCCATGTAAATAATGTCGATTCAGATATTTTTCTTGATACTGGGGCTAAATATTCACTAATGGATTTTGATTTTTGGAAGAAAGTTAATTTAGGAAATAGAATTGTCGATTCTCATGTATGTTTGGTTGGAGCCGGAGGTAAAGCACTATCTATCGTTGGTAAGGGTAGAGTATGGCTCGAAATTGGAAATATAAGATTCGATTTGCCTGTTATTATTGTTGAACAATTTAAATTTGATTTGTTGTTAGGTGATGAATTTTTGAGAGAGCAAAATGTCGTTATTGATTATGGTCGTAAGAAGATTAGATTAGGCTGCACTGACGTCTCCTTCGAAAATTTACCGTCTGAATGTATTGCAGTTTTAGGGTCTGTAACAAGTTTACCTGTAGGGACACCTGTGCGTATTAGAGCAAAATTATTTGCAAATCATTGTGGTTTAGCTTTGTTTGGGGAACGGCAATTAGTTAAAACCGATGAGCGAGTTATGTTTGCCCCTGTTGTTACTAAAGCTGATATAAATGATTCTGTTCTGATCGAGTTGGTTAACACCACTCGTAGCGAAGTTTCCCTACAGCCTGGTACTAAGCTTGTGCATTTGCAGCCATTTGTTTCAGAAGTGAACTCTGTCCACGAAGATCAAGCTGATAAAGATGCCTGTGCAGTGCTACCCTTCGAAGACCTGAAAATCAGTCACCTTTCAGACGAGCAACAAGCGAACCTTCTCCATGTCCTGAAGAAACATCACGTATGGCCCAAGTCAAATCAGTTGGGAACAACCCGTCTTGTAGAACACTCAATCGATGTGCAAGAGGCTCAACCTGTCAGACAGCGTCCGTACCGTGTGCCAGAGACAAAGAGACAGCAAATTGCAAAGGAGGTGCAGAAAATGCTTCTTTCCAACATCATACAGCCATCAGCCAGCCCTTGGAGCAGTCCAGTCCTACTGTTGGAGAAACCAAATGGTGAATTCAGATTCTGTGTGGACTACCGGCGACTGAACGAAGCAACTAAGAAAGATGCATATCCTCTCCCTCCAATAGACGAAACGCTTGATGCCCTTGGAAACGCAGCTTGGTTTTCAACCCTTGATCTTCAATCTGGTTTTTGGCAGATTCCTATGAAAATAGCTGACATTGAAAAGACTGCCTTTGCTACTCACAATGGACACTGGGAATTCCGAGTTATGCCCTTTGGCCTTGCTAACGCCCCAGCTACTTTTCAGAGGCTGATGGATTTGGTACTTTCCGGACTTCACTGGACACACTCCCTCGTCTATTTGGACGATGTTATAGTTTTTGCACCCACAGAAGAAGAACACCTCCGAAGACTGGACTTGGTATTGGAAAGAATCTGTAAAGCTGGCCTGACTTTGAAGCCATCGAAGTGTCACTGGATGAAAGAGTCTGTGAAATTCCTTGGTCACATAATCTCTGGAGAAGGCGTAAAAGTGGACCCAGCCAAGATAGACTCGGTACGTAACTTCCCCGTTCCTAAAAATGCAACTGATGTGAGAAGCTTTTTAGGCCTAATATCATATTACAGAAGATTCATTGTCAACTTTGCCAGACGATCGAAAGCACTTGCTGAGTTGACAAAAAAGAAGAGGATTTTCCATTGGACAGAAGAGGCACAGGGATCGTTTGAAGACATGAAGTCGTGTTTAGCAACAGCCCCCATCCTGAGGTGTCCAGACTTCAACCTGCCATTTAAATTGTACACAGACGCCTGTGATTATGGTATCGGTGCAGTGCTTGCTCAAGACACGTCTGATGGAGAAGTTGTAGTTGCCTACGCCAGTCGCTTACTGAAATCATCAGAGCTCAAGTATGCTGTCCTTCAGAAAGAAGCCTTAGGTATCGTATGGAGTTTAAAACACTTTTATCCATATCTGTATGGTCGACATTTCACTGTTGTTACTGATCATAGACCCTTGAGGTGGCTGAAGACCATGAATGCCCCAAACAATTTGTTTGCACGTTGGTTAAGCGAGATTCAGTCCTATGACTTTTACGTCGTTCATCGCCCTGGCAGACTCCATTCAAACGCGGACACCCTCTCGAGGAACCCTCAAAAGGGAGAAAAGAATCTCTTTGAAATCTCATCACAGGACTTCAGTCAAATACAGAGAAAAGCAACTATGCTGGACAATGGATCAGATTTCTGACCCACAACTCAAAACCTGAAGACAAAAATCTGGCAGCAAAATTCGAAAGGGAGAAGGACCAACATTTCATCGGAGAAGATGGGTGCGTTTTTCGGAGATTTCGAGGGAAACAAGGGAGGACGAGAAAGCAGCTCATCGTTCCAAAGACCATGGTTGCACAGTTGCTTGTGAAATTCCACGACAACCCTCTTTCAGGACATCCAGGCTTCTTCAGAACCTACAGAAAGATACAGATGTCCTACTTCTGGCCTACGATGAAGTCTGATATCAAACGCCACGTTAGGCACTGCAAAGATTGTGCACGCTTCAAGTCTACGAAACCAGCCACAAAGACCCCTCTAAAATCGATCGAAACAGAAAGACCTGTTCAGATTGTTGCCATGGATTTCGTGGGACCTTTGCCGAAATCAGATCAAGGAAATCAGTACGCATTGGTGTTAGTAGATCATTTCACAAGGTGGCCTGTGGTGTACCCCGTAGAAGACACAGAAGCAGAGACGGTGGCACGTTCACTTCGCACGTTCATTCATTGTTATGGGTGCCCAGAAGAACTTCTCTCAGACCGAGGTAGTCAATTTACTTCCAAATTGGTGAAGGCATTGTGCAAACAGCTTGGGGTGAAGAACATTTTCACTTGTTCTTTCCGACCATCCACAAATGGCTTGAACGAGCATCTTAACGGGACGCTTTTCAACGCAGTAAAGATCTATGCATCTAAGAGGCCTCCAACATGGGATGAATACCTTGATGCAGTTACATTTGCTTTCAGGACCACTCCCCATTCAGTGACTATGCATACACCAGCATTCTTGATGTACGGGAGAGAAGTAAATTCGCCATTGGACATGAAACCTCCAACACGTTGGTACTCTGAAGACTACATCAAAACAATGCAAAACGAACGACAGCAAGCATACACCCTCGTGAAAGAATTGGTAACAAAAGAACAACTGCGACAGAAGATTCACCATGATCAAGACATCAATGAGCTGAAAGTTAAAGATGGATACAAGGTTTGGTTAAGAAATTTCATCGTGAAAAAAGGCACCTCCAAGAAATTCCATCAACCGTGGATTGGACCGTATGAAGTTGCAAAAGTGATTGGAGAGAACAACTTCGAAATAATAATGCCTGAGAAGAAGACAAGAAAACTCAAGAGAGTGAACATGGAACAGATTAAGATGGCTCAAGAAATTGATGGCAAACCTGAAGATATTGTGAAGGTTTATGACAAATTACGCTCGAGGCTTCCAGGCCAGAGACTGGTTACGCGCTATTTCGTTGAATTTTATGACGGACATACTCAATGGGTCGATCCGCAGTTTGTTCCTGATAATCTTCTGGAAGAATTCAAAGCAAGAAAGTGAACTGGACTTTTATATCGATAAGTACTTTTTAACGTTTCAACATAAGATTAATAGGGTTTTTTATCTTCGATAATAATTCATCTTAGGAGGGAGGTGTGTCACAATTTTCCTAAGTATAGTTAGGCCACTTTGTTAGATACCCCTAGGCCCATTCATTGTTAGGATTTTCTCTATGTTCCTTTTTGCATACCATTAGCTGTGGCATACCACTCGTTCGTACGTCATATGTCTCGCGTCATAGCATTGTCTCATGTTGACGACGCCCCCTTCCATTGCTTATGTTGCAGGTGCGGGATTTTCCCAGCATTGTTTAGGCCTAGTCATAGGTTACTCATTCTCGTCCCTATGTTGTTGTTTTATCATTAGCGTAGTTTTCTATCATTTTTGCATACTTTTGATTTAGATATGTTTACGTTGCATGGCATCATTTAACCTAGCCCTTCCTTTTACTTGTTGTCGGTTAGTTACCATAATCATCGTGTATTGCTAATTTTAGATTCCATTCGTACATATATACAAGTTGTAGTTTAAGTAGAGTTAATTGGATGGAGGCAGGAGAAGCTATTTGAACGAAACTCTGTCACTCGTCGTAAGGCTTTAGGTTCGGTTAGGGCCTAGTATGCTTCGTATGTTTTATTTGTATTAAAGTGTCTGAGTTATAAACACAGCCTTTTTTGGTGTTTTACTCTCTGGGTTTGTGACAAAATCTACACCCACTTCCTGAATTTGATCCAGATATTGAAGTTGGTGCTAGTCTTTCTACAAGATGGCGACAATAGCTTCGTGATTTCGAAACGTATATTTTTGCCAGTGGTATTAGAGATCTTGGACGCAAACGAGCCATTTACTTCATCAAGCAGGTTCCCGAGTCCGCGAAATTTTCAGCCAGATTCCTGATACAGGCGATGGCGCTGATTATGAAATGGCTCGTGATAAACTCACTGCATATTTCGAGCCTCAAACAAACAGTCGGTATGGAGTTTACAAGTTTCGCCAAACTCGCCAGGAACAAGGGCATACTGGAAAAACCAGACTCTATGACCCTAGGACCCCTATGACCCCCTAGGACCATTAACTACGAAGAACAAAAAAGGACCCTTAACTACTACATGATTTGCGGCTCCCCCAGAGCCATGCTTTTTAATGCTATCATGTTGACAGCTTTGGAAGCATTCCGACTTTGGCTCAAACGTTTAACATTGTCATTTGACAATCGTCTGTCTCCTGTCCTTTTATGATTTCCAGGAGGTGAATTCCGCACCGAATTCGCTACGAGTTTGTTTCAAAAGTCCCTTTTGATTTCCACCAGACTGCGAAATTATATTGTGATTTTCCCCAAAACTAAACATTTTTAGGCGCCTATTGCGATATATTTCGCAGCGGTGAAAATAGAACTCTTTTGGAAGTCAAAAATCAAAACTGCCCCCCCCCCTTCGATATCTTCACCAGCGATTTGGCTGCGAAATTCGCTTCGTGGCAATTAACCCGTGCAGTGTGTGCTGTTTGGGCGGAGAAGTTAAAGAAATGCGGAACTTCGGGGAACTTTTTAATGGAAGACTTTTGATTTGGGGTTGTGTAAACGCCTTTTGATATTTTGACTACTTTTTTGCCATGAATTCTATTGCTCTGCAGCTGCACCCTGCTCTGCCAACATTGTCCATTTATTTCATTCTCCCTTCCTTCTAAAGGCCCCCTAAACCCTGGTCTGAGAAACTCTGTTATCGCATGCAGAGTACTTTTTTGAAGGCTAGATGAAATGGTTTTGCTTCTCTTGTCTGGTCAGTTACTTAAAGTGATTTTCGATGCTTGCGTCGATGGTGTTTTTTGTCATTAGTCCGTTAGGATTGGTGTGTGCGTCATCAGTTAAAAGGCATGGATCTGGGTGAGCCGCAAATCATGTACAGTATAATCCGGTTATAACGTACTTTAAGGGACCGGCGGATTTAGTACGTTATATCCGAAGTCCGTTGTAACCGGGGTTTAGAAGAATTTGACTAAAAAACTAAGTTACAAACAAAGTATCTATGGAAACTCGTTTCAAGCGTCCTTCCCGAATGGTATTGCCTTCAGTAATCAAACGCTTAGCAGGTCCTACGACTGGGTCGGAATTTTGTTCTGCTTCCAATTGTTTTTTGAAGTCTTTGGCAGTATGGTTGATTGCATACACCTTATCTTCAAAAATCATATCGAAGTGATCTGTATTAGCTGTAGCTCCAGGTGTCCTTGACAGCGCATCTGCTTTCACATTCAATTTCCCCGGTTGGAATTGGACTGTGTAACTGTATTTTTCGAGTTCTGATAACCATCTTGAAAATTTGCCACGAGGGTCCCTCTGGTTGCGCAGGTGAACTAACGGGTTATGGTCGGAGTTCAAAACAAAATGCGTTCCAGCGAGATAGACATGCCAATTTCGTACACCTGTCAGCAGGGCAAAGGCTTCTTTACTGTGGGTAGACCATTTCTGTTGACATTTTGAAAGCGTGGTGAAAAAATAGGCCACAGGATGGATACTGTTATCATTCTGGACTTGAGAAAGTACGCCTCCTACTGCTACGTCACTTGCATCAACTTCTACAATAAATCGTTCACCACATCGTGGAAAGGCTAGCGTGGGCTCTGAGCATAATTCGTTTTTCAGGGAAATGAAAGCTCTTTCGCAACTCGGGTCCCATTGATACACGATTTGTTTACTGGTGAGTTTATTGAGTGGCTTAGAGATTTCAGCAAAATCTTTTATGAAATTTCGATAGAATCCTGCAAGTCCTAGGAAACGCTTTAAGTCTTTCCTGGTTGTTGGGCGTTCAAAATCACGTATCGCATCGGTGAGACGTTTTTGTGATTTGATACCAGCCATGGACAATTCGTATCCTAAAAATTCCACGCTTTCTTTCGCAAATGCACATTTTGATTGCTTCAATGTGATGCCTGTGTTACGCAATCTGCTGAATACTGCTTCAATGTCCTTTAAATGCTCGTCGAAGGTTCTGCTAAAAATGGCAATATCATCCATGTACGCCAACGTTCGCTCGGCGGGTAGCCCTGAGAGACAAATGTCCATTAATCTTTGATATGATGCTCCTGCATTACATAAACCGTATGGCGTTACATTGAACTCAAACTTTCCTCGTGGAACCGAGAAAGCAGTTTTTTCTTTGTCTTCTTCTTTCAACGCCATAGACCAATAGGCTGATGCTGCATCGAGAGGTTTCCAGTAAACTGCGCCAGCCATTTTATCAATAACGTCCCTTATGTGAGGCAAAGGGTATGTGTCTTTTTTTATCACATCATTTAACTTTCGGAAATCGCAAACAAAACGTGTTGAATTATCTTTTTTCTTAACCAAAACGATAGGACTATTCCAGGGTGATTCAGAAGGTCTTATGATGTCAGTGTCCAGCATGTCGTTGATCTGGGAATTGATTTCTGGTTCTCATGCGGTTGGTACACGGCGTGGTTTTTGATAAATGGGCATTGAGTCATCTGTAATGATTTTGTACGGTACTTTATTATTATCATTCGTTATGTTGATTAGTAGTGGACATTTTAGGACAGTTTAGGACAGTAGAGAACTGGGACCGAGTTTCAGTTATTTTGAGTTAGATCTTCGAGAGCACGAGACAAGATGGCGAATCTTAGAGTTTAGCGATTTGTGTGCGGCACATTTCCGTACATACGTGGCGACCCTGCCAGGACACATACCGGGAGAATCATGGCAAATCCATCAACAGAAACAGCAACAGGAGATGGGCAAAATTTAGGCCCAGAGATTGATATCGAGAAGGAAATAGCGAAGTTGAATTATTATACAGAGCAGACAGATGAGCTCATAGAAATTGGAGACACAGTAGAAATGGAGATAGCAACAAATAGGGTGAAGGTAATCCACAATAAGATAATTGATTTGACAGGGAGAATTGAAGAGATGAAATTAGAACAAGGGGAATCATCTAGGTCAGTTAGGCAGTGGAAAAAGGATGTGAAAGATAAATATACAGGAATGTTAGAGCAAAATGAGAAAATGTTGAGAGCTTTAACACAAATAGAAACTCAAACAAGAGAGGAAGGTCTGAGAAGGGAATTTGAAAGGAAGCAAATTGAGCAGCTAAGGGAAGATAAGAGAATGCTAGAAAGACAAAAGCAATTAGCAGACCATGAAGAGAAAATAAGAAGGGAGAGATACTTACAAGAGAAGTCTTTATGGGAGGAAAGAATGCATGCTGAAAATAAACTTGCAGAGAAAAAGCTAGAAATGGAATGTGGGGCTAAGGCAACCTTTTCAAAACTGCCAGAGCTGAGAGTCACACCATTTAAAGGCACAATAGCTGACTGGATAAGATTTGAAAACATGTTCATAAGTCAAGTTTTAAGTAAGGGGTTTAGTGATGAAGTTAAATTTGGATATTTGTTAGAGATGGTGAATCCTAGAGTAAGGGATAAAATTGCAAATCTAAAACCAGGAAAAGTTGGGCTTGAAACTGCCTGGGAAAGGCTCAAAAAGGAATATGGGCAAAGGAATGCTGTGATAAACACACACATTGATGAAATTGTGAATCTACCTACCATAAAGGGAGTAAATTATGAGAAAATTCAAGAATTTTATGACAAGCTCACAAAGAATTATGATGCCCTGCTGATACTTGATGAAGAAAACATGTTGAGAGGATTTGTGATGACAACATTAAACAAGCTGCCAAATGTCAAGTCTGATTTGGTAAGGCTGGATGATGATTGGGAAAGCTGGGGGATGTCAAAGCTTATTGATAATTTGCAGAAGTGGTTGAAAAGAAACAAAACAAAGGAAATAGGAAAGCCAGTGGAAAAAAGAGAAAAACACTGGTATACAGGTGAAACAAAGGAGAAACACTCAAGAAAATGTATTTATTGTGATCAAGATCATTGGAGTGATAAGTGCAAAACACAGGAAACTATAGAGAGTAGGAGGAGCTTCTTCAGAGAAAATAAGCTATGCTTCAACTGTGGGAAAAAAGGACACAGGGGGGATAAGTGTCTAAGTAGGGGGTGCTACTTTTGTAAGGCTAAACACCACAGCAGCCTATGTGAAAAGCAGAAAGGTGAAAGTGAAAAAGGTTCAATTTTAACAGGATTCACACCTTCTGTGGAGGAAACACTCCCACCAATTTTGCCTGTAAGAATTGATGGAAAGGTTATTTGGGCATTCCTTGACACAGGTTCAGGAAGGAATTTCATTTCTAAGGATGCGTTAATGATGCTCAAATCAAAACCTGAGAGATATGAAACAAAAGATGTAACAACTATCAATGGAACAGCAAGAAAAGCCATGCCAATCTTTCAGATGACCATAGAATCATTAGACAAGAAAGCCAGAGAACATATTGAGGTTGCAGGGGTAGAAATGCATGATTTCACAACAGTCAAAAGGCCAGATTTAAGGAAATTGAAACAGCTGTTTAGACACACCAAAGACAAAGAATTCTACATAACAGCATCAGGGGAACATAAAATTCACATGATTATTGGAGACAAAACATACAGCAAACTGAGAACAGAGACAGTTTTCAAGGGGAATGATGATGAACCAATTGTAGAAGGCACATCATTTGGTTGGATTATTCATGGAGGAGAATTTTCTAGCACAAATTGCATGTTCACCAGAGAGCTTGGAAATGAATATGAGAGATTATACAGCCTTGACATACTTGGGGTTGAAGACAGGGGAGAAGATGACCAATTAGATGTTTACAAAGAGTTCAAAGAGAACATTTCCAGACAAAATGATGGAAGGTATGAAGTTAATGTTCCATGGATACCAGGAAGCAATTTGGCAGAAACAAATGAGATGCAGAGCAGAAAGAGATTGAAAAATGTTGAGCGCAAACTGAGGCATGATGAAAAACTGCAGAAAGAATACACAGAAATTGTTGAGAATCAGTTAAGAGAGGGAGTTGTGGAGAGAGTTCCAAGTGAACCATCTGGAATAGACAGGGAATTTTGTAGAAAAAACTAGCAAACTGCCTAACCTCAAATTTTATTTCACATTCTTACTAAATCGACCATGGAGATTCCAAATCCAAGATGGGCCAAAAAAAATTATCACCGGAAGTTACTGTTTTTGATGACGTCATCAAAAAAATGATAAAAAATCTTTAAAAATCGGCCAAGGACTCGAACTCAACTTTTTTTGCATTTTTGCACTAAATTAATTATGCAGATTTCAAATCTGAGATGAAATGAAAAATATCTTGAACGGAAGTCAAATTTTGTGATGACGTCATCAACTTGGAGAAAATTCACTTTGAACCTTTTTAATTGTTTTCTCGCAACTATCATTGTCAAATATGTTCCATATTCGAATTGCACACATTCAGTGCTTTTAAAAGATGTATTGAATTTCTATTATACTTACTTTTAAACGTTCTTTCATGACGTCATCATCATTTTATGACGTCATCGCCTTTTAAAGGTAATTGAATAACGCGTGAAAGGATGCCTAAAAATCTTTAGCTAGTTAAAAAAGTCATTCAAAATTAAAATTTCGTTGTATAGAAAATGATATGGATCCATTCATCCTTCATCACTGTCTCCTTTGCTGGAACTCCAGAAGAAAATGTAGTTCCACTCATCATCGTCTGCTTTAAGCTGATCACCTCACCATAATTTTTCCCATGGCCTAGTCCTCATTGGTAACGGAATTTTCCTCGATTTCATCACTAGAGCGCTGCAGATCTTGCAGTTTTTTAGCGGAGGGTGTGCGGGGCCCTGCACAAGATGAACATAATTTGTGTGAAAAAATTTTAGAATTATTTTGCTGACTCCAGTATTTTCTACAGATATTCACAGCTTTTTTAACGTTGACGATCGGATATTTTTGTCTTCAAGCCGTTAAGAAACGTTTTTCTCTGTATATCCTCTTCGTGCCATTTCTTATTTATTTATCAAATGTATGTTCAAAATTAGAAGATGTAAAGAAATTTTTTTCCTATAAACCACACTAATACCACCTGTAGGCCAGATCATTCTTTCCATCGTATGTCTAACCAAAGCTTAAACGCAATTTCTCTTACAATCTTTTTTGATAATGTAACCAATAGTAAATGCTCGTGTCAACCAGTATGGATCTGGTTGTAGAGCTTCTGATTATCTGTTTTTCATTGCCTTGCGAATTCTTACTTTTATCTGCACAAGTGTTTCATCACATTTCCCTTTGTATGATTATTTTTGCACAAATTTTATCGCTTTCGTGAGAATGTCTTTGCAGATTTCCTGTCTCATCGTAACTCTCTCGAGCAATTTTTCTTTTCCAGAACACTCCTAAAGCTTTTTAAAATGTTAGCTTTCCTTACAACAACATTACCGGTGTTGTTTCGCAGCCAATAACTGCATGAACAGCCGGTAGATTTTTAGAACTATCTAAACCCAGGTAAGATACGACGTTCCAAAATTAACGTACTTCTCGTTGTCAATCTTTAAGGAATATTTCCTTGAAGGCTTTTCACACAATAAGCAGTAAAAAACTACATTTTTGTCTTTTCGACAACTAATAAATTTTATCGATGAGGAAAGAATGGAATATCAAGTGGATGTCAGCCTCTTCATAGCTGCAATTAAGCAAGTATGTCGTGGAATCTTTGATTATCTTTAAGGTTTGTTATTTATTGGTAAACATGAGTGCTTTCAAAATCAACTGCTTTCCTTCTTAGCCCTGGTAGAGCCTTGAACTAGCTTTAGAAAGTAAGTTTGATACAACAAGAACCAGACCAGATCATACAAAATGTTCTTGACATGTTATCAAGTAGGAACCGAGTTTTGCAATGGGTTATCGCAGAGATAAAGTGTTATACCCGCACTAAACCTATCTTATATTCCATTTCAAGGTTTTTGATGCTGTTAGTGATGCTTGGCAGTCTTCTGCATTACAAAGATCAAGATAATCCAAAGGCTTTACCAGGGCTAAGAAGGAAAGCAGTTAATTTTAAAAGCACTCGTGTTTACCAATAAATAACAAACCTTAAAGATAATCAAAGATTCCACGACATACTTGCTTAATTCCAGCTATGAAGAGGCTGACATCCACTTGACATTCCATTATTTCCTCATCGATAAAATTTATTAGTTGTCGAAAGGACACTAATGTAGTTTTCTGCTCATTGTGTGAAAAGCCTTCAAGGAAATATTCCTTAAAGACTGACAACGAGAAGTACGTTAATTTTGGAACGTCGTATCTTACCTGGGTTTAGATAGTTCCAAAAATCTACCAGCTGTTCATGCAGTTATTGGCCGGTAATGTTGTTGTAAGGAAAGCTAACATTTTAAAAAGCTTTAGGAGTGTTCTGGAAAGGGAAAATTTCTCGAGAGAGTTAGGATGAGACAGGAAATCTGCAAAGACACTCTCACGAAAGCGATAAAATTTGTGCAAAAAATAATCATACAAAGGGAAATGTGATGAAACACTTGTGCAGATAAAAGTAAGAATTCGCAAGGCAATGAAAAAACAGATAATCAGAAGCTCTACAACCAGATCCATACTGGTTGACACAAGCATTTACTATTGGTTACATTATCAAAAGAAGATTGCAAGAGAAATTGCCTTTAAGCTTTGGTTAGACAGACGATGGAAAGAATGATCTGGCCTACAGGTGGTTTTAGTGTGGTTTATAGGAAAAAAATTTCTTTACATATTCTAATTTTGAACATACATTTGATAAATAAATAAGAAATGGCACGAAGAGGATATACAGAGGAAAACGTTTCTTAACGGCTTGCTGACAAAAATATCTGATCTTCAACGTTGAAAAAGCTGTGAATATCTGCAGAAAATACTGGAGTCATCAAAATAATTCAAAAATTTTTTCACACAAATTATGTTCATCTTGTGCAGGGCCCCGCACACCCTCCGCTAAAAAAACTGCAAAATCTGCAGCGCTCTAGTGATGAAATCGAAGAAAATTCCGTACCCAATGAGGACTAGGCCATGGGAAAAGTTATGGTGAGGTGATCAGCTTAAAGCAGACGATGATGAGTGGAACTACATTTTCTTCTGGAGTTCCAGCAAAGGAGACAGTGATGAAGGATGAATGGATCCATATCATTTTCTATACAACAAAATTTTAATTTTGAATGACTTTTTTAACTAGCTAAAGATTTTTAGGCATCCTTTCACGCGTTATTCAATTACCTTTAAAAGGCGATGACGTCATAAAATGATGATGACGTCATGAAAGAACGTTTAAAAGTAAATATAATAGAAATTCAATACATCTTTTAAAAGCACTGAATTTGTTCAATTCGAATATGGAACATATTTGACAATGATAGTTGCGAGAAAACAATTAAAAAGGTTCAAAGTGAATTTTCTCCAAGTTGATGACGTCATCACAAAATTTGACTTCCACTCAAGATATTTTTCATTTCATCTCAGATTTGAAATCTGCATAGTTAATTTAGTGCAAAAATGCAAAAAAAGTTGAGTTCGAGTCCTTGGCCGATTTTTAAAGATTTTTTATCATTTTTTTGATGACGTCATCAAAAACAGTAACTTCCGGTGATAATTTTTTTTGGCCCATCTTGGATTTGGAATCTCTATGGTCGATTTAGTTAGAATGTGAAATAAAATTTGAGGTTAGGCAGCTTGCTAGTTTTTTCTACAAAATTCCCTGTCTATTTCTTAGAGATATTGAAGATACGGGTGCTTACACTTGACAATAAGAGTGGACCCGCCGGGAGTTTGTAGAATGGAGCTTTTTGCAGCATAGCTGGCACAAAGTTCACGTAGTTAATCTTTTATGCAGATTTGCAGATAAACTCTCTCAACTTCTGTCATATTGTAAAAGCCGGACAAAGAAAAGAAAACTAGACTGTCGGAGAATCAGTTTTAACTAAGATAAGGGTTCACACTTTAAGGACGGAGTTCTTGTTCAAGAGCTGGGCTCGTTTCCATAAAATTTTTGCCTGCTCTAGGGTGCTCACTTTAAGGAGGGGGGGGGGGAGCTCATAAAAGTTTATGGTAACTGATGATGGTATCAATTCTCATCGTTGCTTGCCATTTCATGCTGTCATTGTTATTTAAGTGTTAATGCAGTAGTCCACAATTTTGTAAATTTTTTAAAACGACTGCATGATGAACATGCCTCAAAATATTTATAAGTCATGAACATAGTGATGTGTTAGCCTGATAACCAGCCTATTATTCTAAAGGAAGAAGTATATAACTAGAGAGCTAAGTAATATGTTTGCTTCTGTTTTATTACGAGCACAATGCAAATATGCTCGTTTATTAGCCAGTCATGGATTAGGTCTAGTAAATACCCTAAAAATTACCTACCTTATTTTCAAACACGATGAGAGTAATTTGAATTACTTTAACTTGTCATTAAGTTTGATGGTTTTTCACTTAATCTAGCTTTAGAAATATAAAGCCGCTAAATTGAAAGCATTGAATTGTGAAAAACTTTCTTTTTCTTACAAAACATGCCATACAGCTGCAGTTTTTATATTTACTTCATTAATCTTTAGAGTCAGCAATGTTATCGCCATCTTAAAGCTTGAACTCTTTGTAGTTTTTAGCTGCTTATCTTGGCAAAAGACTTCGCTAGAACATCTTTTGAATTTCAGTCTAAAACAAATCCCATTTGACTTACTTTCCGCCTGAAGGTTCTTCCTTTCCCCTCTGCCACTTTCCTAACTTATAATAATTTGGTTATGGCTTTGAGAAAAAAAGGAAATATACATCCAGTAGTGAATCGAAATAGAAAAAACAGAAAAATGCAATCACATGGCCGGTACTTTTGTACGTACGCGATTTTGTGGAGTGATTTGCCCATCGCTATGCGGTAAAAGTTGGCTTGCGATATACAATTGTGAGGTATCAAGTGTCAAACTTTTCAACCAATGGTACATTTCATTGTTAAAGCTAAATTGGCACGTGTCCTAGTCTCCATCAGTTCAATGGATACTTCCTATGGGAATGGCTATCAAGCTCGTTCCGGTTCAAAGCATCGGCACATAATTTGATGTTCTCACTTAGTGGAACATTTGTAACTACTAATATCGAAAGAACACATGCAAGTTTGTCTGTTTGTATGTGTTGCTTTGAGATTTTTTTTTCTTGTCCCGTGTCCAGTGTCCTTGTCCTTCCTCAATATCGACCATACCCTCAATATCGACCGATTCCTATGCTTGGAATTACAGACAGCTTGCAATTCTTGTCACGCTGAATAAAAGTTTGGTCACGGCAGGAACTCAAACCTCTGACCATCGGACTTCAGATCAACTACACTCTGGTGCAAGTCCTTGCTAAACCTCCCTTTTTGTAGAACTTCTGTATGCCAACAATCTGAACTGATTACAATCCATTTTTTCAGACTGATATCCCTGGATTTCCTGCTCTCTGGATTTGCCATGAAGGACCGGGTCATGAAGAATTGGTAAGCTTTTTAATCATATGGTTTGCATGTTACGTTCCAAAGCATATCTTGTTACCGCATAAGCGTGATAAGCGGTAAATTATTGTAATAACTTTGGTTCGTAACTACATGAAAGTCGTGCCCACAAGACAACTTTGACTAGTTGCTTTTCAGTGCCGCACGAATGCTGTTGTAATGTTAAAGTTAACCCTGAAGTAGGATAAGCTATGGATTTTCGTCTGACAAAAGATTTGTGAGTATTCAAATGTTGTTCAGCGGCAGAAACCCTTAAATTTTTATGTCTTTCAAACCTTTTTGTCGCCAAGAATGTGAATTTTGTGAGGGCGAAGGCCATGATTGTGTCAAAAAAAACAAACATTTAATTGATGTTTGCTACAAGAGGTACTTATTGTTTTTGCTCAAATGGTGCTCGATGCACGAAGTAATGCAGGGGTGGGGCATGTAGGGGGGGGGGGGGGAAGTGAAATTGAAATTTAGCATTCAACCCTCATATCACATCTGGATAAAGTTGTTATTCTTGAGTTAGGCCATAAAACTGAAGAGCATCCATCAATGCCATTAAAAGACGCCGAAAAGTTACACATCCGTTTTACGCATCTTTAAAAAAAGGCTTTGAAAGTTTAAGACAAGATTATCAAGCGTAAGAAGAGATCATGCAACAAGTAGCAAAATCTCAGAAGCTCGTGTTTAAATACAAGCTGAATCAAACTAGCAGCAATGGGGGCCGTGCCCCCCCCTCCACTCTTCTGCAGAGCAAAATAATTTTTTAGGCAAAAGTAGAAAGAAACGCAGTCTAACATTTCTGTACGTTTTTGTGCATAATATTTCCTTAAATATGTCTGATTTAGGAAACCGAAGTCTATTTGATAACGGACAAACTTTCAAGCCGAAAACCCACTCCGGAAAATGGTCCTCTGATGGGGTCAGATTTTGTGTTGCGCACGCGCCTTGGGTGCAAAAATGATCACATGACTGAGCCGCGACTGATCGAAACAGATCCAAAAAAAGTTGGAATGATTTCCGGATCAGACCAACACGACTTGATCCGGTCCGCGGATCAATTTCTATAGTGGATTTTTCCTGGCATCAAGAACGTTACAGAAAGAGTGAATATGATTTTAATTAGAAGCGCTTTAGTCCCGAAAATATTTACGATCAGATTTTCCAAAATAGTGCCCCATCTTTTCACGACGGCATTTATTTGAAGTTGATATAGTTTGTTGATATTCATATTTTTATGCTTTGTTGCATAGTTTTGTTTCACTTATTCTCGTCTCCACCTTATTTTGGTTTCGTATTTAATGCAAAAAATTGAATATATTCACTGCACTAAGAGGGTTATTCCTAACCTTTGCAAGATTTTCCTTTGGTCTATATACGTTTCAGATGCAGTTTCTTGCCATTCTAGGAAAAACATATTTTAAAAATTTTTTCTTGCCGCCAAAAATGGTGGCCGCCAATACTAAACCCTTCTAACAATTTTAATATTTTCGCCCCTTCACTTTCAAATAAGTTTCACCGGCCCTGCAAGACAACTGCAGTCTTGTTCGAGTCATTGAAATCAAAGTCACTGGGCTGTAGTGACATCACAATCACTCCGCGATGGAGAAGGTATCAACATCACTCTGCTTTGAAGGTGACATCAAAATCACTCTGCTCTGATGGTGACATCAAAATCACTCTGCTATGATGGTGACATCACAATCACTCCGCGATGGAGAAGGTATCAACATCACTCTGCTCTGATGGTGACATCAGAATCACTCTGCTATGATGGTGACATCAAAATCACTCTGCTCTGATGGTGACATCACAATCACTCCGCGATGGAGAAGGTATCAACATCACTCTGCTCTGATGGTGACATCAGAATCACTCTGCTATGATGGTGACATCAAAATCACTCTGCTATGATGGTGACATCACAATCACTCCGCGATGGAGAAGGTATCAACATCACTCTGCTCTGATGGTGACATCAGAATCACTCTGCTATGATGGTGACATCAAAATCACTCTGCTCTGATGGTGACATCAAAATCACTCTGCTATGATGGTGACATCACAATCACTCCGCGATGGAGAAGGTATCAACATCACTCTGCTCTGATGGTGACATCAGAATCACTCTGCTATGATGGTGACATCAAAATCACTCTGCTCTGATGGTGACATCAAAATCACTCTGCTATGATGGTGACATCACAATCACTCCGCGATGGAGAAGGTATCAACATCACTCTGCTTTGAAGGTGACATCAAAATCACTCTGCTCTGATGGTGACATCAAAATCACTCTGCTATGATGGTGACATCACAATCACTCCGCGATGGAGAAGGTATCAACATCACTCTGCTCTGATGGTGACATCAGAATCACTCTGCTATGATGGTGACATCAAAATCACTCTGCTCTGATGGTGACATCTAAATCACTTTGCTCTGATGGTGACATCAAAATCACTCTGCTATGATGGTGACATCAAAATCACTCTGCTCTGATGGTGACATCAAAATCACTCGGCTCTGATGGTGACATCAAAATCACTCGGCTCTGATGGTGACATCAAAATCACTCTGCTCTGATGGTGACATCAAAATCACTTTGCTTTGAAGGTGACATCAAAATCACTCTGCTCTGATGGTGACATCAAAATCACTTTGCTTTGAAGGTGACATCACAATCACTCTGCTCTGATGGTGACATCAAAATCATTTTGCTCTGAAGCAGAAATCACAATCACTCTGCACTGATGGTGACATCAAAATCACTCTGCACTGATGGTGACATCAAAATCACTCTGCTCTGAAGGTGACATCAGAATCACTCTGCTCTGAAGGTGACATCAAAATCACTCTGCTCTGATGATGACATCAGAATCATTCTGCTCGGAAGGTGATATCACAATTTCTCTGCTCTGAAGGCGACATCAAAATCCCTCTGCTCTGAAGGTGATATCAAATTCACACTGCTCTGATGGTGATATCACAGTTTCTCTGCTCTGAAGGTGACATCAAAATCCCTCTGCTCTGAAGGTGATATCAAATTCACTCTGCTCTGATGGTGATATCACAATTTCTCTGCTGTGAAGGTGACATCAAATTCACTCTGCTCTGAAGGTGACATCAAATTCACTCTGCTCTGAAGGCCATATCGCATTTACTCCGCTATGGAGGAGGCATCAAAGTCACTCTGGGCTCCTTTTCAGTAGGTGCTTGAAAATTTGCACTTTGAAACTTTGCACTGGCTGAAAGGATATCGCGTATGAATAATTAAAAATCGAATCAAAGCACATTCAAACAACAGCTTAACCTCAGACTCTCTCGTCCTGAAAAGCTTGTTCACTCAAAGTTTATTGAAACCATTATATATTTTTTTGAATTGCGCAATTTAGTCTGTTTACGAAAAAGCAAGAAAGAGATCACGGCAGGTTTTTAGTCAACAAAGCATGAAAGTTGGGACGAGTGTGAGCTATAATGACAGCGAACCTATCAGGTCAGTGTAAAAAAACAAGATATCCGTATCATTGAGCTCCAATAGTTTTCCGATAAGGTGTGAACGGGCCCTTTGTCTACAGCAAAGTCGGTGGGGTTACCCTTTGTTGGAAAGTGGTTTCCGGCTAGCTGTATCAGTGCATTCATCAGAATATTTGCTCACACCAGGCCGTTGAAACGAGCTGGTCGACGTGGTACCAGACAGAGGTGTATAAGTGCTTATACAATAAACAGGTTACTTGATTCATAACAGTCTACCACAAACATAACTATTCAAATCAGGAGAGCAGTCGTCAAAGATGTAGCTACGCGTAATTAAACATGAAAACATCATCCTTGGAAGTAATGAAGGCAGTTTTGAAAACATTGCATCGCTGTGTTTGCAACATTGTATGGTCGCGATTATTTAGGTTTGTACGCAGCTTACATAAACTTATTCTTCTTGAATGGTATTTCAATACGCCTGAATATTATCAGAGTATGATGAAATGATTCTTCTTTGTGTGCCATGGAAATGAGACAGGTTGCAGATGGTCTTAGTCAGACTATATACAGTTTCAGGTAATTGATGTTTCACTCATAGTCTAGCTCTGTATTCAGTATCATCTGCTTGGCATCGTCCCACTAAGTTGTTTGCTATGAAACTGCAAAGATATTGTAGGCATTCGAAGTAAGAGCCCCTCTGCCATGAAACGTAATGCTAATCATAATGACTTCCTTGTGATTAAAGGTAATGTGTTCATATAAAAGGACTGCGTATACCCAACTTAATGTCAAGCAACATCAAAATAATGGCCTGTGATTGGTCAGAATTCTTGCAATGCAAAACTGTTCACATGAAAAGCTAACCTTGCAACAGGGTAGATAAACAGAACAACCGTAATCGCTGGGGGTGATGACATGATAAATCACATGTTTCTCAAAACCCCCGCAGAGTTGCTTGCTTTAGCTGGACACATTACCTTTAACCGACTTTTATACTCTAAAGACAAAAAGTACTTAAGCATCATATATTTGCACTTTTTGATGCTCTCTTCAAATTTTAAGGTACCAAAGTCTTATTTTACACAATCTCCAAGAAATTTTTCAAGAAATTGAAATTAAAAATTTTTTTTCCAGTAGGGAATGTTGAATTTCCAGCGCCAGATGAAATCTTCGTTTCGCTGCAATTTGAATTCGAGACCTTAACTAGCCACTCTTGAAACCCAATTGAATTTTTCCGGTATCATAAGTGGAGTGAAATACGTAAAAACATAATTGTGTTTAATTCTGAAACTTGTATTGTGCTGGAAATGCTGTGTATTTTTAATGTACCAATTTTTAAGAAGCTTTGCAATATGCTGGTAAATACGTTTCCTGATTTTTTACCGCATTTTGGTGCCAAACGTTTCTTAGAATGGAAGGTACTCAATACAAATTCCTTCTACTAACTTTATGAATACTTAACAAAAGTTATTGCAAAATAAATCTATGTGCAAAGACCGCAATCAGCCTTGATTTAATGGTTATTCTGAGGAAGGTTTTAATGGCTTTAGGAAACTTTTGGAAGACTTTTTCAAAACTCTGGAAAAACGTTGGTAAGAATGTTCAGAGTCAGGATATCAAAATATTATTTCGTTTTTGAATCTCGTTTCGTGCTATGCACTTTGGGTTTTGCTAGGATTACCCAAGTTCAGTTGGTTTTTATTCAATGCAATCATGTGCTAATTTTTGTCTCTTTTTCCTTAGGTTCTGGATTCTATTGCTTGTCTTTATCAATGTTTTCCACGGTAATTAAAAATTTATTTTGTTTTTCAAGCAAATAAGATATCTTCTACTTAGCAACAGTTTGAGTCGATATCGTATTCTATTGCAGCTCTGGCAATTTTTATCAAGATGAATTTAAAAACTGTTTTCATTCAAAAATCAACTGATATATTACCACAATCAAGTTTGCGTTCAAAGCATTTTCAAATGAGTTTTTTGTTTGTGAACCTTCATGTGCCTTTATTTTGCTGTCAAGAAAATGCTACTCTTATCATTCAATATCAATGTTTTACCTTCTTGACAGGTTTGTGCGATTTTTTTGTTCTTGAACTTGCCGCCAGATTTTTGTGATTTTTGCTGTACTCAAATATGCTTGAAGCAAATTTAAGCAGTTTCAAAAATGCATGAAATGCTAGTATTAAACCATATGGTCATGAACTGGATTTCAGGAAACTTTATTTCGTTTAGATCTTCCAGATTTCTTATTTAAAGGTACCTAGGCCTTTCTGACATCTTAACTCTTATTTCAAACGAATGCTTCATTTACTGAGGCTTGTAAAACTAGAACTATGGTTCGTATGTTTATCCACAGTGGCGAGAGACAGCATTGTGACCCACTGCGCCACAGAAGCAACAATTTAAAAGAATTATTTTCTTCTAATGGATTGACTTGTAAATGAAAATAGTAACATGCATTGCATTTTCTATGTTGGGTATTTTTTTAATTTTACATAGGTCTTGGGAATTTTTTTATACCTTAATAAATTTCAATTTTGCTTCCACTTGTTTCTAAATGGAACCTAGAACTGCTGAGTGCTTTTAAAGGTTTAAATGGATTTTTTATAATTTTTGATTCCAAAGTTCGTCTACTTTTGCATTAAACGCTTTAATTCAACTCGTTTGGTAGGGGTTTCAAAATACCTTATCTCTATTCAACTCACGTATACAGAACTTATCTCTATTTGAGATTGAAACTTTTGGGTAATTATGCTATACGACGACAATAGAAACTTGTTTCACAACCTAACTTTACTGATAATTTCCTAAGTGCACGTGAATCACACAGGAAACTACATGCCATTATGATTCATGCAATAGCTTTGTCTACCGCAACACACGCATACATCTCCAGCACATCTACGACTTACATTGCAAAGGAAATCTAAGCCATTAGTCGAGCACAAAAGTTTCGAGGCAAGCAACAGCAACGTCAAAATAAAAAAGGACATGCCAGATAGGCCTACTGAAATATCAAAGCTTCCCTGAAATTTTTTAAATTTTGGGTTTTTATATCAGAATTAGGAGATTTTAATTAAAATTTGAGATCCTTAATTAGAAAATTGAAATTTTTCAATTAGGATTTTTGAACCTGCACGCTCCTTTTTGTCGGTAAGGCAATTTATTAGGTTTACTAAAGGCACTTTTCAAAAAAGGTTCTTCAACACCTCTAACAGAATAATAGGCAATTCTAATTTCTCGTTGAACGATTCCGCTGCCAATTCAATATTCCAGATTTTCAATAACCATAAACCCGAATTGGTTTAGTTTTTTTTCAATAACCATAAACTTGGAAAGGTGTCAGGCAAAGATGTTGGTTTGGTATTTCTTCAAGAAGACTGCATGCTAGAAAGCGTGTGGCTTTCGTAACTTCCCAAGGACAAGCAAATTTAGAAGTCCATGGCTATTTCCTCTTAAAATTGTTTAAATGCTCCCAAAAGAACTCTATTTAGTCAGGGCCCACGCCACCGGGGGCCAGAGGGGCTATGGCCACACCCTTTCTTGGTAAGAAAAATTGTTTCCAACGAGACCCTGTTTTGAAGCACTAAATTCAAGCTTAACTTTTAGAACTTGGCCCCTCCACCTCAAAATCGAGTCGCTATCGAAATTTAACCCGTCACATGCAATACAAGAGCCACGTCAACAACAGTTAGTTGAGATTTAGCGTTGAACGATTAAAATCAATCTTGAGTTCCTAAAAGGGATGTCTCCCTCAGCTTAAGCCTTGGGGCCTAAGTGCGTGTCCTTCGACGCTATCCTACACTACAAGAGCCACGTAACAACAGTAACATGAATCATTTAAAGATATACTTATCGTGTTAAGCCTGAGATGATCGAAGAGATTTCTCTCTTTCTCGGATGCCACATTTCGTAGAACTCTTGTGTCATCTACACTCTTTTTTATAAGCTAAATTTAACTTCAGGCTGAGGTTTTCAGGCCTCATTTGCCAACAAAGTGGTTGAGACAACCATCATTTGCCTACAAATTTGAAAATTTACCGAAAAAGCACTCACACATGGGTAAAAATCATCGGTTTAAAGATGAAACCTTGCTTAAAATTACATTTAATAGTAGTTCAGCCTCAGCTTATTTTTGATTTGTTATTAACTGTCGACCAATTCTGAGGCTTGTGTTCTTATAAAATTGTTCTTATAAAAAAATGAGTGTAAGAGAAAAAATTGTCTTAGACGCTATTTCATTGAAGCGAACGAAGTCAAAGAAGTTTTCATTTCAAAGGCACCATTAAAATCAATATCTTTAGGGTTTTGATTCTGAAATTATTCACTCTGCAAATTGACCACTGTGTTTTATATTGCGAACCATTTCTTCGAAGCAACGGCATCCTCGACGGAGAAACTTCGGAACCTGACTAAAGGTTATGACAAGAGGTCAAGACCTTTCTCTAAAGGTAACGTTTCGTCTATTTTATTTTCAGTTGATGTCATTTTAGTTCCTAGATAGAGGGTATCAACAAAAAACCTGGAAAAGTGTTCTAAATGCTGTTTTAAAGTTTTGCCATGTGAATTATATCTTTTAAAATTTTAGCTTTTTTATTCTAACAGGTGGCCCTACTAACGTCTCTGTTCAGATCGCAATGATTGCATTGGGACCAATCAGTGAAAAAACATTGGTTAGTACTAAATTGGAAAAATTAGCTTACAAACAACTAATAAAACAGGAACGTAGCTTAAAAGGCCACAAGCATTGAAGTTCGTTTCTCATAGAATCTTCCCGACTGGACAGAATCCTGATAACGAGGCAAGAAAATAGTCAATATTCAAACATCAATAATACCAGAAAACGAGGCTAATGACAAGCCTGTACATCATGAAAAAAACTTTGGTTCAACTTTTTCAGCTAGCAATGTATTTATGTTTGAAAGATTTTGTTCAACAAATATTTTTGACAATTGCAATTATTTTTGATGGGCTCTATATCTAAATTCCGTCATTCTGTTTTAATGTTTGTGCATCGTTATTCCACCTAATTTGCACATTTTAAAACTATTGCGTTACCCGTTTTTTGTTTTACTTTTACAGACAATGAAAAGCGATGTATTTATAAGGCAATGGTGGGTCGATGAAAGACTTGAAACTGGAAAGGATCAACTGAATTTTGCTATAGATCCAACGGAGTTTTTCTGGGTGCCGGACACGTTCGTCTCAAATGCAAGGAAAACAGAAAGCCACCAAATGTTCACACAAAGTGTCAAAACACAGATAGGCCCTTATGGCCGAGTTTATGCAAGCAAAAGGTATTTTCTGCATTTTCACAAACATATACTGACAACTAACAGTACGAAAGACATTCAAAAATGATATCTAACAGGAGAGAGCTACCCGCATAACTGTTAGGTTAAAAATGCATTAAGCGAATATTCAACCTCTTCATTTGGGGCTTCATTCTTTAACAGACTGTTGACTCTCAAAAAGAAAAATTCATATTTCAGCTATGATGCTAGTTTTCCCAACAACTGAAAAATATGAAGTTAGATTCAATATTAAGATTCTCTTGAATTTCCATCAATCTTTTAAGCCTGGTAAAAAGCTTCTTTGATTAAGCTCTTTAAAGGAATTACAGAAAACTTACTTAGTAAATGGTTTCCATTGACGGTCTTCCTAGCGATCTGAGTGAATCAAAAGGTATGGTAATGAAGGTCAAAAAAAACAAAGACAATAACAGAATTGAATTATTCTACAATATCAGGCCTTCTATTTAGGACAGTCATTGATCTAAGAGAACATTTGGAGAATACATTACGTACAATTGCTAACAGCAAAAAGACGGGTCTCTTTATTCTCAATCAAAAGCTTTATTCATTTCAGTAAAATGAATTTCCAGGTTACTCATTCCTTTATATTCTATTACAGTGCTTTTTCTTCACATGCAAAAAAGTGTTTTTATTGAAAATAACTTATCGCTCATAACACGCCTCCCCAGCTCCAGGAAATATTCTGCCTTTAAAAGTGCATGGCAAGCATATCTCACCTAGGCCACTTCAGCTTAAGGAGATAAGAGCAGTGCTCTCTAAATACCGAACATGCCTATGTTAAGTAAAAATTACTAAGCTTTAGATAGGAAATACTTACTGATCATTCCTTATCAAAATTGTTGCGAATTATTAGTTTAGTCTTTCTATTTGCGCTTGCTACCTAACACCCAAAGGCAGTTTTAAGGACACTAAGATGCTGTACTTATCAAGCAGTATCTTGGTCCTTCCTCTCTCTGTGACCAGCCCTCGTGATTCCTATACCTGGAGATTTTCCTCAGGTTTGGTCAAATCAGACAATGGCGGAAATTCATTTTTTAAGTGGGGGGGGGGGTAATGCCCACAAAAGCAAGCAAATTTGCCGACAAATGACATAATATTACCGACAAAACCGACATGTTGGCAAAAGCCGTTCGCCCCCCCCCCCCACACCCCCGCAATTTTCGCCACTGAAGTCAGAAGCTCAAACCACAGACCCTTGGACCTGTAGTCAGCACCTTTAGTCACGGAGCTATCTTTGCACTAGCCTTTCTCATATTTCTTGTATCGTTTACAATAACTGATATTCATTACCTGACACTGACAACTTCCACCATTTTATTGATTACTTTCTTATTGTAACCTTTCAACTTCCTTCATGTTACTGCATTTGCTTATTGCTATGTTGCATTATTAACATAAGACTATAGCTCTCTTTCTTCTTCAGGTTCACAATAAATTGTCATTGTAAAATGAACTTGAAGATATTTCCCCACGACATTCAGGAATGCTCCATCGATATAGAAAGTTGTAAGTACTTTGTGATGCTCCTTCTGAGGTTTTTCTTTCAAACTGAGATGAGAACAGGCCTTAAAGTGTCATGAAAAATTAGTTCCATTTTAACTTTGCTAGATGCACTTTATTGTTGATATTGTAATCACCTTTTAAATGAGGCTATGTCCTTCAACATTCTAGGTATCAAACACTGTGCCAAAAGCCGAAAGTGATATTCCTCAATAATTCTTTCTACATTTTCTTTAATCATATCGATACACGGAAAGCCTTAATTCGAGAAGAAGACAAAGAAAATATTTACAAGGTTTTGAAGCAAGATTTTATTTATTTATATAAATATATGAAAGATATAAGTCTTTTTCATTGCTACCATAAGTTACCTCTGAACAGTGTCAACAGAGCTGATCCTCTAGCATTCTGAATAAAAATGAGATTTTTGACGTGGTAAGAAAACTTTTGACGTGGCTAGAAATTTTTCTTCAAAATCTCAACCTAAATGGTATATTAGGCTCTTTAGTCATAATCAAGCCTTATGAAGTAGAAGAGGATTCTTGATAATGTTAGTAGGCCTAGGTATCGAATGCGAAGAACGTTAAACTTCTCCGAAACAAAGATTTGCACTGTTAAGCAACCTTGTTTTATTTCAAAATGATTTGCAACATTATTCTTACTTCAGATGCCTTTAGTGGAAAAGAAATATCATTGTTTTGGAAGGATCCTAATTTTCCCATTGATGCTTCGCCAAAAGACCTTGCTACGTCTGGGTACGAAGTTTTGTCAATCAAAGGAAAACTTGATGTTATGTATTATCTAAAAGGTTAGTATCTATATTCCTAAATGACTCTATTTCTAGTACATGTTTGAACATAGGGTCCCATGTATGAACGTCCTAATATTAAATGACGTATAAAATTGTGGAAAATAAAAAATTTGACGAGCTTCTTCATATTACTTTCACAGTTTCTTTTAGAAAATTGAAACGAACATGGTTCCGGTCCAAAACTGGGTATATATATTTCCTAGCGTAGATTTTCGGTCTATGTTCTGATGTTTTATACTCTGAAGAGTGTCAGATGAAAAGCTTCAGTATACTCAAATTTATGCTCTTTTCAAAGCCATTTTTAAGTTTTATACCATCAAAGGATCGTTTGAACATGGTTCCAGACTCTGAGAGAAGATAGAAAGCATTGTCAAGAAGATTTGACTACTTTCAAAAGATCAAGAATTAAGCTATTGACCATAGTTATTGTACATTTTTGCATTACAAGTAAATGACTAATGTTGTATGATACTCGAAAAAGATACAGGGGGCTAGTCTATGACATAAATTAAAACAGGGTCTTAGTTGGTTTTTTGATAAGGTATAATCGCTTCTTATGAACCGAATACCTTCAGAAGCTGTTGACGCTTGTATTGCTGTAATTAGTTGTTATCATTTTGGAGTTATTGAAACGAACATGGTTCACCTTAAAGAACAATGTGATACTTTGAATATCATCTTTTTCAGCTGAAGGTCTCAAAATTTTCTTATTTTGCAGTGCCATTTCCAAAACTGAGAGCGGTGATTCGAATGAAGAGGTCCTTCCCTTATTTCCTTTACCATGTATACATTCCTGGAGCACTTCTTGTTGGTTTGTCATTCACGACGTTTTTTATCCCGCCAACTGCAGTTCCAGCCAGAGTTACCTTGATTGTTACCAATTTCTTGTCGACCATGTTCATCTTTGGTAGTACAAGCTCGTTAATTCCAAAGGAGCCCTACATTACAGCAATGGAAATTTATTCACTAGTCAACATCGTTTTCATTATCATGGTGATGTTCGAGTACATACTTGTACTGAAAATTAAATCGCTAAAAGGCAAAAAATTGCCTGTAAGTTGCCTTGTATCTGAATTTCTATCTATTCTATCTCTCTTAAATTCGATTTATAAAAAATATTTATAATGTTTCTTATAATTACTTAATTGTGTCTCATGTTATATTAAAGGCTGCATATTTGAATGTGATTTTGCGAGTATTTACCAAGGGCCTATAGGTCATTTCCAATCAAGTTCTTTTAATTCCATTCTTCTTCTAGACCCTTTCTAGACAAAATTTTGCACATGCTGGTACTTTCTTTAATCTAGTACAAGTCCTGTTGCTCACCTTGTGTCCCTTTTGTATCCTCCTGATTGTGGGTTCTTCATAAACTAGGCCGCTTCTTATTGACCCAGATCGTATTTTACAAGGAAGCCACCACCCCCCCTCCTCCCCCGATTTTAAAAGTGAAAGAGAATGTGCCATAAATTATATTATAACTGCGCATGCTCTTGAGAACTTTCACTCGTAAATCTCTCAATCAAGTAAATATATGAATCATTGTGTTTGATTCTGCTTTATTGTTGTCTTTTTTTGTAGAATCCAGCCACTCTATTTCGAAAAAAGGATGAGATAGAAATGCAGCAGCGACATTTAAACGGTAATGATGCAGAACTTCTTCCCGTACGGTCTCAGAAACCCCCTGGCGGCAATATCTTGGACACGTTTGCAAAAGTTCTTTTTCCATTGTCATACATTTTATTTTTGATAGTTTACTTCGTTTCCTGTACCACAAATGAATAGCCAAATTTATGTTTTGAACCCATGATAGAGCATTTGCCAAGTGTGATGAAAATTTCCTTTGTAGTTACGTTAAACGTGTAGCTCTATGTTTCCCTAAATACAAATTGGGTCTACGCCCTCTGTTAAACGCCAAAAATTGGCACTTTGTTACTGGTTTATATTTTGCTAAAAAATTGTTATTTTATTGTTGATCTTAGTTTCTTGTGTTTTTCTTCAAACTCAACTTGTTTTGCAGCAGTTTGGGACTTTATCTATGAAGCTCGATTGATTTACGGTATCCAGTAAGTTTCCTCAAGTTTTCCTTTACGAAAAACAGAACAGCTCCAGGTTTTACAGAAACAAGGTGCAATTCATGTGCCTTGTTACAATGAGCTAACTCGACTTCTATTATTAGCTTTTATGGCTAGACAAATTATCAGTCAAAAATTAGGATTTTAAAGTTACTTTTATGAAATATTTACATATTGTAACCGTATTGTAAAACTGCGCCTTTTGAATCTATGTTTGGTATGGCTACTGTTGACTTTTTTTAAAGAGGAGGAGGGAGTTGTGTAAAAAAGTTGGGTGGAATAGGACTATGCCAGTGATTGGTATATCAATAGAAATAATATAATAACAATACATATTTAAACAGGATAAGCATTTTCAGTACAATAAAGTACTGCTTTCAATAAGGGTCCTGTATGAAAGAATCAATAAGGTTCCTGTATAAAAGAATCAAAAAGGGTCCTGTATGACTCGGTATTAATGTCGATTGGCAATGCAATATTTCATGGAATATTTAAGATCAGGAATTTAGCAAATAGGTTTTCTTTAAAACATATACGTAGGACCGGGAGCACAGGGGACTCGTGCCCCCTTGAAAATAATCCTTAAAAATGCCAGTTTGCAGCTCACGAAGTTGCCCTATTTTGCCAACTACATAACCAATACATTTCCTTGAAATGCTTAATCACTATACGAAATGTAAAATATGGAGTGGGGGTGACATTTTAGAGCCATGATCTAAAATTTTTCCTTGCGATCTGCTTTTGAAAACAGCAAAACTACAAACTCACAACCAGGGCTGCCAAAAGGTGAGGGGCAGGGGCAAATTGCCCTAGGGCCATTAGGATTAACGGGGCCCCTCGGGGTTTCCAGTTTGAGGAAGCAATTAGTAAGACTAACAAAGCTGTTCCTAAAAAATTGTACAAGGTTTTAACCGACTGCAAGAAAATGAATGCAAGAAATATTCTGAAACGTATTTTTAGCTTTACTAAAGATTTTATCATTTATAATTATAATTCATAAAGATCTATAGTGATTCGACGGCACTGCTCGCAACTAAGCCAGAAAATGATATCTATATTATTGTAGCCAGGCCTTTCTCGACCTTTCTGGAATCTTTGTTAGGCTGTCCCTTAAAACAGGTTTTTCTACCTTATACAATCTTATGCCCCTTTAGGCCGATGCCCCCTCCCACTTTGCTAATGCTTCCTACGTCCTTGATTAGAACGTTTTCAGTGAAGAATCTGAATGTCCTCTCTACTGAAGGCATAGCTTGTTTGACTGCTTGCAGTTGCAGTAGTGGAGCCATTTCACCAAAACATCATGATGATAGAAAATATATGACTGACTTTCTTGCCATTGTATTTGCATTATGTTTTGTTCTTTTGAAAGGGTCCCACAGTGGCTTGGCATCTGGGGTAAAAGTAGAGTTTTGCTTGTCAGTGTTGGGGGAGTTTTGCTTTCTGTTGAATAAGTGATCTTCAAACCAGGAAAGTTCGGTGACTTGTATGTCATAGCAACTTAGCTTATTTAGTAGTGTTCCATGATTGACAGTGTTGAAAGCCTTACGATGGACAGTGTCGAATTCTGGTGTTCTTTTCTTTTTCAGCAATTCGTTTCTGATACCAAATCTTCTGAAGCATTCACGTTCTGGTGAAGGTCTTTTCTGCCATTGACTCTTACAATTCTATTTAAGACCAAAACGTCAGGTGGTGGGAAAGAGCATTTTCTTTTTTAAAACCTTTTTATACCCGTTTTCTCCCGTTTTACTGTATACTCTTTTCAAAGAATCATTTGCCGGATTGTTCTTAAGCAAAGCAACCTTTTAATACGTATTCAATTCCAATGAAATATAGAAAATGAAGGATAATAAGAGATCCAGATAGGAAGCTGTGAAGGGGGTTTGGGGAAGCAGCTACATTGTAAAAATCCAAAGTGATTTTTGGGGAATGAGCTCACCTTAATAAGTGAGTAAACTCATTTTTTATAAGAAACAAAGGTCGATAGTGAGTAATCCAGTTTCTTAATGTTCTGGAAATTTCGATACTCATTGTTCAATAAGAGTTTCTTAATTATGAATCATATCATGAATGATGTTATGAAATTTTTGTGACCTTTATTATCACGTCAAATATATCATAGGATTATACTATACAGTTCCCGCAAATGAGCAACTTCCTATCGTTTTTTTGGCCCGGTGAAAAGTGTGAGTGACTTCATATACACAATAGAGAAGACAGAGATCGTGGAAGCAGGGGGGAAGGGGGAGAGGTGAGGCTGAGTAGGCTTTAGCCCCCCCAATAACTTCCATAATGTACTTAAAACCATACAAGAAATAATCCGGCTCTTTTCTAACATGTCTAGCTCCCCAAAACGTTCTAACGCCCTCAATTCTAGAAGTTGCCTAAATCACAACTACATTCCTAATGTTTTAGGACTCTTATCCCTTGACTTACATTCCAGGAAACGAAAATAACAGTTTCGTGAATATTCAAGACAGACTATCTTCGTAACAATTTGTCTGGAGCACAGGCTTAACAATTTGTTACATGGCTGTCACTTACGTACGGGTCGCTAGGAAGGAGCTTCTTCAATTTGGGGTTTTCCCTGTGGTCGTCCTTTGCCCTTTGACCATGATTAGTCTGCGATGTAAAGATGGAAGAAAGGCTATTTGTTGTCTTCTGGGCACTGATTGGACTGACTGAGAAAGGATGGTGAAAAAGAATAACCAAGCATCACAATCGTCTATATGGATAGGGTTTGGGTGAGGTTCGAAACTGCATTAGCGCCACTTTCTTTTTCAATATCGATAAAGGTTGTTTAGAACGCCGAGAATTTGTTTGGGAAAGCATTCAAGTTTGGAAAAAAGCATACAGGTTTATGTAAGTTGAAAATATGCAAGTTGTTTGGTTACTTTTGCATCCTTTATGGTAACTGGGCAATTTGCAAGGGTGTCCTCGCACTTTTGCCAAACAACAGTTGCTCCTTATTCGTCTAAAATGGACGAAAAGATATTGGGTAGGATATGTTTTGTATATATGTATGTGATATTAGTTTCTTTCATGAATTGAAAACTTAGTCATAAAAGTTATTTTGAGTTTTTTTATAAAAGCAAAGTTTGCTTACAGTTATAGGAGTAGATAGTAGTGGAAATTTTTCAATTCTTCGACACATGATTTTTTCTCTGCAACAAGCATTTTTGAATAACCTGAACCATGCGATGAAACCTGTTCTATTCGCCTGTTAAAGACCCCGAAGATGGCATCGCCAGGACATATAATGCTATCTTACCAATGGGATTACCAAAAGGAAGTTCGAAAGATATGCGAGGAGCTAAGAAATTTGGGACTTGAAGTTTGGATGGATTTGGATTCAATGTCTGGAGATATTTTTAACAAAATGGCTGAAGGAGTTGAGGGTGCTGCCATCATTATTATCTGCATGTCAAGCAAATACCAGCTGTCTGACAACTGTAATAAGGAATTCAAATATGCACAAGTAAAAAGAAAGAAAATCCTACCTATTAAAATGGAGAAGGAATTCAATGCAACTGGAGCACTAGGTCTTATCACAGCTGGAAAATTGTACATTGACTTCAGTGATCTGTCAAAGTTTGATGAAAATGTCAAAAGTCTGGAAAGAGAAGTTAGAAGTTTGCTTGGGGAAATTAAAGGTAGTAGAGTTTTTTCATAAGGGGAAGGGCTGGTCTTAATATGAAAGAGTTGGAGCAAGGTAGTGTCGCTCAGGAAAATAAATGTAGCCAAAATAGTCTAATGGGTACAGCCAGGAGCAGAAACATGGTTAATTTTTTTTGGGGGGGGGGGGGAGCCTATTGTTTTGATAAGATGATGTTTTATTTTCTTATTGTTTTAAAATAAAATGTACCATTGTCCTCCCTTTGTGCCCCCTTCCCCCCTCCAGGTGTCTGCCACTGGGCACAGTTTAATTTGAATAATCACTTGAACCTATAGTAATAAACTATTTTTCTAATTGCTTAAGTGGCTATTTAATTACATTAATTTTTGATCATTTTACTTTTACAGTGCAGTTTTTTAATCTCAGCAAAATCTGGTGAAAAATATTGATAGCTTTTGCAAAACAAAGGCAATATAAGAAAATGTAGTATTGAGGCTAATTTTTTGCATTCTGTTATTATTGGTATGATAACAAAAATCATTTTTTAGCCTCACAAGAGCCTGTTGACAGAAATAAAGCAGATATTGGTAAGTTCTTGATATTAAAGTTTTGACAACAACAGTTGAGCAACTTAGATATCAAGGTAAGTGGAGGGTGTGGCAGTGAATTTTTCCACAGTAACAGACAGCAAAAACAGCAGAAAATAAGTGAGTTTTGTGCTGAATGGTGGAAAAATGTTTGGATTGCCATGGGATTGCAGGGGCATGGACAGATCCATAATTAATCCTCATTGCCACACGAGCAAACAATGGGACTGAGGAGCATTGCTCACCGAAAATTTTCTTTTGCTGCACCCTCCAGTTCTTTGGAAACCCTCTTTTTCAGTAAGTAAATGTTACACAGACACTTTTTTATTCTGTAGCTGGTGCTTTGCCAAGATAAGAGAAAAGGTTTTTTATAGGATTTGGAAAAATTTAAGTAAAGCAACTTTCTTGAAGAATGCAGGAGATTTCTGCTTTGATGCATGTAAGTGTGGGAAAAAGATTGAACTATGAAAAGACCCCAAAACACATGAGACTTGGAAAGTTTGAAATTATCTTAGAAAAGAATCAGTATGCCCTTAAATTGATTGCTCCTTAACACTGTTCTTGAAAGTCTATGAGCTATTGAATTTAGGATAAAAGAACTTTAAGTTGCACTCAAAAGATTCCCTTTTTTCTCACTCTTATTTATCATTGTAGTCATATAATTCCAATTTTAGCCCTGTTATTCAGCTTTTATGATCTTTCTTTTTAGCTGTAGCTACAAAGATGTTTCCAGTTTGTGTTGGGCATTCTTCTGAACATGCATGCAGAATAGACAAGACTGAGGCCATTCAATGCCAGCCTGATTTTGTATTTTATGGTAGTGAAACAGGAATTGAAGACATGGTTCCATTTAGTGTAGGGTCAGCTGGTGAGGGTGATAGCTGGAGGCATATAATTGTCCAGGTTTGCAAATATTTGAAGTAAATTTCAATCAATAGAAAATTGTCTATGGTAGCCAGAAGGTGCACCACACCTAAGAAGAAAGTTAAAATTGTAAAGAACAAGGGCCCCGGGCCCCGCAGCAGCGTTGCTGTCAATGACCGTTGTATTGAAGCAAATGGAATCTTTCCGTTTCACTGATAGTTGCACAATTTGGCTCGAGTACCAGAATACTATTGCTTTAGAATTGATAAATTTTCGTTACCATTTGATAAATAGAGGCATGTCAAGGGTAAGAGAAGCAGTAAGAAATTAAAGCGGTTCTTCGAAAGAGCCGTTAAAATAACCGTTAAAAAGAGAAGGGACAGAGAATGAAAGGGATCAAGATAGAAAGTGAAAAAGTAAAAGAAAAAATTAGTGTATGAGAATTGGTAAAGTATAAAGAGATACAAGAGAAAGCGAATATGAAAAATGTAAGAAAAATGAAGTTAAAGAAAGCTAATCGGAAGCATGACAACTACTTGACATTAGTTACACTGCCTTTTCAATTTGAAATTCAGAAAAATGTAAAATAATATAATTTCTCCATATGCATTTATCATAGGGATCCGATGCTGGAAAGCGTGGCTGGACCCACATCTTCACATTTTTTGCGTTCAGTTCCAAGAAGCTTTATACCATTCCGTATGCTGTAGGACACGCAGGAAATGAGAGTGGGGGATGGAAATACTGCGTGGAGGAGAATGTCAAGTCAGACACAGATTATCAGTGGCCAAATAGCTTCAACCTGGATTTCGTTTTCTACTCGTTTCCTGTAAATCCAGAAGACCTTACGCCGATTTTTGTTGGTAGCTTCCCCAACCACAACATTGCCAATATTGATGTGACTTGTGGGGCAGATAAGAATACCAAATTTTCTCATGCATTTTCGTTCCAAGCATTGTCATATGATCCACCTGAGTGTTTTCCTTTTTCTGTGGATAGAAATGGTATGCATACTACTTTTTCTTATATGTTTCTTCTCATTTGTTACGTATAATTTATTCGATTGTACATGGTAAAGCTATAGCCAAGACATGGTTACTGTGGCTTTTGGTACTAGGCTGATGGTTGTCACACTTTGTCACGTTGATAATTTCTTTGCCGCATGAGATTATCAACATACCAATTCCACATCCATCTTGGCAATGTGATAGTAGGTTTGTTTAATCAATTTTCTTTTACACTTGTAAAGCGATAGTCTTAGATATGTTTTTTCTCGGAGTCAAGTCGACCTGCAAAGAGCATTCTTTTTCCCCTTTATCTTTGCTGTCTGACCCCAACAACAAATTGTGGTCAAATCTAAAAGATTTAAAAATATACTGAATAGTCTTCTACATGACCAGCTCTACCTTAAATTAATTTTGAGGATATGTTTTAGAATCATAGTCATGATTACTTGTTTTAAACTTCGAGCTTTGGTTACTGCGGGGGCAACTGAAAACATCATGGTCACAGAGCTGTCCATACTTTCAGGGCTCTATAAAGGCTTCAAACTCGAGCACATTCACGTTTGCAGCGAAGGTATTATTTTTTTCTGCATGCTTGACATTGCAGATTTTAGATTTGCACGCTGCCATTATGCTCTGAATATTTGCAACCTTTGAGAATTTGGCCTATTCGGTTGATACAATCATTCTTTTTAGAAAATATAAGGCACGATGATGACCCAAGATATCGTATACGGGAAGAAATGCAAGAAGAACTTGTCGGGTATGACGATGGCTGGAAAAAGCAGTTATATTTACTTTTTGGATTCAAAAAGATGCAGCCAGGCACAATTCCTATTGCTCTTGGTTACAAGGCATACTCCGGCGGCAGGCAGTTCTGCATCACAAATAATTCGTATACGGTTCCAAAAGACTGGACCCTAGAGGCTGTGTTTTTTGCATACCCATTCGATTCCTCATTGGCTGTTTCGGTTGCGGTTGGCTTTGAGTCGCAATATGGCTGCTCCAGATTAGGGCAAGCCGACCGCCTTCACGAGGCCTACTTTCAACACGACTTCACTTTTTGTGGCTACTCGTATCAGCACTACGGCACGGTTCCGATTTCAATAGGAGAAGCAGGGGCTGAGGATAACCACACCCTTAGAAGTCGCGTAGAATTAGGCAAAGACGCTGGAAATAGAGGCTGGAATCACTGCTTTACTGTTTATGCATTCAAAGAGCGAAAGCCTGGAACGTTTGCCGTGACAGTGAGTCACACCGATTTCAGCTTAGGTGGTTGGAAATACCGGGTGACCAAGGAGGGTAATCAATCTGTGACGTCAGAATGGGTCATTGATTTTGTTTTCTATGCCTATCCACTACCAAACGAACAGATTATTTCTGATTGAATTTCCTGACCATATTATAAATTTCAGCAAAGTTTCCGCCATTGTATGTTATTCAAAGGTAGTTGGTCTCATGCTTTTTTCTCTATAAAACACACGTTGCTTCTTACATTATTCGTAAATGTAATTTTGTATCTTTTTGTCCATTGCGTACTTTTCATGTGTACCGTTTGTTTGCTGTACAACGTATTTATTTTATTTTTGTAAAATACATTTCACTTCAAATGCTGCAAAATGAATTTATATTATTTAGTTATTATTCATATATCAGCGAAAGCTTCTGCTGTTATCATATACAAAGCCACTAGACTTGTGTTTCTCTTTTTGTAACTTTTTCATTTTTTTTCTTTTTTCCAGTTCTGTTTTGCTGTAATTTTGCTAGAGGGAGTAGATTATTCTTTGCATTTTTGGCTTGTTAAGACTGAGATCAAAATTGAAAATCTTGAAAAGGTTTCCGAAACCCCATAAATAAACTCCAACAGGGACTCTGTTAAAAAGTGACAGAAAATAAAAAATCATTTCGCCCATATCTAAAAAGCTTTTTATGATATTTCTATCAACTTTCATCGATTCAAAATTTTATCGTGTAAAGAAGCGTTGTTGTAAAGGGGTTGACTTACATTTTCTTACGATGAAATGTGTGAATGTTTTTTTAAAAAGGACGTGGTCGCATGCTATTGTGTATTCCTCTAGATCCCTTAATATCTCAATTTTTTTCGGGACCTGGCGCCCCCCCCTGCTTTTCACTGGGTACCTTTGACCAGAAACTCACATATGAAGCATACTTCACCCCATGTTTACCATAAAACAAATTTGAAATCCTAAAAAGTGATATTTGATTATTATTTTCCCAATGAAATCAATGAAGAAAGTGAGTAAGCCATCGTTTATTTGTTGAAAATTTTTGAGCCACAAAGAATACACTACCTGAAATAGGTGGCAATAGCCAGGGCAAAAGTAAAGAAAAAATTTCCTCGTTTAGATCTTTAAAGGGTGTTGTCACGAAATTGTAGCTACGGCCCTGCCACTTTTAGGTTAGTTTTTTCTTTTGCCCCCCCCCCGCCCCAAAAAAAATATCGGTCTTTGCTTCAACCTACGTTGAGCCAAGATAGATGCTTCCCAGCAAAGACGCCAAGCTACAAAATGAGATTCGAACCTGACCTTCCTTCATTTTGAACAATAAACTTTGACAGGGAAATTATTTTGACAAACTAAGTAAGTGCCTAAAACCAAATCTTACTTCAGAATATGGTTGTATATCGGTAACTGATTGATTTTCCAGGATTGGCCAAAAAAATATTTCCGGGAAATTTCATGATCGATGACGCCAATAATTGCCTTGGAATTGTCCTATAAACGACGATAACTTTGAAATACGGTGTTTGTGACAATAAAAATGGTCAATATTTTTCAGCTTATACAGGCCTTTCATTTGGTACAATATTTTTTCAATTTTGCTGATGTAAGCATGTTTGTTGATGACGTCATCTTTTTATGTATTGGTTTTTTTTCAATTTGCAGTGTAGGTAGAGTTCCGCACCTTCTGCTTAAAAGTTTTGATGGATTAGATAAGGCATTTGGTATTAGGCACTTGCTTAGTTTGTCACTACAATTTCCCTGTCTATTTTGTAGTCTAATCTCGATGGCTCTTATTCAAGCAGACGATATGATAAAAGGCTACGTTGCCCCTATTATAATGGCTAAGCTACACTATTATAATGTGTAAAAAAAATCATAGAACAGACACGGCGCCAATCGTGGGTCTGCAGCTCCCCAGAACAGACACGACTGGGGCGGTGGGGCTGCAGCTCCCTCCACTTTTTCAGAGATAAAATCTTCTGACCGGCTTTTTTATTATTTTATCATTCTTGATTTTATTTTATTCTATTTACTAACTTATTTATGAATATTTCTATTATTTGTCTATTATTTGCGTACTATGATCAATTCAATAGATAACTTTCTGTATCATTGCAATCTCTGCATTCTGGATGTGTAGACATGGCCTACTAAAAATACTCGAGAGAAAGAACGAGAAAGATGATGCACGTTTCTGTTCAGGAAGTAAATTTCTGTCAATCAATAAAACAGTTTCTTGTTATTCACATCGATGTGCACTCTGAACCAAAGGTCACCTATTTTCTTTCCCCGACGACTTTTACTAGAGTTTCAGCCTGACTCCTTCCTCCCCCTCCCAATTTTTTCCTTAAAAGTCAATAATTTTCTGAGAATCGTCGAACTGTCTTTTCTGAGCGGTAAAGTAATTTTAGTCTGGGAGATGCATTAACCATTTAAGGAGGCTTAATTTCAAAAAATTTCTTTCGCGTCGGACCCGGCCATGGTGGGTCCTTCCATGTCACTAAACTTTTAGCCCCCCCCCCTCCAGTTTCAATTTTGTGGCGCCGTCTCTGTAGAAAATAAGACTGCTTCAGGGCCCCTCAAGCCCCAGTGACTTTCATTGTTTTAAACGATAGGCTATTGTCCTTCTCTTTTTATAAACAAAGGCGTACCCCCGCAGTTAATTTCCCCTTAGAATAGGCTATGCTTGGCTTCGATTACTTCCGTTTTTTATCGTCAGTGTAGTAATATTAAAAAGTTTATTATTGCAAAAATTATGCTGCAAGTGCAGGATAGGTTTTTCATAATGCTTAGATTTGTGACTCCAAAGAACAAGCTACAGACTCCTTCGTTTTGCTCAGTTGACAAACCGACCTTTGCTCGGCTTTGCCCTTCCCCCTAATTTTTCAGTGCCTGCACACTGCACGGGCTCACTTGTGGCTGCTTCCGTACTTCCTTCCGTATTTTTGAATATTTTATCGAATAATTAAACCATCAAACCAAACAATAGAGATCCGTCAGGTTTATTTGTTTGCTTCAACAGAATGAGATCATCTCTTTGTTTTCCAACCAATCAGTTCGAATGAATACATATTGCGAACAGCATATAAATTTGGAAAAGCAATTGAACTCCGTCTCTCATCTGAAGGAAGACATCGAGGAAGTGGCCGCCTTATAAGCAATATAGTAGGACTCCAGTCAAAGGTTTGGAATTGTTATCTGATTGTTTTAAGGACTTTCTATGAGGGGTGCGTACAATATACAAACGAATAATTGATGTAAGAAACTTCTTTAAAGGCTGGAATACACTAGGCATTTAATTGCCGCATTTAGTTGACTAGTGTATTCGCAGAGGTTACCTAATTATTGCCATACATTTTCAAATTATCAACATTCCGGAGTTTCCGTTTTAAAAATTGAACATGTTCAACTTTTGGGAAATAAAATGGCCGGAAGTTCTTTTTGTATTTTCTAATCCTCGTTGATTGCTATTGTTCAGGGTATTGACAAGAGCATTTGAAGGACAGTTTCCAACAGCTCGTTGTCAATTTGTGGACGGTACGAAAACATACCGTACAAATCGTCGTGTTTTAGAGCGAATTTATCAACGCCAACTTTGTTTCTACGATTAACCCACTTCTATCAATGCCATTTCTTATGCACTTTCCCCTTCCTTTACAATTAGAAAAGCGATTACTGCTTCTGCACATTGCAGCCTTCGAGCAGCCTTCATCTTAGTCAAATGTGAATGCGGGGAAGGCGTTTTTCGAAAAACTTTGCCCGCGAAGGGATAAAAGAATTCTTTCGAAAGGCAACATATATTTCACAGCCAAAACGCTACGAGTAAGGGACAATGACGCAAAATGAATCATCGATGAAAGGCATCTTAATTGGAATAAACAACAGGCATTTAGTTGACTGGCAATTAAATGCCTAGTGTATTCCAGCCTTAACAATTTAGTAATGCAGTTATGATGAAGGACACAGCTCAGTGGAGCTATAGTATAGAGCCATGTAGATCTGTGACGTGTAGTATTAATGTATTGAAAACTTTTCAAAGCATAGATGAAAAAATTGTCTTCAGTAGGACTGAGTTCACCAAAAGTGAATGTAAAATGTCATAAATCTGTTGCGTAGATGATGCAAAGCAACTGTGTTTTAACCTTTTGAGGTGCGAGTGCGAACGGTTTCAATTTCAAGCCTAAGCATGCTGTTTTGCTTCGTTAAGCAAAAGTGTCATATTTATACAGCAGGTTGTTTCGCAATCTTACGTCGTTGCTTGGAAATTGTTGTGACAACTAAGCAAGTCTGGCGTTAGAGTATGGTGTTCTATTGATGACTGATTGATTTTCCTAAAGGGCCCAAACTTTTCCGGTGTATAATTTAGTAGATAAAGTTTAGGTGAGCCCTTAACGCTACCATGTGTACACCATTGCTATGCTCTGCTGACTTGCTGTGGCGGAAACCCCTACCCTATTGTCCTCTCTTAAAATTCCTGGAAGGTTTTTTGTTTTCGTGGAAATCTCGTGCGCGGCTTGAAAAGTTCATCCTCTATTTACAATATTTATAGTTAAAGTGACTACTAAGTAACGGCACATGCGTGACATGTGACAGGAGAGTGAGGGGTGGCTTTTGACTGTTTCTTTATTAATTTTTTGAAAACAGAGTATTAACTAAAAGGAGAACAAACTTTTATGTTTTTTAATAATCAATAATCAATGTTTTTCTGATAAACGTCGACTCGTCTTTTCTGAACGGTATAGAATTTTATCAAATTTTATTCTGTGAGATGCATTTTTAGCCATTTTAGAAGGCTTAATATCAGAAATCTACTTGCGCGTTGTACCCAACCATGGTTGGGCCTCCTCTGTCACTAAACTTGATATTTAGCCGCCCCCCCCATGTTCAATTTTTTGGCGCCATGTCTGGTAATTTGTTGCCGTCAATGACAGTGTCAACGAAAGTAAATTCTCGCCAAGACCCCTATATTCTGATAATTTTTCCTTATAAACATCTTCATAAAAAAGCGCTATCCTTCTTGCAACCAGAATCTTTACTGAGCTCATTTTATGTACCAGACAGCCAAACTTGGTTATGTCTATGCTGTCTGTCACATCTCTTTCAAGACAATGATCATTAGTTTGCCTAGTCGATGAGCAGACATTTTTGACCGCAAATTGGTCAACCTAACAACGTAGAAAACGAAACAACTTGCTGGTAGTTTCTCTGTGAGTCCTCTCGTCTACCACGAAATGAAATTGGTTGACTTTCTAGTTGCAGACATCAGAACAACCATGTTAGACCAATGTTGTTTCTACAGACTCAAAGAAAACTCACTGAATAGCACAAAAATATCCGAGAATGTTTTAAGGAAAACTATAGCTTGCCATGCAGATATGGGAAGAAAAATAATTAAACGTTCTTGAAATGCCGAAAGCACTTTGGTGCGGTAGACAATAACATTTGAGGCATTTATTCTTTTTTTATTTGGTTGGTGTGTCCAAAATTAAGGTCGTCAGCGCTCCTCAATTATCGAGTTCGTAAATTTGTTTTTACCTAGTTTAAAAACAGATTTTATCAGTCGTTAGTTGTGGACGAGGGGTTATGTAATCACGTAAAACTACAGTATTTGTAAAAACAGTGGTCACCCCTCAAACAAATGCCTTTCTGCAAAGGACGCCTGTTTGCTTTGACTCAGTGCCTTAAACATCAGCCAGTGGCAGACACCTTGGGGACGAGGGGGGACGACCGCCACTCAATACTTAAGAGGACAATGTTCTTTCTCCTGAAACAATGGGAAATGAGACGTCCGCCCCTGACATCATCATCAGCAGCCAAAAAATATTAGATTGGCACCAAAAACCTCGTGAAAGTATAAACGTCGTTTTGATTCACACTCCATTTGGGATCACTGTTTGGGTCCAAAAACGTTCCATCTAGAACGGGGGTGCGGTCCTAAAAAGTTAGGAGGAGGCTGTGCTGTATGCAACCTTTAGAAGCCACACCCATTACCAAACCCAGAATGATAGGAAATTTATCATTCATGGAAGATCTAGAGCAGAAAAAGATTGCCAACACAGATTGTGCCCATCTAAGGCTGGATGAACCCTCACAGACTAAAGCACGTTCGTACAGGGCATCTTTGTCAAAGGGGGCATCACCAAATCGAAAAACGGGCGAAAAAGGATTTGTAACAAATTTGATATAATTAGTGCAAGTTGATCATAAGGAGGGCTTGGCTTGTACAGTATATTGCACGGGCACGGAAGGAATTAGCAATTATTTTTGGGAGGGGCGGGATGCTGCTTATGAGAAACTTCTTGTTTTATCAATAAATTGGGGAGGTTTTATCGTGTTTTTATTTGAAAAATGATTTTTCACTGCAACCTACATGGTGTATCTGGTCATCACTGTGACCAGATCTCAATTTCGCAATTATGCTGAAATTGTCATAAAACTATGCCAGATTTACAAAATTCGTGCTAGATTTGAAATCGAGGTTCTCTCGTTTGAAAGAGAGGCCAGCGCATGTGCAGAATAGCAAAAAACCCAGAATAGCAAAAAACCCAGAACAACGTTCAACAGATAGAGAATTTAAGTTGAACAGTTTACAAACCAGCACAATCAATTCAAATTAACAAAAACATGATTAGTTCATACAATGTCAATTGCTGAAAATTCTTAGCATTCATCTTCGCTATTTGAATTAAGATCGTCTTTAGGAAAATTAACTAAGATATCCTGCACTCTGGTGTAAATGTTCTGGCTCATTTTTTTTTTCATGGACTTTGTTGGTTCAAAATTGGTGCACTTAATATGAACTCATGTTGATTGGGTGTTAAAAGTTTGCATGCAGATACTTGACATCCACCATTTTCCCAGTTGGCCCGAAACTTATTAACAGAATCATAACATTATTTTAATAATGTAAAAATTATGCCAGAATTATGCTAGATTTCCGATTATGCCAGATTTTATGCTAAATGACGATTTTTGGTCAAAAATATGATTTAAGTATAATATAATGCTGTATCTGGTCACACTGCTGGTCATGAGGTCAACAACCTTAATAGAATGTGACATTGCTGAAACGGGGCATCAAAATCGTTTAGTGCTTAGGGCACGCATAACACTCAATCTGCCCTGCGTCCATCCCCACATGTGAATAAAGTGAGTATTGAATTGAATGATTTAATGAATAGTGCACGAGAAGACAATGTTTGCCGATCAAGCTCAGTATTATCTCATAACGTAGCCAAATATTCTGTTTTCTGTCGATAATATCGATTTTCCAGGTATCATTAAATATTTTTATTGACTGTTTACTTGCAGTTTGAACACGCAAAAGATGATCATACCAATTTGTGTCGGACATAACTCCAGTTGGGCTTCAAGAGTAGGTAGAGGCGAGCATGCAAGCTCCTTGGGGTGCCAACACGACCATTTGTTCTATGCAAGCGATGTACAGCTTCCAGGAACGGTTCCAATTAGCATCGGACACGCAGGAAATGGCGAGGAGTGGAGACACACCGTTGTTCAGGTCAGTCCCACACGCTTACTGATTTCTTTTGGAGACTAGGGCAGATAAATGAGATTCGGGCATGTTTGCTCATACTTCTGAGCCTTTTTCAGTAACGCAATTATTTGTTTCTCAAGTGTAACGTCACAAAAAAGTAATTTTAGAATTCTGGATTTTTGGCAAAATAGCCTGACAGAATGGCATGAAATAGCTCATGAAATTACACCATGAAAGAACACCAAGAGATTGCCTAATCAGCTAAATATGGTGCAGATTTGGTAAGGTAGTTTGGCTTAGTTCATAAAGTTTAGATTAAAAAGTTTCGTTCATAAACCTAATCTTTTACAGATAAAGTAATTCCCGCAGGTGAACTGTCAGTCTGTCAACAACAAAAATTAGCATACATGCGAAAACAGTAGTGGATACTTGGCCTAGTATTGGGGGAACAAGCCTATTGTTTTGATAATATAACGTCACATTTTCCCTTTGTTTTAGAGCAAAAGTCTATTGTTTTCCAAAATATCGGGGAGGGGTTGACCGCCATCCTTCGCTTCTCCAGATGTCCGCCACTGTATAAAAGAATTGCATTCACAACTCCTTTACTGGCGAAATTCTTTTAATGAAAAAATGACTGCCGTTGCGGCCTTAGATTTAGATTCTGTTGAGTTGGATTAGTCGTAATTGTACTAATCTAAAAATTCTCGAAATTGTTTTGAGAATATTAGCTTCTTACTATTGTCTTTATTCATATAATTTTCACATTATAGAGCGCAAACTCTGCTGGGAACGGCTGGACCCACGACTTCACGTTTTACGCCTTCAGCTCGCAGCAACCAGGAACAATTCCCTACGCAGTTGGGCACGCTACATACGAACATGGCTGGAAGTTTAGATTGCAAGAGAACGCAACATACGTAGGTGACCATGGCTGGACACATGGCTTCGTTTTCTATGTCTTTCCAGTCAATCCAGAAGTATTAATGCCTATATCTGTAGGCTCATATTCAGGCCACTGGACTGCCAAAGTTGTCAGTGGTGTATCTGCGAAGGACGACCTTTTTGATCACGTTTTTACGTTTAAAGCATTGGAGCATCAACAACCAGGCACCATTCCATTTGCCGTTGGTTCAGCAGGTGAGTCATTTCGTGGCAAAACCATCAATTCATTTTCAATCCAATTCAACTTAATGGCATATTACCAACTTTAAAGAGGCTGTCGCTTCCTGTATATAAGAAAAGCAAAGAAGATCATGAACCCAGAAGTACTCACACAAGATATTTGAAAAAGCAATAATACTTCAGTTTTCCCCATATTTGGGAAAAAAATTCAAAGTGCTTATGCTTATATAGTGACAATTTTCGTCTCATCACTTGTTCTCGGACGTGTTGAGGACTGGAAAATAGCATTGGAGAGGACGAAATATATTGCAGCTATTGACTTGAAAAAATTTTTCGAGCAAAACGAATTGCCTATGAAGTAGAAAGGAATTCGCAAAAAAATCTTTTGGTGGTGCAAAAATTATAAAGGGCTTTGAAAAAGGCATCCATTTTGAAACATACTTAAGCTTTTTGACTGACACTCTTCAGAGTTTAAAACGTCAAAACATAAATCGAAACTCCAAGCTAGGAAATATTATCCAAGATTATCTGTCTAACAAAAAATAAGATTACTGCAGCTCCTAAGATGATATAAGATGATGGGAAATTCAGTTGATTGTAGCCTTGCAATTTCCCGTACTGAGCCCTTATGCGGGATCTTCATTTTGCCAGTATTTCCGCTTGAATGATTTTGCCTCGGCTGAAAACAGCAAGTAGAAATCTAGCGCCTTCGGCGCTTCTGTATCATTGATTGGTGATAAATTGAACGAAAAAGGGCATACGTCATTTCGTCGCTTCTAGATAGCTAAACAGGACTATTCACGTACACAAAGATTTCTTTGTTTATATCTGAAATCAACCTGCCTTAGGATTCTCTGCATTAGAATTTCAGTTTTTCTGAATTTGGATTCTCTGTTTAGTAGGTTCTCATTAGCCGTAATACTGATGTTATGTTGCTTTCTGTGCAGGTAGTGGCGACCATAGAAGACACCAGCTTTGTAAAGGAACAAATGCCGGTGGCAATGGCTGGAACCACGAGATGGTATTTTATGCCTTTGAAAATCAGAAGCCTGGCACTATTCCGATTGCTGTTGGTCATGCTACCTACTCAGGAGGTTGGAAATTTCGTGTCTCAGAAAACTGTTCCTTTGCAGGGGATAATGGATGGACCCATGACTTTGTCATGTATGCCTACCCAGCCGATACATCACTTCTCATGCAAGTAGCTGTCGGTTGTGACACTGAGCAATGGTGTTCCTGGTTGAAAGCTGGACCCAGAGTTCAAGACCACTATTTTCAGCATACATTTTCATTCTACGGTTTCCGATCTCCGTACCCCGGTACTGTTCCATTATCTGTTGGAGAAGCCGGTGATCCATACTCTCGTTCACTTAGGAGTCGTATTGACCAGGGTACCCATGCTGGCGGTAACGGATGGAACCATGTGCTCACTGTTTATGTGTTCCCGAGCCGCAAGCCAGGAACAGTTCCAATAGCTGTCGGTCATGCAGATTTTCAAAAAGGTGGTTGGAAGTACATGGTGTCTGAAAATTGCCAAAATGCAGGTACCCAAGGATGGCAGCACGATTTTGTTGTCTACGCTTACCCAGGCGGAAAGTGAATATTTCAAAATTGGACTTGCTTAATTCAACAATCAATTAACGTATAATGCAAAACCCTGATCATGACGAAATTTTATCTTTTTTAGAACACAAGAGTTAACTTTTGATTTGACCAAAAATGAATTTATTACTTATTGCAAGTTGTTCTTGTGTTATGTACCAATTCTAATGTGCTTGCTGAATGTCTGGGGTGAGATATTTTGTGAAGGATCAACTATGAAAGGTTATCATCAGGTGCATGAAGGATTGTTATGATCGAAGCATTTTAGTATGACTTGTTACAGTTATTGAAAGTCCATTTTTGTATAGCATAGGTCATTTTAAGTATGATGGTTTTTAAGATGGAAGGGGCAAAGTCTCGGTTAGAGGGATGGATAGATGGTATGGAGTCCCTAAAAATCCCCGCCTTTCTTTCCCATTATTTATCTCAATTTACCTCTCCAACTTCTACTCTCTTGATCCCGCTCAGGCTCTGGTACCCAGGTTGGATGGATAAGTGTAAAGTATTAAGGAGAGTACTGGTAAGTAATGATGGAGAATGGTTATCAGAAATAGGGTGTGGTCGGTGGTGGGAGGTATTCCGAATGGTGTGATAAATGTGGTTCTCGGTGCAATTCAAGGTCTTGCAGCTATCTTGGAGAGCTCGTGGAAACTCAGAATCATAGGGTTGACCTCATTGAACATTCAAATTGAAGTTATATGAACTGAAAAAGTTAAAGGCCGGGTTGTCACGATTATGGAAAAGATGCAGTATCCATAGACAGGAAAATAACCGTAACTAACTAACCGCAGATGTTGTCAAGGCTCTCTAAACTGTTTCATGATGCCAGTATGCCAGAGAATTCAAATCTGCCAAGTACCGTTTCAAATTTTATTTCCGGTCACGTGACAAGACAAAATTTTATTTTACGGTAAAAAAAAATTTAAAGTGATTTTTTTAAAATCTTAGGCAACCATTGAAAAAAACATTTGAAGAAATGAAAAAAATCTATCAAACACCAACCCTGTAACATTTATATTTCAAGAGATTTGGACAGTAAAACTTTCGATAATGACGTCACAAAATATCTAACTTTGCCCAATTCCTAATTCGTGAAACAAATTTTTTTGTTATAAATTGATACACATACTTCAAAGCTCAAATTCACTAACAGAATCAACTGTTGTCTCATCAAAAGAATCAAGCCAGGTCAAGGCACTATCTTGGTCAGACACGGGTGTATAGGATTCAAGTTCTTCTTTATCTTTATCATCTTCGCTCTTGAGGGGTCAGAAATTTTCAACAAATCATGGTGATTTGATAGTTGAAACTACAATCATTCGTGAAGTCAAAATGAGAGAAGGCCCGATTCAAGGTGGGTTCAGCACTAAAGCCCTGGCAATACGACTAAACATTACCCTAAACATTTCACTCAACTTTTGTTTAGTGAAGTTGAGCGAAGTTTAGCGAGGGTGGCAAAACGTGACTAAACCTTTCACTAAACTTCACTCAAATTTTTTGAACAGAGAGCTAGCTACGACGCTGTTGGGTTGTAGGGGATCTTGCATAGGAATTGGCTTTTGGTTTATTTTGTTGCATGCACAAGCAGTAGATAAAAACAAGAATCGGATGAAGCGACGGGGACTTTTTAGCACATTGACAACAAAGTTGACTGTTGAAGAAGACACAGTAGCGTACAACGAGATATGCAGATGTCTCATAAAGGCTTTTTCGGTCACGTAGAGACAGGAAAACCAACGAAAACAGACGAAAACCTTTGGATTTTCACAGCTAGAGCGCCTGCGCGGTAACAACAAATGTTTAATTGGTGGCAAAACGACTAAACATTTGCTAAACAACACTAAACAACGCTAAACATTTTTGACCAGGATCAAATTTTGCTCAACAACATTCAACACGACTAAATAACACTAAACTGGGTGGCAAAACGACTAAACTTTTCACCAAACTTTTAACTAAACAAAAGTTGAGTGAAGTGTTTAGTGAAGTGTTTAGTGAAGTGTTTAGTCGTTTTGCCAGGGCTTATTGTTCACGCTCCTGACACATTTATTAAAACAAGCCATGTTATGGCAACTCAAATCCAAAAATTAAGACAGGTCTAGAAAGACAAAAAAGGAGCCAAAGGTTGTCAATGTGTTGAGAGAGGAGACGCAGGCTTTTGGACTTTTGGTTGGAAAATCAGCCTCGTCAGAAGAAGCACACAGTCACTTCTTGACATCACTTCCACTTGCATTAGTGGCACCTGATGGGTACTTTCGTCAGGGTTCCAAAGCTACTTTCAGAAATTACATCATAGAAGAAGTAGACTGCACTGAAGAAACTCCGAACAAAAAAGGTGACTGGATTTTTGATGGGATGGCGGTTGTAAGATCTGTTCCACCGAAATCAACCTGTAAAGAGAATGCGGATGAGTTATTAAAGTTTTGCACACTTCCAATATCGGCACATCCACAACAAATTATAATTGCCATGGACACCTATGGGCATGGAATGATCAAGCAAGTGAGACAAATTAGAAGAAGCCAGGTAACAAGCGGATTGTTATATCCAGTTCGTCACAAGCAATACCTAAACCCAGCGATTAGCAGGCTTCATCACTTCCTCTGAAAACAGAACCGAGTTAATCACATTTTTGGTCAACTACTATAGGAGCAATAATAACAGCATACCGCTGAAATGTTCTCTCATTATCAACAATCGAGAGGCTACGTGGAGAAGATCGCCAAACTTATGTGAGAAATTGCCTGATTCAAATCACCACGAAGCTGACACAAGAGTTGTCTACCTTGCTTCAGTATCAAATAACAATGTCATTGCTTATGCCACTGACACGGACATACTTGTATTGCTAGTTTTTGCATTTGCCCTCGTAAAACCAACAATCACCTGGCAGATGCGAATCAGCACAGATCGTTACATATGCATACGATCTATTACCTGCCTTTCATTCCATGACGAGATGCGACACAACCTCTTATCCTTTTGGTATTGGAAAGATAAAGCCCTTCAAGAATATGCTTAAGGCCAAGAAGGAAGATCTTTTGCAAGAGCTAGGGACTTCCATAGTATTTACTAATGAACTAGGTGGTGCTATCTGTTGTATACCCCGGAAAAGACAATGAAGACATGGTGCAGACAAGAGTTAGAATTTACGAAGAGTTGAAAGAGAAATAAAGTTCATAATCCTGATCCGAGCTGCAGTTTTGAGCATTTGAAAAGAGCGAATCTACAAAAATGTATATAGAGGCAGTGTATAAACAGAAATATTAATGTTCCAGATGCTGATGGCAATGGCTGGGTTAAAACTGATGAAGGACTAACTCCATTATGGTTCACATGCACGCAACTTCCTCCGTGTTTATCCGCAAAGGTGTCTAAAAAGAGAATTCATGGTAAGGAATATTTGCCAAATTTAGCAATTACGTATTATATTTACTTGTTTTTGAAAATTATTGAAAATATGTTTACTTCGTTTGATGTATTAACGTTTTGTTTTTGATTTTTTTAACATTTATATAATATCATAGATTACCAAGCTGACAATGAGGATTCCGATGAAGTAGATGGTGTTGTACATAGCTCAGCTCGCAAAAGAAAGCGAATACATCGGAGAGTAGCAGAAATTTCTTGCAGCAACCGAGCCGATAAGAGCGAATATGATAAAAATAAAGAAGAACTTGAATCCTATACATCAGTGTCTAACCAAGATAGTGCCTTGGCCTGGCTTGATTCTTTTGATGAGACAACAGTTGATTCTGTTAGTGAATTTGAGCTTTGAAGTATGTGTATCAATTTTTAACAAACAATTTTGTTTTACGCATTAGGAATTGGGCAAAGTTAGATATTTTGTGACGTCATCATCGAAAGTTTAGCGGTTCATATCTCTTAAAATATAAACGTCACAGGGTTGGTGTTTGAAAGATTTTTCCATCTCTTCGGGTGCTTTTTCCAATGGTTGCCTCAGATTTAAAAAAAGGGTTGCCGGGGTAAATTTACAGGGCCCGGGTCTCAAAAAGGGTCCGCAAAAAGTTTTGCTGATGCCATACAATTTTAAACAGGCCGCTTGTTGGACGCTCATTCGTTAACTTTTTTAAGACTTGTTGGTTTGCCAAGTTTATTTTTTGGTTTTTGATTTATTGTTCCATCAACCTTGCCCATACACCACAACTTCTGCCCAATGTCCCGTGTTGTTTATAGCCCTAGGGCCAGAGGTGGCTCTCGACAAATCTGAGTGGCATAGATTAGTGTCAGCAGTGGGACTAGCAGGCATGGAAGTATTTTATGCGGATGTCATCTTGGTTTGCAGGAAAGTCTTCTTGCACCTCTCAATCTCGCTATGGTACCGTCCTTGGTCTTGTATATCTCTAGCCATGAAAAGAAGTTATGACTTAAAGTAATCTAAGATTCAGTTCTATGGTTTATGTGAAACCTGCTTTTCGTCAATCTATCTTCCATGATTTGAATATTTCTCATGATCTCGTTCGGCAAAAACCATCAGCTAACTCGTCGAATTTGCGTAACATCCCATGTTCTGTAGCTTGTTCTCATATGAAATATCTCTGGTCTCCTTAGAAATCTTCCCGCTATAAACGTTTTCCTTATTTTGCTCTTTGCTAGTCCGTTACATACTTTACTAAAAAGCCCCGTTTACCGTGGGCAGTATTAGCTATCTATTATTTACTTGTATTGGTTGTCGTTTGTTCTCAGCATCTTGCGGTGTTTCTTGTTCGACATTTTATCGACTTTTCGCTGCAAGTATTCTACTTGAGTCCCTCAAACAGTTTGCCACCGTGGCTTTCCTGTTATTTACATAAATATTTCCACATCAGTTAGACTGAACCTGTTTCTTGACGCCATCTCACCACAGCCCTCGTTCCTTCTACTTATCTTACCCGGTCTCTCAACACGATGGAATGCACAACGATATGTATCAGTCAAGTAAATTGTTGTGATTCTAGTCTTCTCTATTATCTTACTAAGAGGTGATAAAATCCAAAATCAGATTAAAGATTTGAAATCAGATTTGTTAGACAAGGCGAACAAAGCTGTTACCATGGTATTGTACAAATAGCTTATGGAATCACAAAATCAAGCCAACATGTGAGCATTGGTGATATCCTTTGCCAAACTCAAATAGATCGTGGATCATGATATTAGTAAGAAGCTTTAGATACACCGTATTAGCAAATCCATGGATCCACTTGACTTTCCTAACAACCAGTGAATTAATGTTTAAATCAAAGTTCCTGCATTTTTTCAAAAGCTTCACTTTTACTCTCTTAATTGGCTTTGCTCAAATTTGTTTTGGTTATTTTTTGATAAAGCACATTGTAGGCTGAACGAGCATGGTCAACTAATACCTATAAAAATGGCTTTGAAAAAAGCAAATATTTTGTAACATGTTGGCTAAAAGCTTTTTCGTCTGACACTCCTTAGAAGAACACGATGAAAAATTATACACCCAGTTGTGAATCGAAATAGGCCAGTCAGAAAAACGCAAGCACAAGATCGCCATTGCGTAGACAGAAGGAGTTTTCTCCCTTGGACTGCAGTGGTAATTTTTCTCTAGGCACGCGACACTGATTGGTACCGGTCTTATGATTGCGTTTTTCTGACTCTTATATTTTTATATTTTTACAGACCTTTATTCTGAAGTTTTATTCTCTGAGGAGTATCAGACGAAAAAGCTTCAGCCAATATGTTATAAAACGTTTGCTTTTTTCAAAGCCATTTTCAAGTTTTGTACCGCCAAAATGCTGTTCACCCATAAAAATGATGGTCACCTTTTCTTGATAACAGGTGCTTATCTAACGGAAGGTGTGGCCTGTCAACGACAATCCCTATAAAATAGCAGCTGAATAAGAATAAGAAGATTGCAGCAATTGCATTACAAAACAGTAAATAGGCCTAAAGGCCTAGCAAAAAAGCTTCTCTAAACCGCTTTGTAAGGCCACATCACCATGGAAACATACAAGTACTATTTTGGCTTCGTCTCGTATCAATGTTTTGGAAAGACCTCTGTTTGTTTTGAACATGACGACAAATGACTTCGTGTTAAGGGTTAATAAAACTTCAATCAAGGCTTAAAACTTAATAAAAAACGTAAAAGATTATATATCTGTTTTAGTTATGGTTTACCAAGGAAGGCCAAGGAGTTGGTCGGACCGTTTGTAAATAATTTAAATCCATTCATTGTAGATTTAAAATACAGGTTATTCAACAGATTCTCCGAAAGTAATTTTGAATACAGGATGTTCCTTTGACGTAGAATCTTTTGGGTGACGATAATGACCTAATCGTTCAGCTAAGCTAATTTGACAAATTGTGACAGAAAAGTTAGGCAACATTCCAGGTAAATTAGAAAAGACAGTAGGTCCGGGTTGTCAAACTTGATTGAAAATGGGCCAAAATCCAAAACATACTTTAGGTTTGGGGCCAAACAAGATTCAAACATTTATTGAACACAGTGATATAAAATGATCTCGCGGGCCAAATATAATTAGACGCATGGCCTGATTTGGCCCGCGGGCCTTGAGTTTGACACATGGTCTAGGATGTGATAGTGCAACAGGGTTGGAAAACAAGTCGGTTAAGCAAAAAGAGGTATACGTGATTTTGGAAAGGATAGGTTAGAAGGACCAGCGTTTTCTCTTTAATATCACCCAACCTTAAAATGATTTTAGTATGTAGAAAACACGCATCTTGAAAGTTTATCCTATGTGTAAAATTTGCAAAAAAGAATTTGTTAATCTATGTAGCAAGATGCAAATATCCACAAGAAAGATAGTAGGCCTAATAAGATAACTTTATCGAATATTTGATACAATCTACTGCATAACAACCATTTTAATAAAGCAAATACGTGCTGACTTTTTAGACCTTTCCTAAAGCATAGCAGCTCGCCCTTCTGATAATTAATATAATTTCAAACTATAAAAGCCTTGCACGAACGAACTCCCAGCAACGCTATTCCACCCCTGTCACCGAGCTTCTAATGGCGCTACAGAAAATTTATCGATCGATTAGGCCAACAGTCACACATTGGAGATAGCCTTGGTTGACGTTTTTCTGAAGCAAATTTTTGACGTCATTTTCGCAAAGCTACAGGCTACCAGAAGTGTTGATATCATAATGTATCTTATTGTGCACCTATCTGTGACACTTGTCTCAGACCATTTGAGAAATCGGGTCGGGGAAGACATTTAAGACATAAGATGGTATAGGCAGATGCTTACCATCTCAAAATTGTTTCTTCCCAATGAAATTCTTCCGGTGCTTTCACTCGGTGGGTCCGTCTAGTGACGTATAGCCTTGCGGCCTAAAGAGAAAAATCGAACAAGGAAAGTGTATTGCCTGCAAATGATAAAGGATTGGTGGTTGACAATTAAATTGATCCATGGATTAGTATATAGTTAAAAGTGTTAAGGATAAGCTTGTTGCGAATGCAAGATCAGTCATTGCGTCAGAAGATGACCAGCAAAGATTTCCATCGAAACATTTATTCAAGAAGAGACTGGAAGGAGTTACACCTGTAGAACTGGCGCCTGACGAAGAGCAAGAGATGTAGTTACAGCTGTTAGATGAAGAACGACTAACAAGCCGTTTTGAGGGGAAAAAACCTGCCGAACACGCTGCATGTTAGCTGTTGATAATGTTTAACGTTTTTCTGCTGTGACGCAAGTTCTGACAATGAAGAAAATGTGATTTGCAATGAAAACGCCGTGTGCAATGCATGCCCATCAAGAGTTGATGGGGTCCCATAGAACTTTCATTCAGGAGCGTGTATGAACCGGTATCCGATTTATAATTTGACAATCGCCTTACCAGTAAATGTTGTGAAAGAGTTATTTCTAAGCCGAATGTTATCAAAACGAGCATAATATCAATCATATATCATAACATATTATATCAAACCATATCATTCACGGCCTCGACCGTATTCCTACGCGTAGCCTACGGATTTGGCAATGGGTTTCTGGGGATTACGGCTTCAGCACAAGATGCATCTTGCGTCTTTCAGTGTAAATTGGCAACGGTTTACACGGTATTTAGGATGTTGATGCGTTTTCACATCGGTCCAGCGCAACGTGAAACAGAGAGGGATCAGAAGAACTTGTCATAAAGTTACTTCTTGCAATGTTTCCCTTTTTCTTACAAGCATTCCATTTCACTTTTTGTGCAACGGCACGTTTTGCTATTGCGGTTGCGTCTTGGCGCGTATTGGAATAACTAATGTCCGCAGATTGCGGATATTAGTTGATTTTTGCATGGTTTCGCGGCTCTAGACCCCCTTTAATAGGTCCCTTTTAGAGCCGTTGATGCTGATAAAGCTAGTGTTACACGGTGCAAATGTTTTTGCAACTTGTCTCCCAATGACATTGTCCCGATTGGAACGTGTAACATGCAATTTATATGCAACATGCAATTTCTGTGTCGCACACCGTTCTACTTCAGGCAATGATCTAATTCTACTTCAGGCTGGTGTTTCTGTGGCCATTCCTCTGTATAACATCGATTGTGCAACTTGGTTGCAATGTTAGGTTTGACTATGTTTCTGCATGGTCTCAATTGATGTAAGTTGCAAATTCGTTGTTTCGTGTAACAAATCTTTGGAAGCCTCTTTAAGTACCATTGCGAGACAAGTTTCCAAAAGATTACATTGCGTAACACTAGCTCAAGTGTTCAGAAAATGCTGTCTTAAACAAAGGCAAGTTCTAATGCCATCATTGGCCCAGTTGCTGAAATCGTTTAAAAAATCGGTGGATTGCTGCATCCATAAAATATCAAGATATTTTGCTGAAACAAACGATGTGTTTTTTCCAATAAATACAATTTTTGATCTGCTATGAATCTCGATTTTACTATGACATCTTGTTCGATACTAGCGCCACTGAAATGAGGGCCACTTAAAGATATTCAACAGTCAATCTTTTGAATGGATCCACACCTGTCCCAGTGCGATATCTCTAAAGAAAAAAACATCGGCATATCATCCAATCATTCTAAGAACCTATTGCTTGAGATATTGTTTTTCAAACTTTGACTCCAAAAAATCCATTAATGGTGAGATCAGAAGGTCGGTTTCTTTTGTTGAATTTCACGGAAAATTTTGACTATAATAACGTCCCAAACGAATCCAATATTTCATATTTATGATATTAAGGGTATTAAGCTCTTGCAAAACGACTCAACTTTTCATTCAACATTTCGCTAAACAATGTTGAGTTATGTTCAGTGTTGTTCAGCGTTGTTGAGTATGGGGTGGCCAAGCGACTCAACTTTTCAGTAAACATGTTACTCAACTTTGTTGACTCGACTTTGTTGAGTCGTTTGGCCGGGGCGTTAGATGAGATGATTGAAAAAGCTTTCTGCCGAATTTCGTAATTTAGATAGACATACATTTTGAAATAGCCGCAATATCTTAAGGGCTATGGCGAACAAAAGTACTATGCCACGTAGCTCACTGTCGTTTTAATGACACCCAACGGCGTAAAATTTTTGGTCAACACCCGAAGATACTCTTTTTAAAAGCGTTTTCGAAAACAAGGGTGCCAAATCACTCCCTTACCCTTTTTGGAGTTCTGAATTATGTGTGAATATGAAAAATGGCGATGAATGAGCAAACATCGTTTATGTGATAACACAGCGACTCCATGTTTTAACAATCTACTCTTTTTTCATAAGCAGCTAATTTGGCTCGATGTGCTTATTTTTTGGATAATTTGAGTCTTGAGCATTTTCATTTCAGCATTTACTTTTTTGCAGCTAAATACTATCCAACTTGATTTCAAGACCACTGGATAATAGCTTAAAATATAGCTGATAGAGCAATCCTGTATGAAAAGTATTAGTATTATTATTTTTAATCGTTTTGCATGACTATTTCAGTAGAAATATATACTAGATGATAAACCTTCTTGGTTTTTTTAAGCACAAGAAGAAATTTTTGAATTTGAAAATTGTTTTTGGTCTTGAGCTAGGCATGTTCTTTAGCTATTATTTTCAGAGTTCAAAGAACGCCTTGACCTTCCTCCGAATGAAATTTTGCCCAATTTTAATGGTCAAGCACTGCAAAGATAATGGTCAGGCAGTAAGAAATTTTTTTCTCGAAATTATTATGGATAAGACAGCCATATTTCTTCCAAATATTTGAGTTCATTGAAAACATTTTGATAATAAGCATTCTGTTTTAAAGGGATCTCTTTATATAGAAACTTTTATGAATTGTTTAATCTTTATTTAACTCCTCATTAGTTACGAAATTTTGTTGTCAATGACATGATTCTTTTTAAAAACGGATTAAACCTTTACTTTCTTTTTCGTAACATTCGAAGGTAGCTTCTAAGTGTCCAAGTTGTGTGCTTATCGAGTAGTTTTCTGGTGCCTTCAATCGTTCCATCGCTTTTCTTAAAACCTATTGCCCGTAGATACCCTTCATATCTGTCCCTTTCATTTTATCAATGATAACTTTTTATCATATTTGTGATAAGTGTACGAGGCTTAAATTTTTTGACATTGCTTAAGAGAGTGGGTGGGCGCTTGGAGACTGCAGTTTCTAGAGTTGATACAATCATTATAATCAACAATGAAACACGGAAAAGAGCATTAATATTCACCAAAAAGGTTTACAACCCTCCCTCATCCCAGTATTGCTGTTGGTACACCTCTGTACCCTTTGCATTTCGAAATATTAACTTCTTTCTCTTTGTAATATCTACCTATCATTTCAGGCATGCGTAGATCCTATTAGGTTCTATTTACTATAGACTTTGACAAAATAGCCGTTAAACTGGCTGTTTAGTTGTTGTTAAAACAAAGCAGCACAATAATCAATGTTGCAACCTGCTATGTCGTGTTGATTCATTGATACTGGTCCAATGCTTAGGCAGTTGAATATCGGATTTCTTCAATCAGAAAGCTACGCACCAGTAACTATGCCTTGAAATAGCCATTGATTGCAGTCAGCAGTTTAGCTTTGTCTAATACACAATGTTCTGCTATTTTTGGTGAAAAAGACTCCATATATCCGCTTGCTTATCAATCCTCCATCATATAACTTGCATGCAGGTGGTGAAGAGCCGAGCTATTTACTTTTCATAATCGAATAAAGTAACACCAAAATTTGATGTTGAGCTCGTGAGTTGACGGATACATGAAATTATTCAATGAGACGCAATGAACACAGAACAGATTGCTCTGGGACTTTTGCTACAATTGCTGACCGTATATTGTTCCGTTGGAGCGTCTTTGAACTGTACTCCGTCGATCTGCAAATTGCGTTTTGAGTTAGCTGATGAAATTCATTTGTTGAGAGGATATAGGGGTTGCGAAGATGTGTACAATTTCGACTGTATTTGCAACACAACCGTTGATGTCCAGTTCATCGAGCATCCTCCGTATATTTACATCGATCCTGCAACTAAGAATGTCGTTGGCTTGTTGCCTGGTAAGATATTTTTCTTTGCCTTTCGGTGGGCCTTTTCCTTATCGATATATAAATGCAGCGCATATCATTTGTTATCAGATTGATTCTGAAACTTCTATGCGGAACATTTAACGATAATGTCACTGAGCCTTAATTTATTACCTTTGTGGTAAGCTATACGGCTGTAAAAACGACGAGTAATAGGAAGTATAATCGTTCGTAATTCTGATGAGATTTTGTGATGAGATTTTACTAGTCGAGGGTTAGTGTACTGTTAATTAGGTAATCCATAAAGAAAGACTCTCGCAGCTTTAGTAGAGGATCTAAATTATATCGTTCTAGTCGCATTTCAAAGCTACAAGATTACAACACTTGAATAGGTATAAATTACTTACCGTTTTAAGGTGCAAACGAATCGTGTTTACGAACTTGACCATTGTCAGTCTGTCTAGATTCGGTTAGGGAATCTTTGTATGAAAATAGCACGGAAGAGCGGAAACATATATCATACCGAAGTTCTTTTCGTCCGATACTTAAGCTTCGGATGATGTCTGCAAACGTTTATACAATAAAGAGTTTCAGACAAAAAGTACCTCAGTATGATATGATATGTTTCTGTCTTCCGTGCTATTGAAATTCGCAGTACCAAGGCTCCTTTGGAAAACATTATAAGGGGTTGACGTTGAAACATTGATCAAATAGCCTAACAAAAAATTATTTGCCCAAATACTTCTTGTGTTTACCCTAATGTATCGTTTTAATGTATCCTCTTCAAGGTCTATCTCGTATCTTAGCTCGTTTTTTGCGTTGCTCAAACTTACAAAGAAAAACAACTTCTCTCCAAGAGAATTGGCATGACATAGTACGCTTGCCGAAAGCATGGTTAACCAGTATAGAGGGCAACCAATATATTTTGCAGGGTGGCTGGAATCATCATTTTCTGGGTCGATAATCGGGAATGGACAAATATTTGTGAGCGGTATTTGGAATCGATAACACCTGGAATCAGGAATTGATGGTCTGGAATCGCGAATAGGGCTAAAAACGTAGCGGGAATTCAGGCACCAGGGGATATGTTGGGTACAATCTATACATATTTTTTGAAGCATTCAAAGAGCTTCAATTTTGCTCAGTTACAACCAATACTGTTGGTTAGTTGCACTATTGTCAGTTCTTGTCACATTGCGCTCCAAGGATTTTCGGAATGGGTGGTAGATGCTTAGCTATTTTCCATTTATCGAATTCCTTCCTGGGCACCACAATGCGATTTTCGGATTCATTCATTTCTTGCAAAAGCAGTGACTTTTTTAGAGTTATTTTCAGCGATGAAATCTCCTTGATCAATCATCGTGGAGTTCTCAAAAAGCTTTGTCAAGCAAGCCCTTAACCCCATTTTCTCTTTCATGAAATAAGTCAATGCCTCAAAGAAAAATTTCCTCAAGAAGAGGAACAAAACGGATGAAAAAACAGCCAATTTATGAAGGCTAGTAAAAATATTTCGCCTATCAACATTTCATTTTCTTTTCAAATTTCAAAGTTTACTATGAAGGTGACGAAACAAAGTACCACCAGCTTGAGGAATAGATTTGTGAAAGTGTTTAGCCTACCTATTCAAATGTTTCATTTGCTCCAGACAAGGGGGCGGTTCAAAACAGTCTTATTGGGGAAGGGCTTCTAAAACGTAACTGTAAAACGTAATAGATCTTCATTGGAAAGTAACAATGGGTTTTTCAAGGAAAACTTTTAGGGACGGGCTGTATTATTCACTTGAAACTGAAATTGCTTTTAATGCAGTTTAATGTATTATTTTCGGAAGAACTAAGCTCGCAAAATGTACTAGTGGACAGTTTACAATGGGCTATTTGGGTCGTGAAAATTCTTTATGGTATTGAATCCGTCAACTTCTTTTTCAAAAAGTTACATATATCTTACCACAAAGCATTATGCTTGGGATCAGTGTCATAGACTCAGTCAGTGTTTTCAAAATTGGTTAATTATGTAGCGCAAAGTTAAAAAGTGTAGTCCGGAACCCAGTATACGTTTTTAGTTGAATCTTTTAAAGAGAACTCTTCGAGGATTGTCTTCATAAATTGAAAGGCTTCAGTCAATAGGGATACCAGAATATCCAACCGCAGATGACCCAATATAAATCTACTAAGGTCCTTCTACTTCAAAAACTGCTTAAAGTATTGAAAGAACTTAATTAAACCTTTTCATCAAATATTCAAAATAAATTCTCATGGATTTTTCATGCTTTATTCTAATGAAGTTTAAACTTTAAACAACGAACATCCCCAAACACAAACATAGAATAAACACTCTTTCTTGCACCGTTAAACATGTCATGTGGAAGTATAAACTTGTCGAGTGGAAGTAAAAGCTATTTACGTAAAAGCACAATCCATTGTCGTAATATGTAAACTTTGTTACAGGTGTATCGGGTCTGTAATATTATTTCTTGCTACTATGTAATATATGCTAATATAATGCTGTTTCTTGCTTCTTTTAGTCTAGTTCCTGGTAACTTTTTAATAATGGAATTAGGTTCGCTAATTCTAAAGCTACAATCTTAGAAAGGGCTGTCCAGACAAATCTCTATACAGATGCCTGGTAGCGTTTAGCCTCGACCTACCTCCCCCCATTCAAAGTTGGAGCGTATGTGTTTTAGAAACATATATCCATAGAGGAGGCAGAGTTAGAAAAACATTACGGTCGCACGTCCACTGACCGGAGGAAGGTCCACGAAAAACGATGGAAGCTCCTATGACGCACCCAAGCCACAAGCTAAACCACAAGCCAAAATCACTTGCTATGGTTTTGTGAGGAAGGTTTGCCTTCTAGGATGTTTGTATCTAGAGGAAGGTTGACAACTTTTCTGGACTTTGGGAGGGGGGCGGTGAAACATCTCACCACCTTATGTCCGAGATTTTAGCTTCTGTGCTACAGATCATTCCTTCCGTTTTCGACACATGATGTTGCTTTAAAGACATTCTGTGTGTGTACAGTAGAATCCCGTTATAACGTACTCGGTTATTACGTACTTTCGGATATAACGTACTGGTGTGCTTGGTCCCAGCAAAAGGTGTGCTTGGTTTTTACTTACCCTCGTTACAACGTACTTCGGATATAAGGAACTTAATACGCTGGTCCCTTAAAGTACGTTATAACCGGATTATGCAAATCCAAAAATTTTGATTATCGTTTTGAGTACACGCTTTTCGATACGGAGCTACTTTTCACAGGACCCACTAAAGATAAGAGCTTTTCAAGTTTGAATATTTTATCACTGCCAGCAACCGTGAATTGGGAAGCCGGTTTCATTCATTCGCAGTGAATGACATTGTTAGCACTTTGCATGTATCTTTACTTTGCAACTGTTTGTGTTTTTGGCCTTGCTTTCTAGCCACAATTTATAGCCACAATTTATAGTAAAACAACGAATCTCGATATTTTCTTGCATCTAAGCTTTTTCAAAGATCTAGGGGTTTCTTGCATAAGCAGATGGCGAGCAGGCTAAAAAGTTGTTGCAGACTCGACGGATCAGTTCGCATGAATTTCAACATAAAAAGCGGAAATAAAAGTCAAGCTGCTGTTTGGGGATGGCAATAAACTTGTTTATGAAATACACATTTAATGATCTGTTTTGAACAATAATGCCACCGTCAGGAACAAGAAACTCTTAAGGCCACATGCTGTCATCTTTAGATGCTAGCCCGCAAAGAAATTTTCGTTTCTTTGCTCTGTTTAATTACAAAGACACTAGCTTAACAACAGAACCCATCATCTCAACTGCGGAGTAATTTCTTTTAGACAAGGGGTCCGGTTATGTACACCAAAATCGTTCCTTTAAGGGTGGCACTAGATAAATTTCTTTTAAACTATTGCTGGGGTCCCTCTCTTTGCTTATAGCAGGAGCTCGAACCCCAGACCCTTGGATCTGTAGCCCGCGACCCTAATCACTGCGCCGTACCAATGGTATTACTATCTGCACACCTCAAGGATGATGGCATATCACATTTATTACATTTTGAAATAAAATGTGACACTTTTATCTTTCACAGGCATTCTCAAGCAAGCACTATCGGTGTGTTGCAACAAATGCACAAGTATCCGGTACTTGAAACCGTACAAAACGACTACTGAAGCTCTTATTATGTTTATGTCTTCAACTGTTCTTTTGCCATTTGTTACCTACTCAAATGCGAAGAAGGCTGTTGGCGATATATTCATTGCAACCATACCCACAAAAGGCGTCGTTTATATAACCAGCGAAGAAATAAGCATGAAACATTTCAACAAATTTGCAACATCGATCTCGTCCAACTGGCCCCTGTTCTGCATTTCTCTGCTTCTTGCAATAGATGCCGGCATCATTGTCTGGATTTTGGTGTGTATTTTTATTTATATTTTTAAGAAAGATTAAGGGGGGGAGGACGTTTTGTTTCTCTTTCCTATTTCCCTATCAATACTTCTAACTAGGATAAACGTAAATGAAGTCATAAAACAGATAGCTTTAAAAAAAGTATCAGGAAGATTTTTGCCATGTTCTCTAAAAGTATATCAATAGCATTGTACTTGGATTTTCGTTTGGGTTTCGCTCCATGATCCGTTAATATTGGGGCCACCAACTCCTCGAAAGCTGTTGAATTTTAATGTTAAATTTAACCACAAAGAAAGATAATGTAAAGAAATATATATAGTGAATTGGTATAGAAACTTAAGAACTTCGAGAGCGCGGTTTATAGATGCTAATATTAGGCATATCTGATGTGTTGCATGTTGAATACAGTTGACATCCGCTATCTTGACTGCCCGCTATCTCGAACATTCGCTATTTCGAACCAATTTCTGTTTCCCTTGGTTTTGCTATAGGGTTACGTATACAGAAAAAACGTTCGCTATATTGACTGCCCGCTATTTCGAATATTCGTTATGCCGAACCGTTTTCTGTTTCCCCTGGACGAAAAGTGTTCGCTATCTCGAACTTTTTTGTTATTGGTTATGTGAGAAAATTAAAAATACGAGTAAAAAATCTGTTTAAACGGCAGATGACAGTTAACAGATCAAAAAGACAGTGTTATAATACAATTTAAATGTTTTATTAAGTAAGTGATAACTATTCTTGCAGTCTGACAATAAAACGTTTTGACCCTTCTACATCAATGTGCAAGGGACGTACATGTCATCACCCTTTTACAATTGCATGACAATAACTGTACTGGTCAGCTCTCAAGAAAAAAAAGATTGTTTTCGCAAATTTCCCATTTTTCCCTTTGGTAGATGACCAACAATGTCATTGTTTTTCAAAACGCAAACGGCATACGTATCCATAATATTATCAGGTTCTATTGCAGTCTTTAGTTTTTCGCCAATCTGCGGTGTCCATTTATCTTGATAAGTATGATACCCTTTGATATAAGAATCCATTTCAATGCTTGTAACGACCGCGATAGGAATTTGGCCCTCAACATACACAATATTACCGTCAATTGTTACTCTATTATTAAGTCTATTTGCTGCACTCGCCATACTTTTAAAACCACTGTATACTAACATGAAGGTACTAACCAAAAGTAACAGGTTCAGATTACTCGCGTCACAGATTATAGAGTGAATGGCTTACAGGATTTACGTACTCTCGAATGCCGAATTAACGGGGGGATCAGAATAATCGGCGAGGGAGGGTGTTTTTTTTATTTATTTTTCTATTTTTTTTTGGAAATGGTCTTATATAATAAAAGTCGGCATTCGAACAATCGGGGGGTGGGGGAGGCTGGACAAATTGAAAATAACACATTTTCGTTTTCTTTGTTAAACATGTTGTATACTATAATATAAGTGATGTTACTAATGAGCAGTACTCATTAATTTGCATGTACAGTACTCATGAATTTTGAATGCGTTTCTTGAGACTTCTCCTTGCGTTTTGGTACGAATTCTCTAACATATTTCTCGATGAAGAAAACTTGACAGACGTTTTGTACTTTTCAAAAATTATACATTTCATTGATTGATATGTAGTCGTCAGAACCGCCATCAAAGCTCAACCTTAGCTTCCTTAGCAGTCTCCCATCCAGTACTAGGAATTCCTTGAGTTTTTGCGTATCTGAGTACTGACTTGCTTATAGAGCACTTGCTTATAAAATAAAATGCGTGTATTATACTTGGCTATTGTTTGAAAATGAAAGTCTTGAAAAATCTTGAAAATCAGTCAAAACATGCGATTCGATTTGAGAAAGCAAAGCCAATTCAGTGCTCGCTCATTTCCTTTCTCGTGTACGGGTCAAGTAAACAAGTTGAGAAACAGTCAGAGAGTTCAAAGAAGCAATGGCAACTGCTACAAAGCGTTCTGTTACAAACAAGACTTTGAAAGAAAAGTACGAAGCACTAAAAGAGTTAGAGAAAGGGGCATCTAATAAAAATTTTGCGGAAAAGTACATTGTTCCCAAGAACACACTTTCAACATGAGTGAAAAACAAACAAAAATATTTGACGACTTCCAAGCAAGAAATCTAAAGTGCAGAAAAACAAGAGGTGGAAATCATGAAAACTCAAACAAGGCAATTTTCCAGTGGTTTCTTACTGTTAGAAGTCAATACGTACCTATTGGAGGCGCTGTTTTCAAAGGAAAGGCGAAGTTCTATGCAAAAGAAGCAGGGTTATATTATACGACTTTCAAGCGGCAGATGATTGGATTCGTCGTTGGCAAGAGCGATACAGTGTCACATTCAAGAAGAGTTCTGGTGAAGCAAATTCAGTCACTACAGAAAAGGTACCACCATGGAATGTGACATCATTGCCCACCCTGCTTTCACAGTACAAACTTGAAGATATTTATAATGCAGATGAGTTTGGACTGTTATATCAGTGTATGCCTGACAAGTAAATGCATTTGAAGTCTGAAAGTTGCATTGGAGGTAAGCACAGCAAAGTCCGCCTGACAGGAATGGCAGCTGCCAGTGCTGTTGGAGAAAAGCTTTCTATGTTTGAAATTGGAAAATCAAAAAAACCAAGATGCTTCAATGGGATTAGGTCTTTGCCTTGCCGTTATAGACATCAGAAAAAAAGCTGGATAAGTGGCGAATTGTTTCAAGAATGGGTAGAAGAACTGGACAACAAATTTCTGGCACAAAAACAAAAGGTTGCTCTTGTTGTCGACAACTGTCCAGCACATCGAAAAGTAGGAAACCTCAAAGCAATCAAGCTTGTGTTCCTGCCGCCAAACACAACATCTATGACACAGCCAATGGAATAGATCAAGGGGTAATCCAAAGTTTAAAGGAAAAGTGCCAAACAGTTTTGGTGCAGAAATACATCCGAGCAATTGATCAACAAAAGTCTCTACCAAAAATTAGCATTTTGGATGTAATGGACATATTAGCCGCATCGTGGTTCTTGGTATCTGAAATGACAAGCGTTAGCTGCTTTACCAAAGCTGGCCTTTCTTCCGAAAATCAATATCAAGCAGCATCAGACGAAGATGGCCCTTTTAAAGACTTGCTCCGTGAGCATTTCGTCAAAATGAATGGTGTTATAGAGACAGAACTGGTTAGAAAGAGAAAACAAATAACATAAGATGGTTATTTTTCTTAATGATTTAGTTTGACTTGTATTTTTGTATTAGTGACTTCATATGCTTTATTGCTGCCTGTTAAACCTTCCAAATTTGAACAAAATTTGATTTTTGGGGTCCTCCGATAACTCAAACATTCGCTATCTCGAACAATTTTTCGTTTCCCTTCAGACTTCGAGATAGCGGATGTCAACTGTACTACATTTAAACCATCTTTTGGTGGTACAAAACTTGAAAATGGCTTTGAAAAAAGCAAACGCCACCTCGGTCTTGCAAATCTAAAATTACAACTAAAACCTGCGATTCTGCTATCGGGCAGCATTTACTGGAAAACCCAGATTGTGCAAAAAACTATAAAGACGACGTGTTTCGGATTATTGGTAAAGCCCGATCGTCGTTCTACCTAGCAGTTTTGGAATCTATCTACATAAGCACGAAAAAACGGCTACTGTGTAGACAAAAGGAGTTCGTTTTCGTTTTCATCAATAGGCAAGCGGCACTGATTGGTCAACCTCAACAGTCATGTGCTCGTGTTTCTGATTGGCCTATTTCGATCTACAACTGGGTATATATATTTCCTAGCGTAGAGTTTTCGATCTATGTTCTGACGTTTTAAACTCTGAAGAGTGTCAGACGAAAAGTTTTAGTTTACTTAATGTTTGCTTTTTCCAAAGCCATGTACCACATTTGTTATGAATCCTTGGGATATATTTTCATACCGCTTTGAAAAGTAGATGTGACCTTAATGGCTCTCGCACAACCGGCATGCTTTGCGACTTAATTTTCAAAACCGGCCTAATATCGTACTGCATGAAAATGCAAGCACAGTCAATCTCTCAAGACAACTGCCGCTAAGCATGCCGGTTGCGCAAGAGCCTTTAAGGACTTCTAGAATTATTCATGGCTCAAGACAGCATATTTTACTGACATTCGTACAAAGACGTTTTTGCCATATTCTGTTTTCAAGGACTGTGGAAGAAATGGAGATGAATTTCCTCAAGACTTTTTCCATGGCTTCTGGGAAGGATTATGGTGGGCCTATGTCAGCATGACTACTGTAGGGTAAGGTTTTGATTTTTTGTCAATAACAAGCTTCTTCGTTTATTTTTTTCAATTCAATTTGATTTTATAACTTTTATGTTTTAATCATTCCATCCATCAAAAAGTAGCAATTATCTGATCTCTCCGCAATTTATGCAATGCAACAAGAGGAAATCGAAAGAGAATATTTTTTAAGAGTTGTGCAGCTTTAGATTGAACTTGGTTTACTTGGACGACAAGAATAAACATATCGTGCATTTCATTTGATACCTCTTTGCATAACGCCTGTTCATATAGAATTCGATGCAGATAGCCCATTGCGGTAAACTTTGAATTGATGAAAAAGCCAATGTGCGGAGAGAGAAATCTGACTGTCCAAACAAAACATTAAGTTTAATTGGAAAACTGCATTTTTCTAGGAATAATAGATTGTTGGAGATAGATATCCATGGTTTTCAAAACTGTAGTTCTTGCAGTTTAATTTTCTTTTAAAGACAAAAACTTTAGCAAATGATACTTCCCTAACGCAGGTTGTATGAAGCCAAAGAATTGGCTGGTCATGCCCTTACAGCTGACGTTAGAAAAGAGCAACCTTCGAACTAGCATGAAATTTGCCTGTCAAGGAATTTTTGAGTTCTGCGAAGATGGAAACATGCTAATGGGTTTTTCATAGTTCTGTAAAGGAATCTACGAGATTAAGATATTCCCGGTCTGTGCTTTCACTAATCGTGCCCAGCACGGAGTATACTATACACTAAATTCTTCTGACTCTTGCTAAAAATTTTAGTAGCTGCCGACCTGATCATGTTTTCAAGAAGCTTAGGAGACAGATTAAGAATAAAACCGATTACTTGCTTTGAATCACACATTTGTTATTGGTTACTCAGGATTTGCAAAAGCTGATTAAACAGAAGCCCTGGCGGGCTCGGTCTAAATAGCTTACTGCAAATGCATTTTAATTAATGCAAAAATTTCCATTGCACTTTGAAATCAGGCTGTTAACTTTAATACCTCGCGAGACTCCAAAAAGGATGGAATGGATTGTGGAGGTATATCTCTTCAGAAAACAGGCCTAGATTTAGGCTTAAAGCTTTTATGGATTGATAAATTGTCAATATTCTCATTGTCACATGGTTTTGCGTCTGGTAAAAATCGGCTGAAGTTTTAAGCTTTTGTGCTGCATTAAGCGTATTAAAAACGACTGTTGAAGACGCAGCTACTTCAAATATTCTCGTCTCTCATCCTTTAAGATGATGTCAATGACGTGACACTTTGTTGCATCAACCAGTGCGTTGAAAGGCACATGTTATTTCATAATCCATACATATCAATACAGAAAAAATATATATATAAAATGTTTAACAATTTGGACCTGTAAAACAAGCGGCTAACGAATAGGTTATTGTATTGTTGTACATGATTTTGCAAAGATTTGTGTATCATAATAGTTGTTCCATTCAAAATCAAAATCACTTCTTTGATAGGCAGCTAGCCAAGTGCTTTGCGTATTGACTGGGAGGGAGTGTTATGAGGACTGCCCGTTACATATGGTCGCAGTGATGTTCGATGCTATATACTAATTAAGCATTGTTCATTTAAATAACATACCTTGTAGGCAACCAACAGAGCTCATGTTTTTGTTGACATACGTGCGGCGTTCTTCAAGCATCCTTCTTTGAAACATTTTTATTTAACGCTTGCACAGCTACATTTATTAAGACTTTCCTATGTTATTGCCAGTGATAAAATGAAACGTTATGATGAAAATGCATGCTAATTCCAATATAATTGTTATCTACACTGTTACCCTTTTCTTTATAGCCTGGTGATATTTATAATTAAGGATCACGTAAATATATTATTGTATGGACTATAATGTAATGACTAGTTGAGATACAATGATTCGTAATACAGACGAGAGCCCTTGATCTCAATAAAGAGCTTAAATTTTTAAAGAGAAATCCCCTGGTAATTACAGTAAGGACAGAAAGGTCCTAGTTATTCGTACTTTCATAGGAAGTAAAAATTTGTTCAAATCATCGGTAGATTTGAATTATCAAAAGTAAAGATACCTTGTTGAAAGTAGAAAATCTTTAAATTAGAAAAAATTGTGGGATTTTCACTATGCTAGCATTATATTTGGGAATATGTGGCTAGAGCAAAGACATAGGAAACCATATCGCTAACATTTAGTTCTGCTTTCGTGCCAAATTCAACTTTCTAAATTTCGTTGTTGTAGGTACGGAGATAAGACTCCAAAAACATTAGCAGCGAGGGCCTTTGGAATCGTTTGGATAACAGTTGGCATCTCATTATCCGGTATTTTTACAGCATCTCTAATTACTGGTATGACCCAGTCACTGAACGATGGCCCAATTAACATCGAAGGGAAGACGGTAATGTTAATCTTAGTTTTCTCGTGTGCTAAACATCCTTATTGACAGACAGGCATGAATATGTATTTAATGCAAGTAATCCGGTCTACAGAGATCTCTGGATTACGAAATTCTGAGAAGGCTTATTGAGCGAAAATATGATTAGTGTTATTTTTAATCGAGTTCGCAGATCATAGTCTAAGACACTTTGCTTTTAGCAACAAAGGGAAGTTTTTGTAAGTATTCGAAATTTTTGTGATTATCCTTATGCATTTGTTTATTGAAAATGGATATCAAACCTGATTGTTCACAGGCAAAGTATTTTTCCACTTGTTCCTTTGAACTGCATAGGTCACTTTGCCATTGCTCCAAATACACACTATTGTATACGAAGCCATGCTATTCACAAATGTTAGAATTTATCAAACAATTATGGCTTGGTTTCGAATTCATTACTTTGAATTCGTAAGGTAGATTATAATGAGGCATTTGGATGTTCGATTTCATTACCTTTTAAATCGTTCTTTTCCGCCTGAGGTATCTACCCGATGGGTGCATCCTTTTATTTTCATATCCTCTTTCGTGTCCATGATTTCTCAGACAAAGGAGGGGGGGGGGGTTAAAACGTACCTCAACTTGGACATAGATTACTAAAACTGGGGTCGTTTCACAGTGAAATCAGAGCGACTAAATGTAATAGTTTTCATTAAAGAAAACTTAAGAATTAATCATTTATGTTTCTCATAAAATGTATCATTATCACAATAAAAACAACAAATGAATGCTCAATCAATAAAGGTCTCATTCTAAGGATGTTTCAAGGGTTTTACAGGCTTGGTACAAGTAAGGAGCAGAATTTGTTAAAAGTTAGGGGGGGGGGGGCTCAAAATGATAAGACTGTCAAAAAAGGTGATCAATTTCATCTCTGTATGTAAACATAATTTTTCACCTTCCCCGGGTGCATACGATATCTAAAGAAGACTTTTCAGGAAAATGTGTCTATTATCTTGGTTTAAAAGCCCAAGCACGTTGATGAATGCTACTTCCCATAAAGGACGAAATAGCATGCAACGCGACGGTCAACAAAACGGCCACGAACAAGCGTTGCTAAATCACTGCATAACTGAACAGTGCGTGATGCAATATTCCCAAAAAATTAATGGCGGCAACGGCAGAATGGGCTTTTGCAGAGGGGCGATTGTCTGGTGTAGTCATAGCAATATGAAATAATACGTACTTTGTCTTGATCATAGTAAGGTGCAATAATGGGTACAGCTTTCATTAAAGTAACTAAAAGCCTAGTTTTTAGTGGAAAAAACACAAAAAGAAGAAGACACTTCTTTTGCGTAAGTTTTTAGTCCCCGACTATTTGGGAGTTGGAGGTGATACGATACGAAAGGCTTCGAAAATTAGCAAAAGCTTATTAAAAACAAGACGCTTGGACGTTTTTATTTCAATTCTAGCTTTAATTTTTGAAATTTTGAAAAAAATCTCCTTTCAAACAAAACGTAAATTGCCCTTGTCAGTTGATACAAAATAGAGTTAATAGATGCCGAGCAAACCACGGCAGCAATTCATTTAATGCATTGGTTTCGAAAGTGGTTTGATTTGAGCTTTTGATTAGAAAGTTTGTAGTCTTTGGCTTAGAGAAAAATGGCGGCTTACCAAAGCAACGAATTCTTTTTTTAGAGACCCTGTTTTGGTAATTTTTACTTTGTAAGATTCCCTTTTTGCAGAAGAGTATAATTAATCAAATAAGAGTAGCTCCAAATCCGAAGGATTTTCAGCTGCAAAAAAATTTTAGCGATTGAACAGATCATTCCAATTAAAAATACTAAACTTGGGATGCTTTCGGTCTTATAAAAGGTAGAATTTGGGTCAACTTTTAATGGATCGTTGGATGATGAATGAAACATTATTTTCAAAATAATAAGATAAAATTTAGTCTATTTCTATGTAGAAGCACTAGGGGGCATTTCTCAGCTGGGGTCTGCATCTTATCTTGTTCAGCGCCCAAAACTACCTTTGTAGACAAACTTTCATGCTGGTGTCCGATTTTGCACAGCATTTTGACTAACAGCCTTGATTACTCTACCGTCATATTATATATTCCTTTTATCTTGTAATAATGTCATTTTCAAGGTGGGAATACTTAATGCAACTAGATATGAGCTCACGATTGCAATGAGAGAAGGAGCAGAAATTAAAGGTAAATAAAATATATTGAGCAGTTTGTTCGTGCTAAAAAGATGACGACGGGACAGTGAATGTATCCTAAACTCAGGCATTAAATCATCAACGTAAAATGATTGTATCTCCATTCAGCTTATAGCTTGGTTACTTCAGCAGTTGTTTAGCAACCAAACAAGACTTGCTCAAAAATTCTTTGATCTGGCAATAACCGTCCTAGTTTTCTAAAAGTTATATAGGTTTCGTACAGCCAAATTGCACCTTTATTGTTAGTTTAACCACAAGGACGGCCGATGATAAAGGATAAAAAACTGGCGTTGCTTTACTTAACGTTATATTAAGTTATGTTAAGTTTCGCAACAAAATACAACAATGTACTATGAGACGTTTTGCTATATCAACTATTTCCATACTTCATTACAATTTATTAATGGAATGCAGTTCATACAACTCTAATCCAATATTTTAGGAAATGCTAAAATAAACAAAGTTAATTATTTATGCTATATTTTGCAGGTTTCTCAAATTTTCAAAAAAGTATGTTAAAATATGTAAGCGATGATTATTTATTCTAGGTTTTGCCACGTATCCAGAGTTGATTGAGGAAATGAAAAGTGGAAGGCTAAACGGTTGGTTTTCACTTGCTAAATTTGTTCCTTAAAACATTGTAACGTTCTGGGTTCTTTGCTAGCGTGGAGAAACTGGCGTGCTTAGGCCCTGAGGTCTAAGCCAAGTAAAACAACAGCGTAGCTAATAGAACAACGTATTTCAATCAGATTCTAGACAAGACTAACTATTATTATAGAACACACTGAATATACTAGAAATAGCTCTTGCTAGTACTGCCCGCAAACAATTAGTTCCTTGATAATGATTGTTTTGAAAATTTAGGTCAGGATATTCGAAGAAGACACCATCTTGGGTTTTCGCAATTTTATAAAAACAGCTGCTCTAGTTGATGCTAAACTATTCTTTTTATCAAGAATTTTTGGTGTTCAGTTTGCCTTTGATTTAAGTCCAACGCCCTTTTGAAAATCAGTAAGTTTTTCTAGGGTTTGACATTTATTTTGCGTTTTCGTGAAGCAAGGACGTATGAAAATGGACACGTGATAGAATGGGTACAGCTAAAATCGATTGCGATAAAGGATTCGTACAGCGATGTACAGGCTATAATCACGACAATCATAACTTTTGCTCGTACGGTGTCAAGTTTTTGGGAGAAAGGTGTGGCATTCGACTGGTTTTGATTCCCAAAACTTCGAATCAAAACTTCCATCCATTGCGGAGAACCGAGCTGTGATGCAGCACAGTTTTCGTGCCAAAAAAACCGAAGGCCTTTAACAGAGTCTTGGCAGAGTAACTCTCCGAAGAGAATTCCCTTCCGCACAAAGAGGTGGCGGTTAACGACCTCCTCGACAAAGCCGATTGATTGACAATGAAATTGATTGACAGTTGTCATGGCAGCAGAAAAGTGACAAAATCTGCTGACAAAGTGCTGACAACATGAACTGAAGCTTCCATATGCTACTTATACGCGGGGCAGACTATAAGCCCTTCACTCGCGCGCGAGTTGCGGGCAATTACATATTACAAGCGACAACCAACAGCGATTAATCATAATAACGGAAACTACACATAGATGTAAAACAATAGATACCTGACAACAAGATAACGATTGATAACAGATACATCACGCAACCCAACTAATTCACAAACCCTCACGTTACAATGGCAGCTCCTTAGTAGTGTATGCTTTTGCTTAATGATTGCAATTATGATTAACAACTGAACTCAGTTGCTTACAAGAAACTAATTGCATTCAGTTTCTTGGTTTTCCAAAGCGTGACATGAGATGATATGAAAAAGAAAACATAAGATGTCGAAAAGAGCTTTTCTTCCTGGTTATTTATTTCGATCATGTTTTGACCATGTTTTAATTAAATTAGAACTAGGTGCCCAATCGTCGAAAAGTATCATTCCAATCCCAACTTTAAAGGAAGAGTTTTCGAGCATTTTTCGGGCGAGGATTTTCGAGCAAGGTTGATGGTGAAGAGAACTATGTTTTCTTGATCTTTTGTTAATCTTAGGGCTCGGTCTTCTTATAGACTCTTAAAAAAGAAATGAGCGTACTTCATTGTAAGTTAGAATCAGTGTTATTCATGGGCTCCAACACAGGTTAGAAAGTGGGGGGCTAAAGGAAAATTTAACACCTAAAACAAAGGATTTTGTAAAACGGTCTATTGTTTTGCGTAATAACTTGGCCTTCCAGCCCCCCCCCCCTTCGTCGGAGGTCCTCTTATTACGATAAGAATCAAGGTAGTTTGATAGTAATGTTTGATCAAAAGTAGAACTAGGTTAAACCATTTTCAAACATAAGCAAGGCCGCCGAGAGAGGGGCAAGGGGGCAAATTGTCCAAGTGCCTCGAGGTTTAAGGGACCTCATAAAGAAATGAATTCTGTTTTGAAATGGAATAAATTAAATGTAACGAGATTATGCTTGTAAATAGTATAACATTCTAAACGAATGTACGGCTTAAGCCAATCTAAAGGGCGCGGTCGCAAAGATTTTCTGCTCCCTTCGCTTGTTGGGGGGTCACATCTGCTGGTCTTACCACAGGGCCTTCAAAATCTCTCGGTTGCCTTGAACATAAGATGCACGGTTTTTTCTATTTTTCCTTGGCGTCTATTTCGATTTCAATGTGTCATATTCTTTCAGAAAATGACCATGTTATTTACAACATGGTGTTTGAGAAAACACACGCAGGAAGTCATGTTTGTTCTTTGTTCATTCAACCATTTTCTTTTCATTCCTCAATATCATGTCACTATTTTATTGCAAAGTATTACTTGTAGCAAGTTCATTTTTCTGTTTCTTTTCTTGCTTTATACTTTTTAATGCGTACTGCTCACATTTCAGGAATATTAATGGACATCCTCGTTATGAAATATTACTGGACAGATTTAAAGAAAGATATTCCTGCCTTACACTACAGGCTGAATGCATTTGCCAACTCAGAAACAAGTTTTGGTATATTATTTTCTCAATCAGAAGACAACAAAACAAACCATGCATTGGGGAAATTTCTTGAGAACTTTTTCCTAGAAAATCGTGACAACATTGACGTCATTATTAAAATGGCTGAAAAGGACGTTACTAGGCCCGTAAGTATAGTGTTTGTTGTCAAAAACTTCCTTAACAAATTTCCATTACAAAACTGGCGGAAGGTGTATGTGAACTGGGACTAATCTGAGTAGTCTCTGTACATTCATCTCTGCTTTTAATTTATGTAACTGTGTTTAAATCTTTTTTATTTTTTTTATGTATAAATAAAATGATTGTGGCGAATTATGCATACATAGAAACCTAAATAATGGTTCTTAGGCAGTAAAAAGTTCTTACTTTTATAATATACTGTCCCTTTCCGTTAAAGTTGTCGTAGCAGCTATGAACCATAGTTAATCGCTGTTAATAGTTGATTGCATCTGATCATTGCTATAGAGACATGCTTGCAGCAAAATAAACCGGAAAAAATGCGGAAAAATAAATGTTTAGAGGCCATTTCAGCTTGTAACCAGGGACTATTTTCAATCACTTTTGAGGGGCTGATTGGGAGTTTTCCCGGTATCCTGCTGGGCCAAGCTGTCCCTGCAAACACGTTTATATTATAACAAGAAGACGCAATTTTGACAACCTCGTCATTATAAAACGTCTATTTGATATGAACTTTTCTAGCATTTCATTTTCCTTTCTTAGTTGGCAAAAGGGCTTGAGGCTGGGATTTATGACACTACAAAATCGATATTCAACGCACCTGACATATATAAGCTGTTGTTCAAATACATTGGTATAACAACCCTGATCCTGTTCGTTGTTGGATTCACTTTTGAAAAAATCAAAAATTATCTGAAAGTGTACTTGAATAAGCGAGGTGAAAGGAAATGCAGTCAACTAGGTACGTTAAAATTTGACGTGTGTATTCATTTGTTCATTGACTTTAGGCCGGTTTGCACGATCATATTCAGGTAAAATTTACATCATATTCACTTCACACTTTTTGTGTGATTATAGAATTTGATCGTGTAAACGACCTTACAAGTTGCTTGAAGTTGCACCAAGCAGCAAGAATGAATCCCTTTTGATTGCCTGATAATTGGCCATCACATTCGTTGCAAAAATGTATCTGATAATACTTGAAGTTATTTCACCCCAATTTAGACTATTTTACAACTTATAAAGCGTAAAATAATATCCGAAAAAGGAAAAATACCCAGTCCTCCATGACCTCTTAAAGTATCTATTTGATTGATAAGAACTTTGAATTCAATCAAATATAAACGATATACTGTGTGTTTGTACTTCATCATATTGTGGTCACATTGGCGTGTAAAAGAGAAGCCGTGAACACTATTCATGTCTTCATCTTTGGTGTCAAATAGTCCCTGATTGTAGTCAAACATTTTATCCCAGAATTTCATTGCCTTTTTTGTGTTTAGAGAAGGAACAAACTTGAAACTCTGACCAGTAACCCTATAAATGAAGAAAACGAAACTTGCGAATAATACGAGCAAATTTTTGTTCGCTAAGCGTTCGTTAAAACTTTTAGATCTCTACGAGGAAGTACCAGCAAGTTAAAAATGTGCAGATCCTAACGTATTATAAGTTTACGAAAGGGTCTAAAATATTCAAATTTGCAGCAGCTAATCATTCAAAGCATATGATTTTTTCAGGATCTGTATCAGACAAGTCTTTGTACACAGGAGAGACTAAAACAGCAATAGATCACACAACCGTGTTACTGAGAGCAAGGTTTGTGCGAGAAATGAAGGAGCTTGAGAAAACAGGTCACACTGATGCAAAGATAGTGAAAGACAGAGTGCTTTCAAGGGTTTTTCACTTTAAAGATATCAATGGTTGTTATGAAAACGAGGTCAAGACCGACGATATGCAAATGAATAGCGAGGTTTAGATAGCTGTCATAGAGTAGCTTCGCATGTTATCAGTTAAAGGTAAACTGGGTGCTGCTTTGAGAATTACCAAGCCTTCTTCTCCAGTTCATCGTGTCAACAGGACAGCAATGATGTGTTGCCTCAATAGATGATCAAAGCGCTACCAATGGCAAAAAAGAAGGCATTACCAGTTGCATTGTCCTGCCCAGTCTTGCAATATAGCAAAGATCATGCGGCCCAGGGGCGGATCTAGAAATTATTCTGACTGTCGCACACAAGGGTGTGGTCGGAAATATCATTCTTGACCACACCCATAGTTTTTAAGGATATTCGCCCCCTTCTCATTTGAGCAATCGACACGCACATTAAATTGGCTTTATTTAGAACGTTGTCAAACTGTTGTTTATTCCTTATCTGAGTTTTCAATTGATACTACAGAATCATTTGTGTTGTTTTTTAGCCAAGCGTAAAGCAAGAAACAACTTGAAATTCTTAAACGTATTGACACGGTTTTCCTTTCATAATCAGGCAAACATTCGAGTCGTCTTTCTCGATTTGTTTATGGTATACGATGACAAACCAGGCCACGCAAAAAATGAAAAATATCATTACAATGAATTTTCATAACTAACAAAATAGAACAAATGTACACAAATATTCACAAAACCTGCACTTTTTAATAACTAATATTGTTTAATAGCTAAACCAAATCAGCGTGTAAACATGTATTTTACTCCGAAGAAACCCCTTCGAATTCAGGGGAATACCCAAGCAAGTAAACTTTACCCGGAAATATCTGAAAGCTGATAAAGAACTGAGAATCCACATTGAAAAAGTTCACTTTGAAAGTTTTGTCCAAATAAAAATTTTTCACTCTGCCAACGTCCTGAATATTATTTATTCGCCAGAGCAAATCGCAGGTATCACCCCAGTCCAGTGCATTTATTGAAATTTGTAGGCCTTGATCCATGGAGGAGGTAATGAATGTGGAAACTTGAAAACATCCCGTGTCGAATGTTACTCGAAAATCTAGCGACCTTTGTCTTCCAAATTACCAGGTTTAACGTACTCGTTATACATGTAGCCAGTCGACTCCATAACACAAAATTCCTATTCCCCAGTGAAGAAATTCCCATGCCAGGCATAAATAAGCTCAAAACTGTACAAACACGCAATGAGGACAGATTAATCTTTGCCCAGTGGTGCGACCTTACTAAAAAAACATACTGTGCACCGAAGTTCGCACTATCTAGCAATTTGATTGGTTAAATATTTTAAAACAAAAGCTGTGCGAATCGGTGCGAACGTGCTACTAATCATACTGTGCACCGAAATACCCTAATCTAACTACATTGGTACCTTGTTGTCTTTTAGTCAGGATGCTTTGAGATTTGAATCAGATTGAATCAAGATCGAGATTGAATTAGAGATGGTGTTTAAGATTTTGCTTGTGTTTATGGCCAGGTTTGAATCATGCATGATTCAGACCTTGGATCTTCCTGCTCCTGCACGGTGTTCAGTTGTCAAATATAACTGAAGCATAATTCCCAAGCAAATACACTTAAAACACAAATGGGAAATTTGCCAATAAGCAAGAATGTTGTTGTTAAGGACGAGACGGATTCTTAGCATAATTTTAAAAGTTTGACTGTCGCATGTGCGAACGGTGCGAACGTCTAGATCCGCCCCTGATGCGGCCATACAGTTGGCAAGATGGAAGCATATGTGCCAATTGTATTGGAATTGCATTCGAATCCTTTGCAACGGACATTTCAGAAATCAGTTCCTTATGGCTGTTCCTCTAAATAGTTTTCCACTAAATTCTGGACCGTCTGTTGGTTTGCTTTCTCTGTTCTTAATACGTATTACTCGTAAATGAACCAAGAATTTACTTTCCAAATAATGGAAACTGGTACTAAATGATCGGAAGCAAGAGTTTTCATATAAAAGTGATAACATTGAAGTCTTAGAGCCCGTGTTTGAATTATAATAGCCATCTTTATTGAAGCCCACAAGCCACAGAAAATAATGGGGACTCATGAAGCTCTGATATCAGCTCGAAAGTATACTGAAATTTGAAAAAAATTGGAAGAAAAAACCAAATTTTAACCAACCAAAAATGTTACCGTAGAAAATCAAAACCAAATGTCCCCTGTTTGTATGTTGGGTAGTATTTCTGATATTTGGGATTGGATATTTGTTAAGAGGCATATTCATACTGGGCGTTAGTGAGGATCTAACCACTTCTGGGAGTCGTTGGTGGTGGCTTATTTACTTTTAGCAAAATTATGTGATTATTTGTAAGGCTGTGGGATTATCAAAAAGCAGATTGTCGGTTAGGAAAATATCTGCAAGTAATTAGGTCGAATAAGCAAATCGATACATATTTGTCATCCAAAAGCAAATATTTATCGAAAACTTTTAAAAAGCTACTGGTGGTATTTTGCCGATCGCTTTTGTAATACTGGTTACATCCCGCTGTAGCTACTATTTGTTAGATGTACTTCAAGGACCGATGGTGTTCGATAAATAAAAAACTATACTGGTAAAGAGGAAGGCCTTAAGTATTTTCGTCAAAGTTACAAATGAAATTAAAGCTTCGGAAATTAAATCAAAATCAAAAGAGCTGTTCTGAAAGAATGAAAGTTGTTACATAGTTATTCTGTAAATATAGGGTGACAAAGTGCTGTTAATAGAATTAGCATCTCACAGTAAATGATCTTATGAGTTTTTTTGTGCTTGCCACCCGAAAAATTTGTACTTTTTTGGAAAAGAATTTTCATTTTAAGAGCTCATTTAGCGTTGTTCTCTGCTGTGTAACAGTACCGATAAAATTTCAGTGTAGTACATATAAAATGAAAAGCTTTGTTGAATGTCAATGTTGTGTGTGTTTTTTGGCACAATGTATTTTGTGCTTTGTTTTCTTTCATATTGTTTGAGCGTTAATTTTGTTTAAAAAAACTGCCAAGAATCTTGTTATTAAAAGTAAAGGTTTTATTGATTAGAAAGAAAAACAAGGTCGCTCTTCAAAATATTAACAAAGTGTAAAAATGGCTACTTTTCACGAGAGAAAGGCTTAGGTCCCCAAAGCCTCTTTGATGCGAAGATCCCAATTTTTCTTGACGTCGTTTAAAATCCACTTCTAATCATTATTATCCTCTCGGTGGTATGGAGATAAATGAATGGATAAAGAAAATGTTTCTGTCTTTAAACGATGTATTGTATGACGCAAAAGAAATGAATCTTAGCATTACGGAAGGGAAGTTAAAGGCACTAGTTTCACAGGACATTTAAAAATGCATTATGCGACGTTGATTGAATTATATTGTGGGAATGTACAGTATCTGCACTATCGTTTTGAACTGAAAAAAATGGAATAATTGTAAAGATGGGGATAAATTACAGTAATTATGATTTGTTGATTTCAAAACTACTTTTTCGCTTTGAAACAATCCTTTCCCATTCTCGTTGAAAATTTCGTATAGCGGCCTCGACCCGGCCGGCGCTAACCTCGTTTCGTCTTGTTATGACATAATTATTCTTTGATGTTGGAGCGGCCTACTGGTTTTAAATCTCACATAACATTAAACAGCTGGAATCACAAGACGGTAAAAGATGAAACAACGCAAAGATAAGAATGGAATAAACAAATTTTAGTATCAAATTTTGTAGGCAAACAGTACGTGCTCTATATTTTGTTGTTGTTGCCCCGTCAGTCTTGATTCCAGTGAACTTTCAATATATTGGCCTAGACGATTCGATCGAGTTCGTATTAGGTCGTATCGTGGAAAAGGGAAGGCCCAAGCAGAAAGACGTGGCCAGTCAAGAAATATTGGTTTGTAAAAGGGAAGCTGTCAATAAGAGAGACTCAAAAGTAGCTACTTAAAGAGAGACAGAAAAGCAAGTGAGAATTCTCTTGAGTCATATCAAAATGGATAGTTACGATCCCGGAGAAGGTACAGAAAATTTTTATGTGCAAGTAAACTAAATAACTGTTACTCAGAACAGTGGCGTGGTGGCTCGAAATTGGCTAGGGGGCACCAAACTTTTTGGGCGCCCCAGAGGTATAACTCTATCCGACCGTTGAACGTGAATTAAAGTGGGGGAGGGGGGCACAATGTTAACATGGTATAAGGGAAAAGGCTTTCTTGAAATCTGCCACCAAGGTGTAACCATAAAGGTGTAACCATGTAATAAAATAAGTTTTTCTATTCTATGGTGTAAAATTAGAGACTGCAGGAAGCTGCATCTAAAGTATTATCAACATCGATTTAGATTGAAGGAAGATCCTAGGCAGTATTGATAAGCTTTTCTTATCATTATGCCCAAATGTTTAGAGTTTTCAGAGGTTTAATGGAAGCTATGATTGGTAGCAAGAAAACTTTTATAAGTATAAAATTCTTGAATGACTGAAAACTCATTTTAAACATTCACAACATAGATTTAGAAAAAGAGGAAGATCCATGAGAATTTTCAAAAATGTCCTTTATCACTATGCTCCAATGTCAATATTATAGAAATTTATAGTGAAAGCCACCACCATGATATTTGAAAAAATTTGAAATTATAATTTTATAGGGATGACCAGAAACTGCCTCTAAAATATCTACAACATAAATAGATTTAGGTTCAAAGGAGTTATTAGAAAGTATTCATAAGCCTATTTTTATCATTATGCCCCATAGTTTATCTATTTTAAATGTGACATAAAGGCGGTAAAAGTATTGCAAATTTTAGGAACAATTTAACAATCAACGACAAATATATAAAATTTCAACAGAAGAAATGTACTATTGAAAGTACCAGGCTAAGTATCTTTGTAAAGTTAAGGTATCATTTTATAACTTTGATCATATGCATAGTGCATGTATGCCCTCTCTTTAAAATCACCCTTTTTCAATGGAAGCTTCAAATCCTTTGTTATCGCTGATACCTTTTTTAATAAAGGGTATCTTGAATTTTGATTGAATTCCACTAATCTCCCTTGGGATTTTTATATACTTCAGATAATTAATACACATATTCAACTTACAGCCTCGTTTTGAATAATTTTTTATATTTGTTTGTACAAAAATGTGGACCCTGGATTAAGATTAAGAGCAAGACTTTAAGCCTATATAGAAATTTTAATCATGTGAACATAAAAGTAGCTTATGAAAACAGACAAAAACTACTTGAAATTTTTCATTACTATGAGAATACGAACATTCCATTTCAATTTTTTCTTAAACTGTTTCCATTGTGGCCCATATTGTTTGGTCAATATGAAAACGAGGGGTTCCCATTACTCTGTTTTTGTCTGTTCACAAATCCTATGTTTGAGCTTGTTTTAAAAATGAAGATGAACAAATTCCTTTTTAAAGGACTCTATTTTCACTTCGATTCAAAAACAATTTGTTTCAAAATGCTTCCGTTCTAAAATGACTTGTCTGTTCCCCTTAAAATGACTCTGTTTCATAATAACTTTAGACCTCACTATCAAATGATCCATTAATGGGAACACAAAATAAAAAACAGTTTCATTCAGCTGTATTTTCTTGTGAAAATGGAGTAATGGGAACAGGGTAAAAATTTTTATGATTGAATAACACATTTTTAATTGCCCCTTGCTTTTTGTTAGTAAAAGGGGGCTGCTTTTTGTTTTTATTTGCTTAAGCTATTTTATCTGATTCTTCCTTAACTTTGCTGGGCAGAATTGAAACTTTGTTATGTTGATGTCGACAGTACCCTTGAGGATGATTTAATTGTTTGTGGAAGGTGAAATCATTCACTTTGAAAATTTGTATTCAATACCAATGAATGGGGAGATATCATTGAGAGCTAGGGATGAATGCCCCAAATCGAAGCAGAGAATGGTAAAAAACATCAAAAAGCATTGGCAGAGTCTTTTTGATTGTTGGGTTTCTGATTCTATTCCTAAAGAACTAGCAAACTGGTTGAAAATTATATTGTTTTTCTTTCAATGATTGGAAAAATGTTGTTGTTAGTAGATTTGTAAATGTTTATGTTTACATAGTTTTCTTTCAAATTTATAAAAGAGCTGTAACCCACCAAAAGAATAGCAGCAGAGCAATTTTAGATAATGGTTCTAGGGTTTTCGCCAGTCTTTGCTTTTTATCTTTCCTGATTCATATTTAACTGAATGCTGTTTTTTCTAGCTGATATTTGTAGAGTTTGCAGAGCTGAAGGAACTGGAGATAGACCTCTTTATCATCCTTGCATGTGCACTGGCAGTATCAAGTTTATTCACCAAGAATGGTATGTAATTTGACTTCGATTAGCAAATCTTGTGAATGTTATCAAACAGCTTTAATCTGCTCAAAATCAAGACATAAAAATTGTCAAAAGCAATCTATTTATACACAACTAGGACAATCCTTTAGTCATATTTGCTTCAACAACAAAGATGAAAGCTTTTTGAAAATGGAAGATTGAACAACCAGAGGCTAGAGAAAACTGTTAAAGATGACTTTAATATGATGTCCAAATAATGCTTTGATATAGGTGCAAGCTAAATAGTGAAGTAAAATAGCAGGAAAGTTATGTATGATATACAGGAACAAAGCAATACGACGACAAGAATCCAATCTCACGACATAAAATTTTCAAAATAAATTAAACTTAAAGAATATACTAATATTTCACCCCGGCATACAGGGCTTCATCAGAGTAAATGAAACAAACAAGTGAATGGATTTGAAATGTGAGATAGTGATTGGAGGATGTTGAATGGTGTGGCTGCAGCACAGTGGAGAAAAAATGGGATGATGGAAGTGGGGAAGGGAAGGGTGGTGGGTGATGTATGGCAGTGAGATGAGAAATATTACATGTTAGTGTTACATGCGGATTTTTCTACCAATAAATGCATATATAGGAATCACATTAAAATTTTAATTTTATGATATATTTATCTTGATGATCACAAAACATTTAAGATGATAGTTGTCCTCGCAAAATTAGAAGTCTTCTCAGCTCATTCAAAATTCCGGGCCACTCTATTTACAATTTCATCATAAGAGGCCAGGTTGGTAATTTCATTCTGCTTATGATTTCAAATGTGCATTATTTTCTCATTTGAGATTTCCTTAAATCTTTTTTGAGTTGCTCCGAGCCTTGCCTTTATTAATCTTAGCTGCCACAGCTATAGTTTTGGAGCACCTTGAAAGCACATAAACCAAGATTTCCATCTTTAAATTTTTCTGCATTTTGTAATCATGTTTTTCTGCATATTGTTTTCTGCACATCTTTTTCTTTACCAATGTCAACATCAGAGTCTTTGCATTGGAAGGTTGTATCTTCTGGGATAGACAAAGCAAGATAACTTGATACAATGTTGTCAAGCTGTTTATGTACAAAGTTGTCCACTCACTAAATCTTGATTTTAGATTTCTTTCTGACATAAACAATACCTTAAAACATTGCTTCTGAATTTTCCTTGAAATTTTCAAACTTCCAACTTGGAATGTTATGCTGTCCCGTATTAACAGAGACAGTGATAAAGTTTCTAATTTTTAGTTTTCACTTTTTTAGGTTAAATATTTGTTCTTTCATGTAACATAAGGTGCCTATCTAGACCGGTTCCATAGGTTTAAAAAAACCGGTCAAATTCTAAAAGCTATGTTTCTATGTAAATCTTGAATTTCTATCCAAAATGTCAACTGCAACAACTGCTGAATTTCTTCCAGAATGACAACAGTTTTGAACCCCCACACAAGTTCTTAATTTCGTAAGGACAACTCTCCCTTGTTGCAAAGATTCCGACAGAGTTCCCAGCTTCCTTATTCATCTTTTATCTCAAAGTATCCAAGGAATTCAAAATCAAGGAAATCTGTCGCCACTCAAAATGACAGTTTAGATTATGCTATCTATGATCCAATATTGAAACTGGTGGCTATTGTCTTCTGAAAACCTGTGAAAACTGGTGCTCAAATGTTTCCTTTTGCGAAAAGAAAACGGTGGCTGGAAACCATATTCAATATCAATATCCATAGCTCCAAGGTGTGGACACTTCAGTACAAAATTATACAAAATGGAATACGGGGGCAAAATAGAAACCGAGGTCTAGTATTGTGGAACTAGACATTCTTTTTCGGAAAAATTCAAGAAAATTAGAATTGAAGTTGCAAGAAAAGGATCAAGATCATGCTGAATGGAGTAAAATTGTGACATTTTAGATAAAGTTTGGGCAAATTAATCACATTTTCAGGCCATGCTGGGAATGGCGTGCGATCGCACGCCCACGCCTTGGCACACGCCTTCCGTTGCTCAGAAGTGCAGTTTATCGCACGCCTTAAATAATCTGAACACTTTATTCTAAAGTGACCAGTATGGCCCAATGTAATTTTTTTATCATAATTCAACTATGAACGAAAGGTGATAATCACGCAATCGTTTCTATTTGATTTCTACTTGACGAAAAATTTGGCGAATATTCTAATTTGCTTAAAGTTATGGTAAACATTTTCTGGATGAAAACATCCACTTCTCAATTTCTTCAGATTCTAGTAGCCGGACTTTCAAGGCACACAATGATACCATGTCTAAAACTAACAGAAGTTTTGAAAGTGGCGAAAAACTCCTGTAAACGAAGATTTCCATAATTTTTTTATCAAAGTTTTGAGTTGAGGTCTGAAAATCGCTCGACCTTTTAGGCCGATAATCCTTGCTTTGCAGTTGTGGTCGCTTGTCTCATTTGCAATAACTGCAGTGGAATCACGATATAAGGAACCCCGGATATAACGAACTTCCCGGTATAACAAACTAAATGCCTGGTCCCTTGGATTCTGCGTAACAAACTCCTTACAAATTCTCTCGGTATAACAAACCCCGGATATAACGAACTCTCGTTATCACGAACCATTTTTAGGTCCCTTCATCATAATTACCCTTGATATAACGAATTTTTATAAATTTTTCATCTGTTATTTTTGTTTATTTATTTTCGGTGTTTATTTATCACTTTCTCTTGGGGAGAAATCATTGTTATAATCGGCAAAACATGCCGATGATACATTTCAAGTACTGGCTGATAGACTCAGACCACAAGATGAAAGTTTGATTGCGTCAGAAATTACTGCAAATGAGTACATTGACACTACTGAATACCTTTTTACATATGAGACATTGGCAATGAGAGACGACAAAACTTTATTGAGAGACCCAGATGGAGAAGCAGAAAAAGACAAATAAGAATGTGAAGTAATTGAAGACATCATTCAGGCACCAACTAGGAGCGAAGTGATACCAGCTTTGCCAATCTCTTGGTCCCAAGTTATAAAAGGAACATTAAGATTTTCATTTTCAATGACCAGCCAGTTGTATTATTTGAATTCAGATTGGGTTTTTTTAGTTAAATGGTACATGTATGGCTGTACATGTGCACAGAGGTTGGAGATAGCCTAAACAAGCCCACAACAGGTTTTTTAGGCGTGAACTGCGAAAGGACCCCCAAAAAACGTTATCTCTCGGTTTAACAAACTCCCGATATACGAAATATTTTCTGGTTCCCTTCAGAGTTCGTTATATTGGGATTCCACTGTAGTTACAACCCCATGGCACATGTAAGGCTTTGTTTATTTAGACAGGCTTATTGATCTTTAAGCTTTAAATGATTTGAACCGGATTACACTGTGGTTTACGAGTGTATCTTGCAAGTGCGATCAGTAAAATCCCGTTTTCTCAGGACTCACAATTCCTCTATATACAGTTTACTTTATGTGCATTTTTCTAATCTGTATGCAAATACAAAACATTTTAGAAACTTTTACTAATAAAATGTGGGCAAAAATGTTCCAAAATTAAGAGACTTTGAATTGTGAGGATTTAGCTACTATAGCTTTCTTACAAAATATAAACGTGCAATTAACCATTTAATTCGTTCTAACATTAGTCAACAGATAAGTTTTCTTTATGGTGAAAACACAGTTAGAATTCTTAAATTTTGAGAACAAGATTGTCAGGAGAAGCAGACCAGAAGGGTTTATAAACTGCAGGATTACATATTAATTAACCTACCTTATTGTTAATGTTTTTCTCTTTAATATGTTGGGTTTGACGTTAATAAAGCTTGTTTGATAAAATGTATTGATTGGACTAGCCTTGCTTATGTTTTCTTATGATAAAGTTATGTAGTCTAGTCCTTATACAGCTGACTGTATTATTAAGTACTTTGGTGCAATAGCACACCATTGCACGCCTTGGCACCACAAGGAGTGCGATTCATTGCACCCCTGCCATTTTATTCCCAGCATGGCCTGCATTTTACTAACCTAATTTCATTAGCAACTTTCAGCAATTTTTATGGACCAATAACACCCAGGGCTGTAATGGGGTAAAGCACCCTGAAACCAGTGGACATTTCGGCTAGATCCACGTCAGGACACAAGGTTTAACTTTATGTTGGAAACCAACTGAGTTCTGTGCACCAAGGAACTCATTTTTGATCTCCCTGTGGTATAGTTTTAAGCTGCAAAGAATGCTTGTCATCGCTTCCAACTTATCCAGTAATTTTGTTTGTGAATAAAGTAGAAGGTGTATTGGTATCTTGAATAATCCAAAAAAGCCAACCCTTTCCAGATATTTTCAAACTGTTACCATGAATCATTCTTTCCGTTCTCAGTTTTGCACTTTGGAGCACTCAAGCTAACTTTTTCATAGCATGTAATGTTAGGAGATTCCTTAAACATATCATGGTCAAGATTTTGGTAGATACCAAAGATTTTGCTGAGAGAGTTAGATAGCCCTTTTTATCTCTAAAATTGTTCAAAGTCATTTTGTCATAATATGGTTCCATTCCCACTGTTTGAACCTCATTTCTTCCATGTGCCTCTAATTTTTTTCAGAAACATCTACATTCTAGATTCCCCATCAGAAGTCCTTTTAACATCCAGCTGTCAATAAATAATTTTTTAAGAGAAATTAACAGGTTATCAACATATTCCTTTTTTCAATCTTCATGTAGTTTTTTTTCCAGGATTTGTGAAAAGCGAACAGATTTTGATTTTTGTGAACTGAATTGTGTTTTTTTCCTTTCCAGCCTGGTACAATGGCTTAGTCACAGCAAGAAAGAGTAAGCACTTCTTTGATATAATCTATTCTATGATTAGAAATATGTATTTTGTTGGAAAGTATAAAATTATTTGCAGTTAGATATTCAATCTCCACTTCTAACGAGAATGGTTTTCAGTTGATTACGGATAACAAAGTAATTACAAAAGTACTCAGCAAATTTTACATTGACTTGAATACTTTTATTCTAATTTCATGTAGAACAACTGATATAAATCCTATTACATACTCACACTTATTAGTTAGCCAGTTTCTTATTTGTTTAGTTTTGTTCAGTTTGCGTATGTTTCAAGCTTTGCTTGTACCATTTTTGAAATGAGTTAATAGGCATATTCCAATTTCTGATTTATTTATGTTATTTTTTCCAGGATTTGTGAATTATGCAAACACAAATTTGTTTTTAAACCAAGTAAGTGTTTTTCTAAAGTATTCTGCATTCTTTTTAGACTTGTGTTAATACACTTGTGATGATATTGATAATTTTTGTCAACAATTGCAAAATGATAAGCTTTACCCATAGTTCTTTGCATTGATATTAATCCCAAATATTCAGACAAACTTAGTAGATCAAAGTATATCTATTATCTTTGAAATATGGTTTTTATTTTTCATGCAATTTGTTTACTAGTTGCCAGCATAAACATCTCAGCACAGCAAAGGTTTTTCTGCTCTACTTTTGTTTTGCTAAGAAATTTATGTTTAAAATTCATTTCCTCTTCTCTGATAAAGTTTCAGCTTTACCTTTTTAAGCCATTTTTCCCCAAGGATTTACTGTATTTTGTTCACTGATGTGTTTTGAAATTGTTTGCAGCTCAGTTATTTTGTTGGGTGATTTTTTTTATTCATTTCTAAATCTGAATTTTTTCCTTACCAGTCTTAGGCCTTATCAGACATTTATACTCTGAGAAAATGTCTCAAAAATGTCTTTACTGTGCTATCTTCAAATTTTGTGTTACAAAATAATTATAAAAAATTTGTTTGTCTGCTCTACTTTTTGTAATGCATTACTTTCTCTTTTTTAATAGTTTATGCACCTGATATGCCACATACATTACCAGTGACAGAATTTGTAACTGGTCTTGGCAAAAATCTCGGAAAAGCTTTGCAGTATTGGTTTCATTATACTCTGGTGGCCATTGCCTGGCTTGGGGTTGTACCACTCACATCTTGTAAGTGTTTGTGATTTGTTTATGTCTGTTTCCATCCATTGCACTGCATGTAATTTTTATAAAATGCTAGTAACCAAACTTCCAGAAACGTGGAAATTGGGCTCATCAGATTTGGACAAGATGGTTTTGCAGATACCTTTATCAATTTTCATTTGTATTGACACTTTGGGAAAGCCACCAAAATGCTTTCAATTTTTTACATGCCACCAGGATGAAGAAAAGTTGAGGAAAAGAAAACTATTTTCTGACATTTCTACTTCCTCTCTAGAGCATGTGGATTTGTCTCACCATCACAACATTCAACAATTTCCATTTGGATTACTGTTCTCATATTTAGGGTGTAATGCCCCAAAATTTTCCATGTGCTTACTTGACAAAATCCAATCAAACGCCATTAACCTTATCAACAACTGCAACTTCACAAATTCTCTTCAACTTCTTTCTCATCAGTGATGTGTCATAGTCTCTCAATTTTTTACAGATTTTACCACATCCCTGGTCCCCTGAGTCATTTAGGTAATGCCAAATACTCTTCTATTCCAGTGCTCATTCCTTCCATTCCTTCCACTCCAAGTCTCTTTGCCAAATTCATGATTTCTGTCCCACAACTCATCCTTCCTCCCTCAGATCTTGTAAACTTTGGAGCGCTCTACCCTCTTCATGCTTCTGAGACTCTTTTTAAACTAAAACTAACAAGCTGGATCTTTCCTCTCTCTCTTAAGAAACTCTCTTTTCTTTCCCTTGATAGGGGTTCCACTATGGGCTCCCAGGCCTTTCCGTAACATCAACAACTAACAAAAAATTATTTATTTATTTAGGAATAAGTACTGTAGGAATACCGGAATAAGTCATTGTTTTTAGTGTTGATGAAAAGTAAGCAACATTTAGGGCAGGAAAATTTATGAAAAACTTTGAAGTTTTGATTGACTAAAGTGGGGTTAAACGTTTCCAAAAAATCAATTATGATGCAAGTGGGTATCCCAGCATATCTTGGATCGAAGTAATATATTAGTAACTTAAGTAATTTACTTTGCATTCCTAAAAGTTTTACTTTATTTTCAGATAATTTACACTTTTTGTCGTTTTTAGAAGTTTCTTGAGTACAGATTTGATCATGTTGATCATCATTATTTGTGTGTAGAAACAGAAATGCATATTCAATTGAAAATCCTGAAAATGTCTGGAAACTAATCTGATCTGAAATATTTTCTCGTTGTTCTAGATCGAATCTATAAATGCTTCTTCGCTGGTTCTCTCAGTTCGCTGTTGACCCTCCCACTGGACATCCTATCAACGTAAGAATTTCTTGTATCTGTATTGCATTAATATACTAGCCTAGAACAGCATGGGTTTGCTGCAAAAATTAAGGATGGTACATTGCCTGGCATAAGTCCTTGCGATGTCCTATAACCAATCTTCCTGTTTCGCAATTTTATTGATTTCTAGTCAATAATATCAAATGAGGCTTTCCTTCCTTTTTGTTGAGAATTCTGTCGCAATGAAATACTTTTACGGTTCACCTTATATCTTTGAAGTTCTGAACCTGATGCTAAAAGTTACCATTGAGGATTTGCAATAATCTACTGTAATACACCAAAGTTATTTTCAAGCGTTTATTTGTTGGCAAACTGTGGTAACATAGAGATAATTCCTTAATATGCGAAGTGTTCTTTCTTTTTATCAACCGACAACCAAACCTTCAGACTACCAGAGTTATACATATGCCATTTTTCTTATTTGCAAATTCAGTAACAAAATATCTACGTTAAACGGAGCAACTGGAGCCTGATTAGTCGGTAATTTTAGGGATACGCTCGGGAGCCTATAGCAAAGCCTTAGCAAGGGAAGGGAGGAATGATCGAGGAAAGGGAGGGGTGAAGTTTGATGATGGCATTAAGCGTGAAACCTGGAACCGTCTTGTTGTAAACAGTAAAGCTTAGAGGGGCATTCCATGTCAAGTGGGGACAAAAAATTGCAGTTTTGGATCTCAGTGTCATAGATTTCCCTCCTTTCAGAATGGAGCTTTGCATGGCCCAGTAAACTGGCAATTTTTTTGAAAATTTTCGAAGATTATCTACTCCAGATAATGTAGAATTTTGAGAAAAGTATTTTTCATCGCTAATTAAATGATAGGGTTGTGTTTTTCTACTAAAATGTCAATACGTAGTGTTAAGGCTGATTTCCACTAGACGAATTCTTTCGCGCGAATCGAATAAATTTTCGTAGCGATAGAGAAGGACCGTGGTCTACTTTCTGCGAATCGATTTTTTTCGCTGCGAAATTTGAGAACATGAAACCGCGCATGCTCACACTGGAAAAAATTCGATTCGCGCGAAAGAATTCGCCTAGTGGAAATCAGCCTTAACTTGTACCGCCATATAACGAATCAGCTTGGCGGCTTTTTATTGGTTGAATGGCTTTATGCTTTTATGTGTAGAAAAGGAGGGTTCTAAGTTGCTGCCTCGAACACATAACGCTTAATGTGCGATACTCAACAAAAAACCAACTACTGCAAAGTATTTATATCTATATCTATACATAAAAAATGTAAAAACAGGAGTCACTTTGACCCAACATGGATATATTTTTAATTAGATTTGGCCCTACCCCTGCTGCATATTAACATACGGAGAGGAACGTTCTTTGACTCTTTGAATCAGCACTGATTAAAACTAGGACTAATATGACGCCATGTTTTCGGTCACTTGTGGGTCAGAGGAAAGATTTTGTTTAGAAAGGTGTGTCATGTTCCCTTAACTCGAATTTTCTTAATCTTAATCATTTTCTCTTAACAATATTCATAATCGGTTCTGTTACAACGCTTCAATCAGTTCTGTAATCGACATAGTTTTCTCCTAATTGACAAAAATTTTATATTTCCTGTAATTAACTTAAATTTCAAAAGAAAAGGAAAATGATGCCATCAATTTAATTTCATGATCGTCCCATTTTTATAACATGCTTTAGGGTCACGATGACCATGCGACTGAAAAAGCACTTTTAGAATAATCAACAACTAGCAGGCAACTAGGTACGGGGTTGGGTAGATGTTAACTTGCCAGAAAAAGAAGCTGCAAGCAACGACACAGAATGCATTGCCTTAGACTGCTCCAGGCGCTTGATAAAAATTACTTCTTAGTAATGTTCTTAAATTGTTACTGTTTCTTGTTTTCCTGGTTTGCCTATGGCACAGAAGTTTTGTTGATGATAGAGAATTCACTGATTATATGGCATAGCTTGTATGAAGAGATTGTTTAAATATCTAGTTTGAAATGGTCTTGGCAACATTTTTTACTTACTATGGAGGGCAGGTACCTTCCGTTTGTTAAGAGTCAAGCAACTCATAAGCAACTTGAAAGGCTGCAACCTCGGATATCTTAAGCAGCTTTGATGGCTGGACCCGGGTCAGGTTGTCTATTAATTTAATTGTAATTGTCTCTGCCTAAACATATCCGTTGTTGAACCGAATGAATTATTAAACTGTTTTTTACAATAACTGAACTAGGAGTGGGGTCAAAAGTGCGGCACTATCATTAGGCTATTTTAACATTTTGAACCGAGTTTTTGTCGAAATAGAAATTTAATTTATCCAATGAAATTGCTAAGACTAACAGTTTTTCGTCTGGCAACAATTTTCGGCGGTATATTATGCTTTAAAGGTTTAAATGTCACATTTGCTAAACATTTTTCATATGGAATGAGGATTTATCCATGTGGGAGTGGGAAACTCAGATTGGGACTTGAGTTACTTTTGCATCGAATTTTCCTTGTAAACAAAAACTTTTTAGGAATGGAGTTTTGAGAAAATCCTTAGTTGATGACTCTTTTTCTTCCCTAGAAATGACATGTTTTCCGACTGTCTCAAAGGATGTTTTGTTGTTGGGTGCTCGGTGTGTGCGTTTATTGTCCTGGTTTGGTTAAGAGAACAGATTGTTGTTCATGGCGGCCCTGATTGGCTGGAGGGCCAAGTCGAGCCAGTTAGACAAATGAATCTGCCAGCAGCTGCCAGAGGCTGGTTTGCGGGTGTCTTCGGACAGGTATACCTCTCTTCAAACCGTCTTGTTCATTTGCCAGTGTGTCTTTACTGAAAAATGTTTATGTTATTGAGAAGGTTATCCGTTTAGATCACCCTTCGCACAAGCCCGTAGCCAGGCCTGTGGGGTAGGGGTGGCAAATTCCCCAGACCTGTTGCAGATAGACGTTTCAGCAATTTTTCTTCTGAAGTTTTTGCTTTGTTCAGCGAAAGTTTTTGAGCGCTAGGCACCATCGTAAGTCCTTCATGGACAATGAGAGACCCCAATAAACAATTCTCCTTCCGTCAGTATTAGTTTGACGCAAATTTTTATATCAATCCACTGGAAGCTCCACTAAAAAAATTAGAGACAAATAACTACCCCTTGGCTACGGGCCTGACTTCACATAAAGATTGCGTTTTGGTCCTCATCTTTTGCAATTTTTGGAAGCAGATACCTGCTGTTGATCAGATTTAGCCTGAACAGGGATGCCCGAGAGGGGAAGTGCGGGGCAACCACCCCTCTTGCCCTTTTAAGGGATAATAGTGCAAGATGAGGAGCGAAGCGGCCTTTTTATAGAATACCCTTATCAATTTTCCTGTTTTTAAAGGGCGACGTTACTGAAAACGTGTAAAAAGTTTTGTATGTCAGAAGTATGCCTATTTTCAAGACGCCTACAGCATATCAAAATACGACTGGCTCTTCTTCTGAATAGCTTCGGAAGAATAGCTGAAGACAACGTACCATTTTCTAAATTATCTTGTTTTCAAGCCTGTCCTAAGTTTTGGCTCTAAAAAGGTTTTTGGTATAACATAAAAATTATTTTTGAATAGCATAGAAAGCCTACCCAGGGTTACTTTCAAAAAACAGTAAATTTTAAAAATTCTCTGATACTCTGTAGCAGGTTATGAATTCTCACTAGCAAGATTAAGCAGTTTTTGTAATCGTATTTATAATAACGAATACAAACAAAATAGAAAAGGGTTTTCATTCCTACTATATAAATCTTGCCCATAGTATGCTGGAAACGCACAGAACTCGATAAAAATTGATACATAAGCTTGATTTTAATAGGTATGACATTAATTCCTTCGGCGATTCTACCGGGGGGAGGGGGGGGCATTCCCATACTTGACCTGACAGGATGTGCCGCGAGACCGGGCATCCTCTTTAGCTAAATTTCTGGGACAGGGTATCGTAATTGTGAAAATCTATAAGAAGAAATACGTGAGAACAGCTTGCTGTGCTTTTAGAATTTTCCTTAGAATGAGTATGTATCATTTGCTAGTGCTAAATATCACGAGATCTAGTATGTTTTACCAGAATTGTGCCGTATTTTCAGCATACTTTTATGGGGCAGGGTGTGCTTTTCGCAATTGTTTTATGTGACAGGGTTGTGTTGCAAAAAGGTTTTCGCTTACCCCTGACATTTATCTAGTCAAGTGCCCCCTCCCGGGGATTTTACCTCTCTGTATCACTGTTAGCGAGGGTAATTTCCTGGCCAGTTTGCACATCTTCTGTTTCATGATCATCCTGACAATCCACATCTTCCTGTATGATTATCCGACATCTAAGCAGGGGACATCTTCAAATCTGCTAGGGAGATGGCCATGCGCATAATGGTGATCAAGATAATGTGCACGAAGTCATGGCGGATCATCAAGCTGCCGAGGAAAACGAAAATGGAGAAGATAATGAAGAGGAAGATGGAGAAGAAAATGGAGAAGAAAATGGAGAAGGAAATGGAGAAGAAAATGGAATAGAAAATGGAGAAGAAGAGGATAGAGATGTTGAGAATGAGGTGCAGGCAGATTATAACATGTTCGTAGAAGTTGAAGTAGAGGTATTAGAAGAAGAAGAAGAAGAAGAAGAAGAAGAAGAAGAAGTAGAAGACGAGGAACCGGAAGTCGACCAGCCAGCCCCGGCAGAAGATAACCCTGGTAAGACTCCTTCACAGGGATTTAAAGAGTTATTATTACATTAATGGGGTAATTTGTAGTTTACTTCAGATTTTAACCCAAATGTCAAATATTGTCGCCTAATGTATTAGCAAAGGTTTTTGAAGAAGAAGTAAGTTTCTTATTAGAGTTTTATTAGACATTTTTTAAAGGGGCTTGCGTAGAAATATAAACAGCGCCTGCGCAACAGGTGCGAGGATGGCTCAGTTGTTAGAGGCGCTGACTACAGACATAAGGGTCCGTGGTTCGGGTCCCTGGCATGACCAAACTTTCACCCAGAGTGAGGAGAGTCGCCAGCTCTCTGTAATTCCAGGCGTAGGAATCACGAGGTGTGGTCACATCGAGAGGAAAGACCAGGACACTGCTCGATAAGCATAAGGTTCTCAGTGCCTTAAAAACTACCTTCGGATGCTAGGTAGCAACAAATACAAATACAAATACAAATACAAACTATTTTTGAGCAATTTCTTTGGCCTTTTTATGAGCATTTTGGGCTGAGTTGCGCACCCGTCTGGCCTTCTTTTGTAGTAAATCCCATCTGGGATCCCTGCCCCTTCATTATAAGACTTATTTGGATTATGTCATGATGATAGTGAAAATCTATTTAAGGATAAAAAGTTCTCGCTAATAAGCTTCATTCAATTGTTTAGAGACAAAATATTGTGTGATTATCTTGATTTGCTTCAAATATTGAATTTAGCAGCAAGAAAACATTCTCATTTTGTTTTACATTTTCAAGCGGTGTCGACCAATGCTTACCAAACTCTGAAACTTGAGAGTTATTTTATCAGTGGTTTTTCATGCGCAAAATAACAATAATTGTAATTCTAAGAATGTTGTTTATGGATTCCACTTTCATCAACGAGTATCCAGTGAGTCTGCCATCAAATCCAAAATATTTATAAGAGTTTTTTTTTCTCTTCAATGAATACACTACAGGTTGGATTTCATGCGAGCGCTCGAATCAGGATATTTTTACATCTTTTGATGTAATAATGGCTCGCGTGTTAGAATGCACGTGTTCTGAAGAAGACAATTTTCAAATTAGAAGTGGACCTCTGGATGCATGGCGACAGCACGAGACCTTAAATCGTTAAAAACCGTAATTCCTCGAACTGGTTCTCTTCTTATAAGCATCACTCGAATACGCCCCACCCTGATAGTAAAATTTTTGTATTAGTCCCTATCCTCATGCTCCTTTGCTATGACATCTCAGAAAGAAATATAAAATAAAATTTCAACTGAAATGAACTTGAAAATCACGAGAAAGCTTCGAAACGAACATATAGATGATTCTATAAGGCCCCTCCTTTAATTAGCCTACCTCCGAATGAGCTCTATCTAAAAATTCATTAATTGACGAGCTCCCTGTGCGCTATTTCGAGGATATACAGTATGGGCATGAAATTTTTTAAATCTGCAAAAATTGCAGATTTGAAAATATCCTTAGGCGTAAGAGAACGGTACGATTTTTATCCATTTTTTAAAAATTAATTTGTTGCTCTTTCTATGTATTTGTGAGACTTTCTATAACTTTTCGTGTAATGTCTTCCAATGAAAATTACCTTTGATCGTTTGTTCATAGACTGGAACTTGGAGTGGGAAAGGGCTGCAGAAGATCTCACTTGGGAGCGTGTATGTATTGCAAATGAATTTAGTAGTCAAGCATTAACGATTCCTTTTTTTCTGTAATGAGGTAATTCGCCTGTCTAGGCTTTGCTGATTCTTTGATAATTGTGAAAAGTTTTGCAGTGTGCCAATTGCATCAGGGCCTTTTCATAACCAATTCACCAGTTTCCTAACTTGCTCGTTTTAAATCGAAGTCAATCTGCTTGACATTGTCTTTGTAATAACTACTAATCATACACTTCCACCAGTCATCTCGAGATTTTTCGGGTCGTTGTTTATAGGTCTCTGAAACCGTGCATTTGTTTGTTTCACATCCTGCAAAAACTGGATGCTTAAAATCTTGACAGTTTTACTCTTTTGGCTGATTAGAAATTTAACTTTTGGCTCAAAATGTCTTATTTAGCTTTTGTGAAATTTAGTCAAAACCAACTCAGCCTGGGTCTCGAAAGACATATGGAAAGAAGAAGCACCAATTTGTTTTTTAATTGTGTTACATTTGATGGTTTCTATTCAGAGTCAATGCATTGATTTTAATTACGCATTTCTGCAATGACAGAAAAAATTTCAAAATTTAATTATAGTACCTTTTTGTCCAAACATAGAAATTTTAGATAATAAGCAAGCTTTTGTTAGAAATTAATATCAAGGTACAAGTCAAAATACCTCCAAAGAAGAATTTGCTTCAATAACCTGTTTATTGTTTGGGTATGATAGAATTCAAAACGTCTTAGTAAAAAAGACGCCCTTTATGACATATGTTGTTATGCACTCTCAGAACATTTTTATTTTCACAGTTTTTAGGCCTGGATGGATCTCTTGTTTTCTTGGTAAGTAGCCAAATTACGTTCATTTCATAATCCTATCTCTACTTATCTAAGCCAGATCTTGCTGCTGTCTATCGTGAAATGTTATGACAATTAAACTGTCTAATTTCAAGTACATTATGACTTAAAATTCATCTTTTATTTGATTTTTTTCGTCTATAAATACAGTACAGAAAGAAACGTGCTGAATTCTGTTTTTTTCTAAAGTTCAAAGGAAATTCTACTCATGCATTTACACGACCTTTTTTTCAGGAGCACGTCTTTTGGATCATATCTTTCAACACCTCATTTGTTTTGATCTTTGGTATGTCATGTTTCATTCTGTTTTCTATAGGTATTTAATCGACCAAATAGACTTGATGAATTCTCTTTACTTTGTTAAACTGTGTTTTATAAAGGTAGTTAATTTTTGTACCTTAGTGTAGAATACTTAGATATCAGAGTAATGTTTAAGAGAGCAAACCACAAACTGTGAACCAATTATTCTGCTACCCCGACTTCAAATTTCTTGTCATTAAAGCGGATTTTTAAGCTCACTCAAGAGTTTGTAATAAAACCTGCTTTGTTAAAGCCCTGGATAGGAGCTTTCAGGCGCCTGATCTTCTTTTCAAATTTCGCATATATAATTTCGATTCTCTCGCACAAGGGGATAAAAGGAATTATGTTGCTTGTTCTTTAGTAGTGAGAAATTCTACGCACTAGATCCGGAATATTTTACATCAATTTTTCATCATTTCGAATTTTTGCCAAAATTTTCAATCTTTAGCAATGCTTTTGTTAAATACCTCTCTACATAAACAAAATTGAATCGTTCAAATAATGTTTTTGGGCATCTTGTACATTTTGAGTATTGAGATGCTACCATCCTATCCTGCTAAAGAGGAGAGGGGACTTTTTCGAGAAGGGGGAGGCTTATTCAAAAGGGCAGCTTATTTAAAATGCGTCCTTTTTAATGTGAGGCTTATTTGACACACATCTTATGTTACTCAAAGCTGACTCGTTACTCACAAAGCTGTAAGAGTATTGAGCTGGATGAAAAAGCTCCCGTTTGATGGAATTATTTTTATTAAGCTAAATAAAGTTTATCCAAGGAAAGACTGAATGAAGATTTTCTCATTGCCTGTTTTTTTAAAACCAGACGCCATAAGAAGGGGGAAATAGATTATTCAATCTTGATGCTATTGAGGGGGCTTATGCAAAAAGGGGACCAAATCAAATTTTTTTATGCACAATCTAAAACTGTGCGAGTTGATTGACAACAACAAAGTAACAATGACGATGCCATAGGGAGCATGATAGGCATGGCTACCCATTAAACTTCACTATTATATAGATGTACTAGAGGCTGTACCGTAATGTCTCGAATAAGCGCCCGGGCGCTTATTTGATTTTTGAGGCTCCACGGTGGGCGCTTACTCGATGGAGGCGCTTAATCGAGGGGCGCTTATTTAAAAAGTAGATTTGGGTGCAAATTGTGTTGTTCATTAATCTTTCGTGTTGAATTGCCTTCCAATTATGTTTTCGTTGAAAATTCGAATAAGCGCCCGTTTCTGAAGGTTGAAGTATGGGCGCTTATTCGAGGGGTGGACTCTTATTTGAGGGGGCGCTTGTTCGAGGCATTACGGTACTACAGTTTGTGAAGGTCACTTCTTGGGGATAGCCATTTAGATCGAATGATACAGAGGCTACTGCTTAGATAAAAAATTTTAGAAAAAGAAAGTAAAATAACCTGTGCAAGAAGTTTTGATATTGTCTTTAGTATGCTATAACTACATTATCTTGCATTAATGCTAAAAGAAAAATAAAGAAGGATGAAATTCAGCATAAATTTAACTTGTTTGAAATTTGCTGGTGCTACAAGAAGCATTCTACAAGAAGTGCCTAATCGAATAAATGCAGTGCTAGCAATAAGTCTTAGGTTCGATTATAGTTGCAAGGAAAATAACAAAATAATAACGGTAAGTAAGGAAATGGTTTACGCGATGAAACATAATTTTTAAATTTTTTATCAGTTTTATCGTAAATAAGTCAAGAGCAGATATTTTGACTGGTGAAAATCTTACTTGGGTTTAGCCCTCTATAAAAGTTTAAGTTGTTTCGACCTTTTGTTTTCAGAAAATACTCTATTTATTTTGAGTAAAGACATTAAACATAACATCCTGACAGCCATTTTTGCTATTGCCCTTTATCTGGATTTCGAAGTTATATGTATACAATATTTTTCAGCATTCTGCCCATATCATATCGGTCAGTTTACATTGAGGGCGATCTCATTGGATGTTGAGGTGTGTTTACTTATTTTACTGCAATTAGAAAATTATACTACTTTTTATAGGAGAATTTGGACAAAGGTACAATGTTTTGATGTATTATCGATGTTTGTAGATAAACGCAATGGCAAATTTGTTAATAATTTAGCTTCGTTAGAGTTGCAATGGCCTCAAAATCTAAAGCTTTAAAGTATTACGACGACCCAAATAAAGTATTACCCTTTTACATTATTTTCTTAGCATCCTCGAACTTTTATTTCAACCATGTCTTTTAACTTTAACTGCATCCTGGTATATACCCTTGTTTTGACGTCATGTCCCCTTTATTCCCTTAACCTCGAAAAATCCATATGTGAAGAATATCCTATTGTATGAGCATCCTCTTATTTAGAAGACGTCTTTTTACTCTGAAATATTTTAACAATGTTTAATGAGCTATTTAAGGATTTGTTGTTTTTAGCAGACAAGATCGGAATTTTTGTATCTGCTCACCTGCCTGGTTGGTTATTTTGCTGAAGCTGTTTCTTTGTTGGTTCTTCATGTATCCTTATCTTGATTTTTGCAGAAAACTGTTATTCATTTCCAATAATATTTAATTCAGTCTTGTTTTGTTCTATTTGATGTGATTCTACCAAAGCCTGACCTGTCAATCTTTCCTAAATTTTATGTGTTGAAATTTGATCCTTTGTTTTATTTTGGAGCAGCTATTGGTATGTCTTGAGAACAGCTTTGTCCCGAGAAAAGATTTTTACTTTTCACATTAGGCAATAAATGTCAAATTCCAGTATTTGAAAAGCATTTTTTCCTAGCCACGCCGCTTCTTTCTTGTGACTGTCACGTCGTTTCATTCTATGCACCCGATGGAAGACTCTCAAACCTGACTAAGCAATCGTTGTTTCTATTTTTTCCTTAACTTTTTATGCAGTCAATCGCAGGTTTATTGAACATGAAAAGGTAAGCAATTTTTTTCATATAAGATCTGATATATTTGTCTTATCCCATTCTCCTAGTTGTTTCAGTGGTTTTGAGCAAATCGGCGAGTATTTGGAGCAGCTGGTCTGTAATGCTTGGTTACAAAAAGGCATACAGCCAAGCATTTGTAATAATAATGTAAGTTCCATTCGCAATGCCTTCACTTGGAACATATAAGGGATGACGATAAAGTCATTAGATTGTGTGAAAAATAAACATGACGGGCAGCATTTTCAAAATAATATGGAATGGTAAAAATCATAGTGATTGGACATTCTAGCCATTCATAAGGTAAGACAGCAATATCGAAGATTCATGTTGCGAAAAAGTCGTTTTTGTGGACTCATGTTGAGAAAAAGTCGTTTTTCAGAATAGCTGGCTTTGAATAATGCCGCTCCGTAAAGCGCTCCTTTGGGCATCCTCCAAAGATGCAATCCATAAAACATATTTTCAAGTATTTTCACGTCATCTTTACTAACGTTTTCTGCACATATCCAAAGGCTGTTGTTTTCACTAGTTGTCACTTTTGCTTACTACGATAATCGAAAGTTCTCGAACTCAAATTTTCGTCCAAAGTTTTTTTAAAAGAAATTTCTCTTTAATAATCTTCAAACAGTAACATTTTTAATGCTGTCTTTGCAAATATTGAAAACTTTGTTTTCTTTACCTACATATTGTCTCTACCTTTTTTAAGGATCAGACGAGTTCTTGGAATGTGTTACGTCGTCATAAAGGTAGGGAATATCGTGAGATCTGTTACGCAATGCAATAAACTTTATACCTTTCAAGATGATGTATGCTGTTCCAAGGCTACATCACGATAAAGGTAGGAAGTAGCTTGACATTATTCGCACAAAGTTCTAAACTTCCTTTGAAGATGGTGTATGCTTTTTCAGGGATAAACCGTGAAAAACAGGGAAAAGTATGACAGCATTTTCAGAAAATCCTGTACCTTTGTCGAGATGATGTATAATCTTTCGCAGTAACGTCATCATAAAGGGGCGAATTAGTATGATGTCATTTGCACAAAATACCAAACGTAAACTGTATGGTCTACGAACGACTGCGATGTAGGCTACAGCTTAGAATTGGGGGAGCTGGGGCTAAAAAGTCTACGATATTCCATTATTAATCTACTTCAAGAAAAATCTGGTTAAGTTAGGTGCTAGATGTACTAGTTTTTCAAGATACAATTCAAATAGGTCATTTTAACGGTATGATTTAATACCTTGTGTAGAAAAAAGACCAAAGATACTTTTCTAAACTTATTCATTTTTTTTTTGCATTCAGTTCCTCAAAATGTTTATTTGGAGATATTTTTTCAAGATTTTCAATTCATGTGCAATGTTCTTATAACCGCCATATATTTGAATTGTTCAATCGCACAAGGATTTTCTGATCTCAAAATTGATTTCTCTCAGAACCTTTTTACATGTTTGAAAAATAACAATTCCTTGTTCATGAATTTATTTCTTTTCGACTACAATCTTTTCATTTTAAATTTGTTTTGATTGAAAAAGGTTGTGCTAATAATGGTTGTTGAAGTTGGCATCTTCCCGTTGATATGTGGGTGGTGGATTGATATTTGTACCCTCGTAAGTATTTTTTTTGTAACTTAAACCAGATTGATCTATAATTGATCTGTTCGTATTATTCGATTTTAGGCTTTTGTCTCATTATTATCTAATTTATCTCGAGTGCATGGTTTTGCAAAGGCGTATATGTTTCAAATGTATTTTGCCATTTTATAAGAATATACTGCATGATGTTTATTTCATTCATTTCTTTGCTATTTATGCGTTAGATACTCCTTGGATCTTAAACACTATTTATCAGTAAGCTCCGAAAGAACACGATGAAAAACTTTCGGACCCTTATTCTGATGTTCTATGCTCTGAGGAGTGTCACACGAAAAAGCTTTTAGCAAATATGTTGTCAAATGTTTTCTTTTTTCAAAGCTATTTTCAAGTTTTCGATGTGTATAACATAGCGGATCAAAGTGGCAACTTCGTGTTTCACATTTAATGGGGCTATCAAAATCTACTGCTACAAATAACTTGATTGTATAACTATTACTATTGTATTACTCGAATATTTCTTCACAGCCACTCTTTGCTGTTTCGTTGAAAGACAGACAAGTAAGCTTCAGCCATGCTCCCGGTATGCCATTTTCTAATTTTGTACTTTCTATAATTTTCATTGTTGGTATTTGATAGCCCTATCTATGACACATGTTATGTTTTATCTTTAAGGTGTTTTTTGCGCTGATGCCATTTTGAGATGACAAACATAATCGTTATTTTGTACTCAAAAGTCATAAGTAGTTATGTTTTTCATCTGCATTTTGCTTTTTTGTCGCCACCTTCTAAAGATGTTGTGTATCTGATCCAAAGAAATCCTGGAATTGAATGTATAGAGAACATATTCTCTGAATATTCCCAACACTAATGAAGGACTGACTCTCCACGCAAATGAAGTCAGAAGTTGACTAATGAAGGATTTTCCCACTATGCACCCTACGTATTTCGAGCCAAAAATATTGTCAATCGGTGACAATGATCAATTCTGTTAACCTGATATTTTTTAATTTAATTTACAAACTAGGGGGCTCGATTAGGTTTGTTTTGACAATTAAATGCTTTGCCTTTTCCGATATGGTGTACCTGTATTTGAAAGAGGTCGTTTTGTTTTGAAACTTGGGAATTTATCCCGGTTTGTTGCACTTTGCAATGAGAAGCAACACGCCACCAAACTCAATTGACTGAGTTTTTAAGAAGAGACAAATTTAATCTAGCAAATATCCAAATCGTATTATTTGAAATAAACATTTGAAATACACACATGCTGATAGACTGACCCAATACGAGGCCATCTTGATTTAATTTACTTGATAAATGCACCTTCACAGCGACCTTAAAACATTTATGCGAGCAAGAAAAGTATTTTGAGCAGGAATCAGTTTGTTGGGATATATAAAGCCAGCACCGTCTATAAAAAGCTTATCTGTACTATCTCCGGGTAAAATACAGAACAGATACGGATTTCGATTGAAAAGTTTGGGGCAAGAGAAAAAAGGGTTTGATCGCTAAGCTATACCCAATACATGAGCTGGTTCTTGGAAACCCTTCATTGCTTTCTTACCCTATAGGAATTCTGAAGGACTGAGAATCTTTTGTTGATATGACGCGGTTCTTGTTACATTTCAGGTACTGCTACCTTTCTGCATTGGCTGGTCGGCATGCTTTACGTGTTCTATTTTGCATCATTTGTCATACTTCTCCGTGAGGTAGCTTTTTAAAATTTTTGTTGTTGTATGTCTTATGTAGGTGAAAGAATTGATTGTTATTGCATGTGTATATTGGTAATTAGCTAAAGCCATTCTGAATAGATTATACTGAATAGCTACTGCAGCTGTGCAATGTTCATTTGCGAGTTTGAATCTTGGCTGACTTCAAGGCTTTGCTTACCTTGACAAATTTCTGATTGAAGCTTAAATAAGCCATTGGCAACCAGTAAACACGCTGCCATAGTTTATTATAATTGTATCAAGAATAATCATTCTTTATATTTGCACTTTTTAAGTTGGCAAAATGAATGGAAGTAAAAAGAACAGCAGATGCGCGCAAATGATGAAATTATGATTTGCTTCCAGTAATTTCCGGCTGCTTTTTAAGTTCACGTGGCTGGGTGCCCCATCATCTTCTAATTAATATGAAACGAGAAAGAGTAGATGATTCGGTCTGATAAGGTGCGGCTTCAAATCCTAGATGATATTTATTTGAATATTTAGATTGTTTACTGCCAGCTTTCCTTATTAGTTTTCTCAAGAAAAAATCCATTGAAAGCTGTCGGAGTTCTTGTTCCCTTTCTGTCTGAAACAAACGCAAGCAGATTTGCAAATGTTCCTCTTGTGAACAAAGACTCTGTACTTTAAAACATTAAAGCGAATACTGTTAAAAATCCAAGCCCGGCAACAATATTCAAAAGAATTACAAAAAAAGAATCGGCAGACAAAGATTTGAGAACCTCGGATTTGAAGTTTTTGTTCTTTTGTATTTTTTGAAAGTAGAATTTAAATGCTAGCTTTAATTAGTTAATTGATATCAATTGTACCAACTGTAAACAATTTTTTACTAATTACAATAAAGCAATTGTATTTGAGTGATTGGATTATCAACTTTGAAGAAGGGCTAATATTTTTGCTATTGGGAAGCCAACTTTGGTCTGTCACTTCCTTGGTCTTAGCAATGGATAATTTGCTGGTCAAAAGAATGCATTTTTATTGTGATTTTTTGCTTAATCTCATTAATTAGCTGTCAATCATTATTTTACCTTGGGCTTTCCGTGATTTTATTTTGGCTGATTCACTGCCTGTTATTCGTTTTTTGTTTGAAAAAGCTTTCCTTCTGGAAACCATGTTAGTCTAAGATGACGTCATATTTAACGTATTGTATTCAGCCATAGAGTTAGGGTTCAGAGGTTGCTATGTTCACTGCATCTCGCTGTATACAGATTTGTTTCACAGCCTCCATAGCCATGTCTTCTGGTCTGGGTCTCTAAAGTTTGAAAAAGCTAATCGCTGTTTCTAGATCCTTCAGGGATATCGATTTTTGACATTTGATAAATACCACAAATCTAGTCGTGAATCAGATGCGCTGAACCAATCATAAAACAATGTGGACCAATCAACAAGTTCTGATTTTGCCCAATCAGATTTTCTGGTAGATACATAATGTTTGTCAAATGTCAGAATACGTTTTCATTTAACTGCCAAAGGAAGGATTTTTTGTGTTCATGTGCCGTAGGCTATCGAATTATTTCAAGATTGTTCTGGTTTCTGTCTTTTATGTTGTTTTAGTAGCAACACTCACGTGATATTTCCTTTAAAATTTCAGGTTTTAAGGAAAGGCGTCCTCTGGTTCCTTCGGAATATCAACGACCCAGATTTTCATCCAATGCAAGAGGTACTCAGTTCAAACATACAAAGCTTCTTAGAATTATTGCGTTTTATTCCTTACCATAGTTTGAAACATTGTTAGCTTGGAACACACCAACGATGCATCACCCAAGAGATAAGCGAATATTTGAAAATGTGTCCATATTGCGTTATTGTTTGGGATTTTACACGAATCAAATTTACAGTTTTCATATCTACTTTTTATAATAGCATCAATGATTTTATTCACATTTTCTCAGCTAAAGCAGTTGATTTTAAAATTTGTCAATATCAAATGCTATGGATGAAGGCAGTTTTCTATTTTGGGAGCAATACATAATCTGGCAGTATAGAACTTTACCCCAATCTTTCCCCGAAACATAGCCCCATCCGGTTTTAAAACTTTCTATTCAATTTTGAAAAGTGGCAGTGACACATGTTCAAACGTTTCTCTGAACTCATTGCTACCTTGAGAGGTTTCTTTCCTTTCTTTAGTTTGCCCTGCCCTCTACATTTAATTACTGTCTCTTTGATTTCTTTCTTTGATTATAAAGTCTCTTTTTTGTAGATGATCCATTTGCCTGTTTACCGACATGTACGGAGATTTGCTTTGTCACTAGTGAGTGAATTTTACCAAATGTCATTACTTCGATCAGTTTTTGATTAAGCGATTCATCTCCATTTCTGTTGACCAGTAATATTGGAAAGCAAATATTTTCCCCATTTATTAATAAGCAGGGAAGTTAAAATAGTAAGAAATTTAAAGTCACTTGTTCGCTCGTGTTTTGCTAATCGCTCAATTTTTTTCAAACGCATCCTAACCAACAGATAAGTAAGATGATATCTACGATAAACAACAGCCAAGGTCCGCCAAACACGATTATTTCTGTCCTACCTGTATGAGCTGTGTGAAATCAGCGGAAGCCGAATCCTTTGATGTAAGATGTTCGACTCACTTTTGGCTTATCCCGACTGCACTCATGCAGGGTTTGCAAATCTTTTGGTGCCGGCAACCTAACCGTAACCTAGAAAGTTCTGCTAACTGTAATTTTATTTTAAAAAACTGACCTTGCCAACTGTAATTTTATTTTTTTAAAAAACCCTGGTCAAACGATCCAACATTTCACCCAACATTTCGCCCAACATTTATCTTTTATGTTGGAATGTGACCCAACAATGGTGGTCAAACAATCCAACATTTTATCCAAAATTTCACCAAACATTTTCACTCGCAGATCGAAAAAGGACTGGGTAGAAGTTCGCGCTGAAGGCTGCACAGTTTCACGACATTTCGATCCGAAAAAACGCATGGCAAACATTACCTTCTCTTTTCATTTTCTCTTCAGATATTTTCACTGTCATCGCGGTCTTTAAGGACGAGCGTCGCATCCCCTATCAAAGCCGTGGCCTAAATTCTCCCCCCTGCGCTTTCTTGTAGCACCTCTGTGCTACTGGCTTTTCATTGACGCTTGATGCCTCTTCTTTCACACAGAATTCGTTATATTTCGTTATATTTTCCATAATTAAAGTGTAACTGATTGTAAGCAAACGCGATTGTTGAAACGAACGATACCAGCCCAAGAAAACAACAACGATGCGATGATTGAATTTGGCGCTCTTTAACCAACTGCGTGTGCGCAGAGCCAACAATGCTGGCTGAGGTGGTCAAACGATCCAAAAATTCATTTAACACTTCAAAACAATAGAATTATTGGACGTCGGCCGCCAAAATTTTTGACCCCAGTCAAATTTAGTCCAAAATCGAAATTTACGATGTTTGGTGACCCAACGAGGTGGTCAAGCGATCCAACATTTCGCCCAACACCATGTTGGACCAGGGCTTTACTCTACGATGTAGCACGTAAAATGGCCTCCGTCTTCTGCGTGTTTGACTTTCACTTATTTGCTTGCTTGTAGCCTCGTAGCAAATGACTGTCTTTTTCAAATGGATGTAAAAGAGACTCTGGCTCCAAGTGTGCTGTTTTTTGTATTTTCCCCTTTCCCAATATTTTTCGCAGAAGCCATTGCTTGAAAAGTAACTGTGACAATAATAACAAGGTTGTTCGCTTCCTTTGCATTTTCGTCCTTTCCTATTCAATCTTTCTGCGTATCTAACTTGTACTTTGTTAGTGACACCAAGATGCTAGAGCATTATTCCCAAGGTCCTAGTTTGATAGATTTAGGTTTTCAACCATGATCCATTCCAGTTTGCAGTTTTCCTTCTTTGTTTATTTTCACCATCGTGGTTTTATTTCACATGGAGTATATCTTCTTCGAAAAACCAAAGAGGTGCAGGCCTTGTTTGTTTAGGGTGATAAAAAGCACATGACCTTAATCGCACCACAATTCTTAATTGTTTTTTCAAGCAAGTGTTGATTCTAGATGATGTTTTGTAACAAGATACACCTGTTGAGGGTGATGAAAGCTCAATCCTTTTGTTCAAGAAAACGAGTTTAATGGTTTTTCCGGACCAATCATCGTCGCTAAGACAAATGCATTTGGCGTGACTTTCCCAGTGAATCCTGACTTCCCAGCCATCCTCAATCTTAAGTTTTTAAGCTTAGTCACAGGGCGTAGTAAGTGGTGACAACGTAATGTCGTTCTTATCTTCAAGCTCGAAGCTTTTTAACTCAAGCGTAGGGGAATGGATCTCAACTTAGGAGGAGAGACTTAATAATCTTCAAGTTATCCTTGCAGAAATGAAACTTTGCGAGCTGTATTAAGTCATTTAAATTTTGTTTTTACCCGTCTTTTCATTGTGTTGGGCAAAGTTTTAGACTTGACACCGATGACAAACATTCAATAGTTATGCAATCGGATGTACATATCCCTATTAACTTTCTTTTTATTACAGGTGGTGTTCGGAACTGCCATTCTAATTAAACTATGGGTTCCTGTGCAGCTCATTCGAGGACTGTTCCCCGATTTTCTGCCTTTTAATTACGTACTTACAAGGTATATTTTATTTTTGTTTGTGTGCAGTGATGCAACTCAATTCCTAATGCAGCTCTTTTGTTTTTTCAACTGATATTTACCATCTCATTATATACGACTTATTATCATCATTAAAAAGAAGTTAACATCAAAGCGATTGTAGCTTGAACGTGAAGTGGAATAGAAGTGATAAAAAAGGAAATGAAAAGTTTGTAATGTAGTCTGGGTGAAATTTCTAACGTGATCTGGGCATATAAGCAGAATTGACAGATTATAGCTGCTGCAAAACAACGCCCATCAAGTTTTTCTAGAGAAATGGTGTTCCCGATGAGAAAAAAAATTTCATATGACTTTGAGGGACATGGGTCCTATCATATACAGTAAAAATTCAAGACAAATAGAAAGAACTGCTTTGAACGATAAACTTAAGTCCTACATAAAACTATGTGTACTGCCTTCTCAATGTTTATGCCAGGTTTCGTGGTAGCATCATTTTGACACATAATATATCGCGGTTAGCTAGTGACGTTTTGAGTTCTGGAATCAATTTTCTATATTTGTCTAAGATTTGGTCTCTTTTTTTAAGCTCGATGACTAATATTTGAGCGATAAGCATGATGTATTGACAAATCGTATGATTTGATTATGATGTTGGAGGTCGTCTCATATGATTAAAGAAAATATAATTGTAAATTGGATATAACAGTATTTTATGTACGCCAGTTTTTCACATAATGGATTGGATGTTTACCAGTGGTCTTTAGCGCAGATGGCCGCCAGATCCCTTTGACGAATTCAATTTGCTCTGAGTAATTTTAAGCCTTCCTGTTTTTGGTCAGGAAACAGAACACTAAAATTAGCGGGAATCGCAAATGTGCCTGGATGATTACGTAGCTGGAACATTCTATTGCTCATTTATCAGCTGCTTAATGTTGAAACTTCTAATTTCTTGGCATGACTTAATTGTGTGTGTAAGAATTCCAGATAAGAGTTTCAGGGAGTCGGCTTTTTAATCTGTTTGCCATCACCTGTGAAGTTGCCGTTTTTTTTTTCTCTTCACTTTTTACAGCTGTAGATTTGCAGTCCTAACACATGTAGAAAGCGTCTTTATTTGCTTGAAATTACAATAGGGTTATTCGCAAAGAAATTCGAATCCTGTGAATTTATGATAACTAAGTTTTTGGTTTTTTATCCGCTATGCACTCTCGTTTTATAAGAACATTTTTATTAGAACCGAGCCTCAAAGTTATGAACAAATTAAGAACAAGATGAGGCTCAGCTTCTAAGATGCAATTTTGAACCACATTTAATCTCAAAAAAGGGGATTTTTAGCCATTTGTGGGTGCTTTCTCGGTGAATTTTCAAATTTGCCGGCAAATAAAGAATGCCTTACTCATTTTGTTGGCAAATAAGGCCAGAACACCCCTCAGAGCGAAAAAGCTAGCAATTGCACTGCTAACACCCTATGAATTTAAGAACAAATTAAAGGCAATATGTGCCACAGTGTTCTCAGAATCTCTTTTTATGGCCACGATATTCATGCATCGTTGATTCAATGCACAAATAAGCAATCAGAATGAAGAACCACAATAGTGTAATATCCCTGAGCATCACGAAGGGGACAGACTGCCTTTAAGAACAATCCGGCCTCAGATTTTCGAACGAATTAAGAACAGTCAGCCTGAACTTAAAGTTACTGGTTCTTATAAATAAAATTTATAGGGTGTGGATTCTAAATGCATTAAATAACCATCTTCGCTTTTATTGCAACTAGATGTCAAATTTTTGTTATTTTTCAGTGACATTCCAGTTAGCGAACTGCCGCTTGAGCTTTTGTTGCTACAAGTTGTCCTCCCAGCCCTTCTTGAAGAAGCACACACAAGGCAATGGATCAAGAACATTGTCCGCCTGTGGCTGGTTACGATTGCCTATTTGCTGTACGTTAATGTTCAATTACAGGTTCTGTTATTAAAACTAGTAGTTAATTCATGGAGTTGTGGTTGCATTTGGTAGGTAGCGAGATTAATTAGCATAGGGCGAGCGTTATTCGTTCAATGCAATGTCATCGTATCGGTATCGAATATACATTTTTGATAAAAGGAGAATTACAAAAATTATCAGTGGCAATGCAATACTAGATAGGCGGTGCAGTTCAATTTTGATATTTCCCCCCCGGTTTAATGTTGTTATCCTCCTCCAGTTCAATGTTGACGTCTCAGCCAGTTCAATATTGAAGGTATACGCTCCAGCTTTGAACTAGGTGGGGGGTTGAGGTTGGACAGTGAACATAGGTCGCCCAATATGAATTTTGTTGTTTGCCTTAACACTTGTGTCTTTAATGGATGGTCCTTAAAACCAACATTTTGTATCAAGAACTTTGTTCAAAAATGTCGGTACGAGCAAGTGAATTTTTAGTTGCTACGCAAGGAGACCTAATGCAGATAGATTCTTTCCTTTGCGAAGTAAACGGATCAGTATTCTGTTTATTCACGCTTTTTATAGCGACGTGGCATGAATTTTATTTTTGAAGCGTTGAATATTTTACTTTGATAGGGACTTGCGGTCATATCTGCTCGGAGATGTCCCCTTAGATGGAGTAGACCCTGCCATGGTATGTATTCTATAATAGTTTTTGTCACCCACTAAGAAATTCAAGGTTATTGCCTCAGTTAGACCTTTATAGAGAGATTCGTATTTTTGATGTTGTGTTAACCCTATCCAGACTGGACTTTTTGAGCTGCTAGAAGACTAAGGAGGGGCTCATTCAGCTCCCCCCTCCCCCACTCTAAAATCGTTGTTCCTTGGTTTATGTTGACAAAAATCACCATAGCAATAGCAGAGGTTATGATGTATCACTTTTTAAAAAAAGATGTCCAAAAAGAGAAATGACGTGATAATTATTCAAGACATAATGACAAGAGTATTCAAAAATAACGTCATTGTCAAAGTCACGTAAAACACGACTGAACTTTTGTACATAGAAAAATAAAAAAGAACATACTTATTATGAATATAAGAGGTAAAGACAGTAGCTAAACAAGGATTCTTGAAAAAGATTATGAGATGAACCTGAGTTAAGTGCATAAAAAATTTCTTAAATGTTGAACTTGACCACTGTGAAAAAACAGCCAAATTCCCCTCAGTATAATTTTTTTAATTCTCTCAATCAAATTCACACTTCATATAGATAAAAACTAAAAGTCAAAAAGCATCGTGCTAGTTGAGTCTACCAATGAGGAGCACTGCTCGATTAAGTAGGTTGGGGGGGCTGAAATACGTGAAATCTAAAGAGCGAAATGTATTAGACCTTTAACCGTTTGGCGTCATACACCAGTGAGCGCGCAATGCATTCTGGTACTTGTAGCTAAACCCACGAATATATTTTCTCTATGGCGATCATACGCAGTTCCATCTTTCAATCGAAAATTAACCAATCAGTGAATTTGATTTCACTCACGCGCTTGTTGATTGGCTAATAATGATTGGCAGATGGCTTAACCCACCCACTTATATCATTAAATTGCTTATAATAAAAATGAACGATACCGATATTGTTTATGCAGATACATCATCAGAACAGAAACAACAATGTAAACCATGCCGGTGCTCAGAATGCAAACGCTCAAAATAACCCAGGTATCAATTGGCAGAAAACGATTTTTACATCGTTTGTAAAAATGATTTTCTAACTGCTGCTGCCTCAATATAAGTTTCTATTGCCTGAAGTTATAATTGTGAAGTCATTAAAGTCTGTCTGAGGTGTGCTCAAATATGAAACTCCGAGTAAGACCGAGCATGTCCCATTTTTTTAAGCCTATTTGTACCGTTTCTACATTGCAGTTCGTTTTTTATGAGGAAGATACGTTTTTCAATTTGCTTTGGTAAAAAATTTTTATGAGATATTTCGCATTTTGCTTGCTTTCTTGTTTTTTTAAGCTTAACTGTGGTATATATGTGGAATAGTATGACTCTGTTTTAATACGAGATGCAATTTTCAAATATTTTACTTCTCAAAGAGGTGTCTTTATATTTCTTAAAATTGATTTTTGATATTCAATCCCTTTTTTGAAGGCAATGCTGGTGGTCAAATCGAGCCACAACCGTACATCAAGCCAGGCAAATTCCCATTTAGGGTAAGGGTCTTTTTGTCCACTGTGTCGTTAAAATGCGTATTAAGAATAAAGATATGCAATATTGACATTAACAAGACATCTACATATTTTTATATTATTATAATAAAGTCTATAAGAATATTTAGGCTGAAAATCACTGTAATTTAAGAATGAATTAAGAATAATGCAAGGCTCAAGCTTCACCAAGAATTAGTTTTTTTGTTTATTTGAGTCTTTTTGGAAAGCAAAGCATATGTGAGTTTCACGCTATATGCCTTGAAATAGACGTATCTGGCCTTGGAGTCAGTAAAACTATGATAAAACCCGGTTTTACTTTATGTCGCTTAAGAATAATTTAAGAATAATCTTAGGCTCAAAATAAAAAAATTATGATTATTGGGGCTCACCAAAATAACCTGTTCTTGTAAAAAAAGTGTGCAAAATCATAATTGCTCGATCTCAGCTGTCCATAGAGGATTTGACTCTAATATGATACATGGCCTAAGCCTAACGTTTTTGTAATACTATCTTGAAGTCAAGTGATTTGTAATAATAACATTTGCTAAACCTATTGTCTTCCCCTTCTCTTGTAGATAATATGCCTCCTGGTCTTAATGTCAGCATCAATGATCATTTCAAGTTTCGTCGGACTAACACTGCCAGGTAGGCCATTGGTTTTTCAACCATTGTGATTGATAATTAAACGACACAGTGTTGATACTCTTGATATCCCTGTAGACACATGACACGCAATCGATCACATTATATTCACTTTAACAAGTCAACCTGACCATCTGATTGGCACTTCAAGAACCTTTGGTGCAAGCGTGAGCTAAATCATAATGCTCAAAGATTTTATGTAGTCTTAAAAGGCAGCAGGGTTACAAAAGATCTTCTGATGTATATAAGCCTTTCTTACAACAAATACTTACGGTTGCAAATCACTTGTTTTTAGAAGATCATATAAGTATTCTTGCTTTTGCATTTTGAATCATGTTTGTTTTGAAAAAATAATTGAACAGGTTTAAGAAAAACAAAAACTCAATTCTGGTTGCGAGATGGGCTACGTTGGCACCTAATTCTCTAGAAGAATACACTCACTTCAAAGATAAAATTTAGTGTAGTCTATTGTTAATATTACAGCTTTAACGCGTTCCGAATAGATACAATTTTCTGATACAACGATCTCTTCTTTTTAGTTGCAGTTGGTCGTCTTATATTGTCACACTTCCTTGGCAGCGCCGATGTTCACGAGCTGTATACAGCTGCTACTGGTGTCTATGTCTTATGGCTGTGTTGTCGCATCTGTGTAATCATCGGGTTATGGCTTGCAATGGGTCTCCCGCTCTTTGTTCTCAAAGTTCTCAGATGCCTCAAAATAGTAAGTACATTTACAAGCATTATTAACAAATGACCAAGGCCCAATCTTGAATAGCGTCAGATGATACACGGTGCTATATATCGTGTATAACATACATCATATGTTGGGCCTAGCAAAAAACACAGACGCAAGAAGCATTGGATTTAGAATTCAAGTTATGTGACTGTAAATTGTATATAGTTCACATCTATTATTTTGTGTTACGGTGTTTATTCATTTTAGCATTGAAATCAACTCTATATGTTGATACATGTTGAAATTCCTCTCCGTAGGCTTTAAAAATCATTGTGTTGTCGACCATTTTGCTTGGAGTTGTTCCACTGCTGCTTGGTGTCATTTTCGAGCTGGTGTTTATTGTACCACTACGAGTGCCGATGGACCAAACACCTTTATTTTACTTCTGGCAGGTACGGCTTCCGTTTTGTATCGGAGTATGACGTCATCAAAGGTCTATTTTTATAATTTCTTAATTTCGACCACATAATCTAAAGGAACAGTGTTTAAAAACCTCTCAATATGCAAAGTCAGTTAAACATGTTCAAGATTTGGCGAAATATGGACAATGAAACAGAAAATGACGTCATCGTTGCTATACTGCTATATCGTATTCACGAATACCCTAACCCTACGCCTGGTCCAAAATACGTACGTATGATATCTTCGATAACATGTTGTGACAAAAAAAACGAATTTGATGAGCCTTAAGTCGAAGAGATTAAGAAAGAGATCGTGGAAAATAATATAAGTCTTTGATTCTGCTGTAAGTTAGGATTGGAAATGAGCCCTCACATATAATTAAGTAATAGGTTTGATTCCATCTTGGAAAATTGATTTTACAACTTTGTTTGGAGATGTAGTTGTTCAAAAATGGATTGAGAGTCAAATTCAATTTGTCAAAAACAGACATAAGGCCATTGGTAGTAAATTTCGTCTTTGTTCTCCTATTAGATTTAGCCCATATAGTTTGTTTTGAGCAACTGGGCATGATTTTGCAAGGCAATTTTGTTTGAAAGGTTAATTTGAAATTTGAAAGCGTTCCAGACTCTTCCTGCGTAAAATGAGCTGAAGCAATTGTAGAAAAAATAGTGACTTGTTGTTTGACTACAATTTTCACGTTATATTCTACAATGCAATTTAGATTTATTAAACCATAGCTTACCACGATGTCTGATCTTATTAAAACCGCCTTTCTCTGGTAGACAGGATCACTGAGATATGGAAGTGTATCTAACGATTGACTAAGACTATATGTTAACCAGTAACAAATAGGGAACTGCCTCTCATTAGGTGACCTGCTAACAAATTAACAATTGTAATGTTGGAGCCAATAATTGACGAATAAGCAGAAAGCGATAAAGTATAGCTAGAGGTTTACAATTCATAATACGCTTGTTTTTTATAAGAGCACAAAAACGCCGAGACTAGATTTTCCCAAAAAATAAGAAAAGTGTAAGAGCAATTTCAGCCTCAGATGAAAATTAGAAGGAAAGATTGTTTTTATAGATTGTCTCTCTTGTTTACAAAACAGGACCGATTTTGTCAGGAAATGAACCTTCGTAAAGATAATTTCCTACAAAACTATAATCTAGCGCTCTTAGAAACCATTTAAGGTATGTAGTATTATTTTCAGCTTAGAAATAGGAACAACATAATGAGCCCCCGAGCCTCGGATAATAAGAATTATGAGAACATTGATCCTAAGCAAAAATTGTCTGGTCCTCGAAAAAACTCTCGCGTTAAATTTGTGCCTGTATTTTCTGTCAAAATCTCAAAGTTAAAGGGTGGTTAACCTTGACTTGATTTGGTGAGATACAAATCTCCAATTCTGTTGTGTTGTAGCACAGATCTGTTAGAATATTTGAAAAGCGTAATTTCATTTTCATTTGAAACAGGACTGGGCATTGGGTGTCCTGCACACAAAAATTCTTTGCGCTCTCATCATGATTGGTCCAAACTGGTGGCTAAAGTCTGTTATGGAACAGGTATGGTTATATTTACCATCTTCGCATCATCGGTTATCATTTATCACAGAAATATGGTATCTTTTGCTACAACCCTTGCCAAAATTAACTGGAACGCCTTCCCATTGCAGCATGCAAATAAAAAAAGCAAGTCTAAAACTACCTTATCAAAATATCACTGCCGCTTCAAAAATTTCGACCCCCTCCCCCCGTACATTGTTGATTTATTTTCTCAATACCTTCATACAGCTTTCAGTGAAGAAATTTTTTACCTTCAGGATCAAAACAGCCCAATTGAACAACATTGTAATGGGGGATAGGGGGGGGGGATCTTTTTTAAAAAAGCTTCAGCTTTGCGCAAGTGTTTGGCAAGGACTGTAGGTATCAATTTGCTTTACAGGACCCTTGTTGACAGTAGTGTATAATTGTACTGAAAAGGCCTATCCTGTATAAACATGTATTATTTTTATTATTTTTATAATACTATTCTCGAAACTTCAGTTTAATGATTTGTGCCAATTAGTGGAGAAATTGTCGATTCAGCTGCCGCCCAGTTGCGGTAAAATGGAGTGTGATTTTGAAACGGTTTCCTTAGAGTACTCTTGTGATTTGCTGTACCCTCCCACTATCTAATTCTTATTGTTTGTTTACTGTTACTATGTATCTATGTATTCAAACATCTCCAAACAGCCGGCCCTCATCGACAGCTGTACCTGCTTACAAGGCCTAAACACTGTCAATTTTCTCTACGTTTTTAATTATTTTTCAGTGAACTTATTGTTTGCACCTGCTTCATTCTGCCAGATCTACATGCTGTTTAGGCTTCCCACATTTAATCAACATTTAAAAATGCTTAGCTCTGGCTGATTGTGAACTTCAACAGAAGTTATTGTAGTTGCATATTTTCTGCTAGTTTTTGACAGGCTGTTTCCCTTTGCCCTGTGACAGAGCAGGGTGGAAAATAATGCGTTTTTATCTTGGTGTACTGTCTAGAACATTAAAGTCATCATAATGAGGTCATTTTTTTCTTTCTTTATTTAAAGTTTATACAATTTCTAACTATGTATACTCAAGTTAATTAAACAGACATACTATCTTTCAAAATCTATTTAGCGAGCGGTGAAAGTTTCTTCCTTACAAGCCTAATAGACGATTAGTTCAGGATTTTGAGTGTGTTATTGTAAGGTCGTGCTTTAAACAAGGCTGTTTAGGACTTATCTAACTTGTCAAGATCTCTCTCTAAATTTAATGCATGCCTGAGACTTGATGTATGTGGCTAGAAGCGGCTATGAAGGTGTTTTGCACAAGTTCGTCTATTAGGGTCTTTTCAACATGGCTTTTATTGCCACCTCTTATATTTTTGCCATTTGTCAAAGTATCCTCTATAACATAGACGTTATTGCACGTCCACTCCTTGTGATTGAAAGCTTCTCTAATTATTTTTTCCTAAATTTGGATAACTTTTATATGTTACGACAGGGCTACGTAAAAAGATCGAATAGAGGAATCCACATGCTAAACTGCATCCTGTTACGGTGACTTTTACCTAGCTTATCTGCCCCCTTAAATTGCCCAATCTTATGTTTTTCCTTTTTTCATTATTTTCCCGGTTACTGGTTTGATTGTTTCTTGATTTTTCAGTTGACTTGTTTCTCTTTTTACTGTTGTTTAACCGTCGGCTTCTCTTGCTGTCGTTATTCTTACATGTGAAAAAAAGAAATTGCCTTTCTTGGTCATCACATTTGGTGAAAGACGAATCATCTGAAGTTTATTTTGTTATTTCTTCCACACCCAAATAATCAGCTAGTAAAATTGCTGGTTTTTGTCAGAAAACAAAAATTTTGAAACATTTAGCTGTCTTCTCAATCATCTTACTCGTATTTCACTTCTTGAAATACACACTTTCCCGCGACAAATGTTCTCAATTCCTGAGTTTAGTCTCGACAAATGTCTGTACCTTAAAGCCGAATAGAAGATCGCCTGTCATTAGCAGTTTTCAAATCGTTTTACTTAGCTGCTGAGGGAACAAAAATCTTCGCTTAGAGACATTCAGACAATAGAAACTTTAAAGATTTTCCTGTTTTTGTATCCTCTTTTTCCTTTCTTCTGCATTCTTTTCATTCTATTGTGATTGCATCTCTAGGTCTACTTCTTACTATAAGTGTTATGGGATGTCGGGTGAGATTATTTCTAGATGATCGGGGTCGCTGGTGGGATGGGCAGCTCATATTTAAGACTTTAAGACTTTAAGACTTTTAAGACATTTTTACGACATTTGTTGTGTACTTTATGTCATTTTTGCTGTTGTTGATAGAATGTCTCCAAAAACGCTATGAAAGCATCTCAGTGTTGCCCACTAATCCATTGTGCTTTATTTGAATATATTTAATTTTTGATTGGGATATTCCATGTGCACGCCGCAAAGTTTTTCTATTAAAAATTCACAAGGTGATAAAACGTTGGATTGTAACCAGAATTATTAACTTTTTTCGAAGGATGTATATGGATGCGATTCTTTCCCATTATATTTTGGTTTCGGGTTGTGTTGCTCCTGGCCTCTTCCTCTTCACTTAAAAAATGAACCGGAACTCGTTTTCAACTATTGTCCCTTTTTCATCATTTATCAGTGCCAGTACATAAACTATTCTCTTCCTCCCCCTTCATGAAGTTCTTTGGAGTAACTCAAGTCAAATAAAGCAATTATCAGTATTTGATCTTTTATATCGCATTCGTAGGTATACCAAGATGGTGTGAACAACATCCGGGTCTCGTTCATCATGCGACACTTGGCATACCCCGTCGTCTCCCAACTGGTTCTTCTTATAACTGCTCCTTACATTCTTGCTAATGGAGTTTTATCGATAATGGGTATGTTATTTTTCCAGTTCTTATTGACTAATTATAAATATGCAAGTGTTATCGTGGCTCCAAGTATCATACTGGAGTTTAGCGGACCAACTGTCTATCAGCGACCATATGCAGCTTTACAACGAGGTTAGCCTCTGGTTTACAAAGGTCTTTGCTGTTTTAAGCTAGAGTCAGAAAGACTTCACGTCCCAACGGCCACTGGCCGGAAGAAAATTGTAGAAACAAAATGAAATTTGGAAACTTGTAGAGCTTTGCTCTTGTACTGCTTTACTCTGTAAAATCTAGGCATAACTTTTTATAATTCATATACCCAAATTATGACATGCTTTTGTTATTGATTGTCATAAGCATTTAACTTTACATCGGTTTGAAAAATATCTATATTTTAAAACAAGCTTCAATTTTTAAAAACGCCCCTGTTGAACACAATTGAAATGAGGAAGGTTTTGATGTAAGATTTGCTTGGACGGAAAGGTTAACAACTTTTCTGGACTTGGTTTTAAGCTTGAGACATGGAAGTCTTTTCCAATTTCTTCTACCGGAACTTTTTACTTTTTGGGATCCTTCGGAAAGTAGTGAATCTTAAGTTCTTGCACATTGCTTCGCTTAACTAGCTTGGCTGGATATCGTTATTACAGCCTTGAACACAGCAGCTGTGATTTTGTTTTATACTAACTGTAACTGTTTAAACGACACTGTGAAATCTCTAATCCCGAAGGCAAATCAACTAGATTTTCAGCAAAACCACAGCCTTAAAAGGTTAGGCCTTGTTTTTCTTGCCCTTATTATCAAAGGATGCAAAAACTGTAAACGGATCTATTAGCCTCTGCTATGATACCATCGCCATCAAAAGCATCTTCATTAAGCTTGCTACTCTATATAGTTGGATAATTACAGTGGACCGCATTTGATGTACGATTTTCAAATCTATGCCGTTCTTAGGAACTATACTTTTTACATGGGGTGGCTGGTACCATAGAGAGATGGGTTCGGTATTTTCTAACAGAACACGACTGTCTTGATGATTTTCTGTCAATTTCCTAGTTTTGCAGGAAGATTTTATGGACATCAAATCATTTATCTTCCAAACCAACTGCTTCGTTAATAATAAACGATCCTTTTATGCTCAAAAAAATGCGCATGCTGAAATTAAACTCAATACTAGCCATGATTTTTATCGTAAAATGACGTTTGTTATTCATATCTACTAGTGTATTTTTTCACTTTCGAGGAAATTCTTATCGATTCATGATCATTTTTGCATGTATAAATTACTGAAGTCTGCCGTCTTTAGATCCCGAATCATTCCGCCTTTGCAAATATTTCACGGCAGTCGGTAAATGTCAAATTGAATATGTTTCGTATTGATTATGGGTATTTCAACAAGGAAGTGGTACTTGGAGGAAACTCGGTACCGATAGCTCAAATATTAGCTAAGTAGCTGAAAGTTGTTCTGGAATTGCCAAAGCGACGAGGTTAGCCTCTAATTTTGGTTTTGATCATGGACAGCATGGAGGAAGCCATCAATATCACTGAAAACCGGGTAGTTTCCCTTGCTAGACTATAGGAGGAGATTTTGGCAGCGTTTTTCGCCCAGCAACCTGGGGGTTTAAAGCTTGAACAACATCGTTGGGTTAACTTTGTACATCAAACAGCCAGTAAGCGAATACGTTTGGTAGGCAACTCAAGACAACTCTATACATTTGCCGCTATGCATGAGAGGATGGAATAAAAAAATTCCAAGACAGAGATGAGCTAATTTCAAGACAACATGCGAGAATCCAATGCTTACACCCTGATAATTTAAAAACAATTTAAGAACCCGGCTTTAAATTTTCGAAAAAATTCAGAGTAGCCAGCCTGAACTTTATTTCAATGGTTCTTATATAAAAGCAAGTGCAGCTTCAGTGCAATATTTACATTTTTGAATCCAAAGCGCAAACATAAGATCTTCCAACACTGATACATTGTCAGTCTCAAGATATTTGTACTCCTTTTGCCATTCATTGAAACCTTGCGAAAATATTGAAGAACGGGGACATTCACCAAAAGAAGGTATTCGAAGATGAATAAAGGTCTTTGAAAATGAATTTATCGCCGTATCGGTTCAGATACCAAAATTTTATGAAAATTAAAGGTTTCAGAAGATGCCGTTGGAGATCGACTAGCTATCAGTGGCGCCAATTTGCGCAGCGATTGAATCTGAGAGGATTATGCAAGTGCTTCCCACTAGTGCGCAACACGCCAGTTACACGTGGATCGCACGTGATGCAAATAAGAAGGAAGAACCCCTTTTTCAGTCGAACACAAATGTTTTAAGTTATTTAGCAAATAAACCATTTTAAAGGCTGTATTGTAGATAAAACAAGATCACACATTTCGACCCTTGTTGCATTTTTTGAAACAGCTTTTGCATTGACCTTGTTTTATTTAGATAATTTTAAAGTATGACCTTTCTAAAACATTGCTAAATTTTGCAAATTTTTCCCCCGTTTGTTTTGATCTGAGGACTTGCAGTATTCTTGGTCCTCCTATCGAGCGGATGATTAAAGTTTCTGAAATAGCTCAAAGCTTGGAATATCTTCATCTCCTTTTTTCAGTTAAAGTCTTTGCAATTTTAATCTAAACGTGTTATTTTCCTTAAATTATAGCATTACCGAGGTTTTTCTCAGGTGTACAAATAACGATTCTGTGCTTCAATGGAAAATAACTACAATCGATGTTGTTTTCTTAATGCTGTTTCCCGATTTATCTAAAGGCAGCTTCTACTGGAGAAGGACATCTTTCGAGGGCGGCTTCTATTTGAGGGTTGCTTCTATTTTTTGACAGTTTCTATTCGTGGAAAGGCCTCTATTTTGTTCCCAAGACTCCTATGCTCTATTCGAGGATGGCTTCTATTCTAGAAGATAAGTTATTGAAATTTTGCGAAAACTAATGAAATCAATACACTTATATAAAGGATACTAATATATACCATCCTAACGATAGTAATGAAGATCCTAACAGTGCACGGAGAACATGGTAATCAAACGGTCCATAGTCAAAGTTCCTGGCAAAGGCCAATGGAAATAAAAGAAGAACCACGCCTAAAACCTACCTTATTTTTAAAAAACTTTTCTGGACACTTATGAAAAAATTTGAGTACTGTTGCCAAAAATTTCTATAATTTCAATAGTTGATATGGAACGCTAACAAAAAGTCGGATGAAAAAACAACGTTGTTGCTGTTGCTAGGCTGATACCTTTAAGGCTGATACTCACTGAAATTTTTTTTAAACCCAAGGCTGATAAAACCAAAAATTTTAAAAACCATAATAATTGACAGATTTTTGAAAATATTGCTTATTTGGAAGCACAGATTGAGTGTTTTTGATATAATAAGTGAAATAAGAAATGCGAATTAGCTTCAAAATGCCCTGGGAAAATGTATCAGCTTTCGATGTTAACTCTCGAAACGCGCCTGTTGGAAGAAACACAGCAATTTTTCCCACTCCTAAGCTTGGGCGTAATGAATTTCAAAGTTTGATGCTAACCGACTAAACGTCAATTCGTGTGAATTAACAGCTGGGGACTGCATATTTTCCACCTACTCATTATGGAATCGCCATTAAGGTTGGTCCTGCTTCTTATCAAGGCCATGACTTTCATTGTGATGTAGATACGAAGCTGAATCTTCAGCTGAGTACCTGGCTTTCAAACTGCATCTAAAGGACCGTCACATGTTTGCAAATAAAAATCTCTCCATAATGGATGGTCTCATTTCTATTCGGAAGTTTCTTTGCTAATGTATCATAACGTCAATTGGAAATATTCATTGACAAAGCTTTAAGTTTAAATTATGACGGCCAGACATACTAAAGTACCTAGACAGGTTCTTTAAATGCTCATTTAGAGACGACAGAGAACTTTCAGTGCTAAAAAGTAATTTTGCTCCATTCAGGGCAGTTATAATTAGGGACAATAAATTCATCAAGCTTTAATCCAACTTTTTTTCTTACAGTCAGTTACAAAAGTTTTCTTTTTTTCTTTCAATCTGACAAAAGACCAGTCAATTTAGTCTACAAAAGCCAAAGTCTTTTAGAGCAAAATTTTTGAAAGGCATTTTAAATGAAAGGTGTCCACAATCGTGCTTCGAGCGGTAGCTATATCACCGTATTAACCTATAAAGGTCTTTCTGTTGTGTAAACGCGGATTCTTTTGTGTAAACGCGGATTCTTTTGTGTAAACGCGGATTCTTTTGTGTAAACGCGGATTCTTTTGTGTAAACGCTGATTCTTTTGTATTAACGCGGATTCTTTTGTTTAAACGGGGATTCTTAATGTGAACGCAGGGGTTTTTTCAGTTAACGGGAATTTTTTGTGTTAGCACAAATTCTTTTGTGTTGGGCGGATTCTTTTGTGTAATAGCGTATTTTTTGTGTAAACGCGGACTCTTTTGTGTTAACGCGGATTCTTTTGTTTAAACAGGGATTCTTAATGTGAACGCAGGGGTTTTTTTCAGTTAACGGGATTTTTTTGTGTTAGCACAAATTCTTTTGTGTTAACGCGGATTCTTTTGTGTAAACGCTGATTCTTTTGTATTAACGCGGATTCTTTTGTTTAAACGGGGATTCTTAATGTGAACGCAGGGGTTTTTTCAGTTAACGGGAATTTTTTGTGTTAGCACAAATTCTTTTGTGTTGGGCGGATTCTTTTGTGTAATAGCGTATTTTTTGTGTAAACGCGGACTCTTTTGTGTTAAATTCTTTTGTGTTGGGCGGTTTTTTTCAGTTAACTTTTGTGTAATAGCGTATTTTTTGTGTAAACGCGGACTCTTTTGTGTTAACGCGGATTCTTTTGTTTAAACAGGGATTCTTAATGTGAACGCAGGGGTTTTTTTCAGTTAACGGGATTTTTTTGTGTTAGCACAAATTCTTTTGTGTTAACGCGGATTCTTTTGTGTAAACGCTGATTCTTTTGTATTAACGCGGATTCTTTTGTTTAAACGGGGATTCTTAATGTGAACGCAGGGGTTTTTTCAGTTAACGGGAATTTTTTGTGTTAGCACAAATTCTTTTGTGTTGGGCGGATTCTTTTGTGTAATAGCGGATTTTTTGTGTAAACGCGGACTCTTTTGTGTTAACGCGGATTCTGTTTTAACGTCATCTGTTACTCAGGAAGATTCCTAAGGTAAAAGGCCTGAGCGACAGCAATCAACATTATCGTCCGAAATGCGCGTAACGAAAGCAGAACAATTATGACTTGCTTAAAAAACAAAATTAAAATATTAAGCTAGCTTTAGATCAACATAGCCATAGCCAAAGCGTAACTTTCAACGTTTCCTTGGCACTGTGTCTGCAATTTGTTTTATTTCCGTTGCTCTTGGCGCGTTTTCTAAGATGGTGATAGAATGGTAGCAGTGCAAAAGTACGGTCAAATGTTTTGCGCCGGTCGGAAATGGGAAAAGAATCTGGTGAATCCTAGGAAAAAATGCTAAGCGATAGAGGTACAGGTATGGAGAGGTACATACATGAGTTGAAAAGCAATTTCTCACGTTTTTGTACGCTCAGTAAGATAATGTGAGAACTTTTCTCTATTTTCTTACTGTAGATACTAACTCTTTTGAAAAATGTGTAAGTGCAGTAGAGTTTTGATCATAAAAAACCGTTATGTCAATCTAAGGTCTAAACAGCAATGTGATTATCATTCTTCGTCACGCGATTCGGATGAATCTACCCTCCTCGGCTACACTAGCTGTGAATATAGCGCTTACAGAGACTGCAACTCAAAACATAAATGTTCTCACGTGCGCATCTACTGACGGGATACGTTCGAACATGAACACGCCCCGCTATTCAGAGGATCGAAGACACACAGTTTCGGAAAGTTAATAATGTTAATGCTTTCTGAAGCCTCGTTTCCATATAGTCGTAAAATGTCGTAAGTTTGCCGCAGCAATTGCCGGAGCCATTCTCCCCGGCATACCGCAACCATTTTAGCAACGAGTTAAGATCAATGGGTCATTCAGTTCCTGGCAAGAATCAATTAAGGGGGTCCCACAAGGCTCTGTTTTGGGGGCCCTTTTATTTAATGTATTTATAAACGACCTTTTCTTTTTGGTAGAAGAGATTGAACTTTGCAATTATGCTGATGACCCGACCATCTACGAGTGCGGTCATGAATACAACATATTGTATCTAGCCTTAAAACAGATGCTCATAAGCTCTCTAAATGGTTTCTTGACAACAGTATGAAACTGGATCCTGACAAATGTCATCTTTGATTTTTTGGGGAGAAAAACACTGACGTATCAGTGCAGATTAGACAAAAACTAAATAAAGGAATTTGTTGAAGAGAAAATGTTAGGTGTAACGTTGGATAAGAACCTAGATTTCAAGAACCACGTATGTGCACTTTGTAAAAAAGCTGGACAGAAGCTGCATGCGCTTTCACGTATTTCAAGCTATATGGATGTTGAGAAACTGAGGGTTATGATGAATGCCTTCGTTGTTTCTCAGTTTAGCTACTGTCCACTTGTTTGGATGTTTCATGATAGGTCGGTTAGTAAGAAAATAAACAAAATTCACGAGAGAGCTTTGAGAATCGCATACAAGGATAGCTGTTCAAATTTCGAAGAATTATTGTGGAAAGCAGACACAGTGTCCATTCACCACAAAAATTTGCAGCTGCTTGCTACTGAAATTTTTAGCACTCAAAGGAATCCCAATCCAAGTCTCATGAATAAAATTTTTGTGAAGAAAGATACTCCATACACCCTTCGTAGTGACAGAAATATTTTAGCACCAAAACCAAACACGACAGGGTATGGTCTTGAAAATGCACGTTTTCTTGGAGCAAAGATATGGCATACAATGCCATTATCCTTTAAAGAGTCCCAGACTTCGAATAGCTAAAGAGACATTAAAAACCACCAGTTAGATTGCAACTGTTGATCGTGCAAACGATTTGTTGAAAATTTAGAGTTTTTATGATAGTAATTTATATCCTTTTTGTTGATAGAATTATACTTGTAATTTAGTTAAAATATAGCCTTGTAATTTAGTTAACATCAACGTGTATTTAAGTTTTGGTTGGCAGTAATTAGCATATTAATAAGCTATACCAGAAGCCAAACTAAAATAAAGAAATTATTATTATCATTATTATTTTTTATTTCAACTTAGCCTCTCAAAGTACAGCACAACTTTGATGGTTGCGGTACCGTAACGACTTAGATAAAGTTGAACCGTTTCAACTTTTTTCGCAACTACCGGCACAGTTAACGGTGTTTTGCGATACTTCAGGTCCGTTTGTTGCGGCACAAGATTCAGAAATTCCACTTGAATCGATAGCTGCGGTACCGGGAGCATTGCAGATAGAAAATGGCAGAAAACTGCCACCGGCAACCTTACAGCTATATGGAAACCAGGGTTTACAAGCTATGCTCCATTTCTGCTATCCCCAATGACTTTCTCCTTGTTACCCTCGATGTATCATCCCTTTACACCAACATTCCTCACACAAAAGGCATCAAAGCTGCCAGGGTTCACCTCAACAAACGCACATTAAAAACTCCCCCAACAGAAACTGTTTGCAACCTTATCGACATTATTTTGACAAACGACAATTTTGAGTTTAACAGACAACACTTTCTACAGAAACAGGGCACAGCAATGGGAACAAGGATGGCACCACCCTATGCAAACCCTTTCATGGGGACCTTTGAGTCTGATGATCTGGACAAATCTCTTGTATGGTGGCTTTTCATCGACGGTATTTTCATGATTTGGACACACGGACAAGACAAACTCACAGACTTTATCAATGCACTCAACAGTACCCATCCCACTATTAAATTCACCAGCGAACAATCCAAATAATCCATACATTTACTTGACGTCACAATTTCTATCAATAAAAACAACACCCTCTCCACAGATCTCTATGTCAAACCCACAGACACACACCAGTATCTCCTCAGCACCTCCCCACACCCCAAACACACAAAACAGTCAATCCCATACAGTCTTGCCCTACGACTACGACGTATATGCTCGGAAGACGAAACCTACAAATTCCAAACAAAACAACTATTACAATACTTGACAAAACGAGGTTACAAAAGAAAAGAGACACGCAAACAAATGCGGAAGGCTTCTAAAAAAACCAGACAGGACTGCCTGAAACCCACAAAACAACGTAAAAATGACAGAACGCCATTTGTTGTCACCTATCACCCCTCTTTGCCACAGCTATCTACCATCCTCAAACAAAACATCAACATATTACAGAACTACAAAACATGCAAAGAACTCTTCTCCGACGTACTCATACTCAGCTACCATAGACCTAAAAACCACCGGGATATACTGGTTCGTGCCAGAATAAAAAGTGACACACCCAATAATCCCAGAGCCACTTACAAATGCCCCTCGCGGCGCAACTGCATAACATGCCAACACATTACAGACGGTACTACTACTTTTAACTTAACTAACACTGACAAAAACTACGACATAAAAAAAAGACTGGACTGCAACTCTACTAACGCTCTTCACGCATTACAGTGCAAACGCTGTTTAACTAACGGACACAAGAACTGCCAATACATGGGACAAACAAGTAGACGACTGCAAGACAGATTTAACGAACACAGAAGAGACATCATCAACAAAAAAGTAGACAAATCTGGCGCTGCAGAACATTTCTGCAGCCCAGGACATACCATCAATGACCTCACTATAACACCATTACCGCAACTCAACGACAAACGAGTGTTCAACGAGCCAAAGAGCAATACCTCATTGGCCTGGCAAACACTCTGGCAACCACTGACCGTTAACCTTACAGCAACATTATATTTATTTCATATTATAGTACTTCATCCTCATTACATTTTAATTCCACTACCACCTCCTACGCTCCCTCATTCGCCATCCTCCCCTCCTCCACCGCTGCGCTGCATTCACACAATTCCACATCAACCAATCCGACGCCACCATCGCCTATTTTTAGTCCGTTTACTTTTTCTCTGATGAAGCCTCGTATGCCGGTGTGAAATATTAGCCTTTACTAATTAACGTGTATTTATTGTTATTGTTGTTCATTCTCGTCGCATTGCGGTGTTTCTTATTTGCTACATTTTCAACAACTTTTCGCCGCAAGAACTCCTTGGAGTCCGCCGAGCAGACTGCTATTGTGATCTTTTCTTTATTCACACATTTACATAGAATTCTCGTTGCTTGAAGGGTCAGCCATACGTTTAAGAGGGCTCGATACAATATTTACAAGCAACACTGTGGACAGATCACAATCAGTACTAGCGAGCATGCCAAAACATTTCTTTTAATCGTTGATCATTGACCGTTGATTGTTGACCGTTGACCGATGACCGTTGATCGTTGATCGTTGATCGTTGATCGTTGATCGTTGATCGTTGATCGTTGATCGTTGATCGTTGTTTTATTTTTACCGTCCTATGTTCGTTGACCAACTTTGGCCTCCAATGTTTTGTTTAAGTACGTTTTGTCATCCATGGTAGTTGGTAAATCGCCTTTTCCTGGTCGTTACGCCTTTTTTGAATTTTTCCTTAGTTTTTTCTTTTATCTGCCTTTCTGTTTATGAATGACCTCTTAGAAGCCAGCATTTCTATGCTATCACTTGTTCCATTCCTCGTGCCCTTTTTGCACCCGTTGCTGTTTCTATATCTTCGATTAGGCTACCTCTTTGTTATTTTTAGGTATTTCGAAGGAAGCACAGCTGCTAGCTCACCGCCGGATCTACCCATTCATTTTGATAATTGGCTTAATTGCTACTGCTCTGGCTTTTCAAGGACGCCAGTTTAGAAATCTTTACGAGAGAATCAAGAACGAAAAGTAAGTATTTAGAAACTTTATAAATCTCTGTTGATAAATGCTCTATGGCAGCGACCTAGTTCTCGTGCATTTTATGGTGATAGAAATGATCTGATTGCTGATCAGATATTGAGCCAATCTTTTCGCAAATGTTTATCGAGTTTTTGATGTGCTAACAGAACAGCTTCTCTCATATTACATTATTGCCTTGCTGGTCCCTTGCCTACTTGACAGCAGATCGTTTTGCTTGTTCTCTCCACTAACTTTTGTTTTGCCTTATTTACACCATTCATTAGATATTTATCTTAAAATGTAATTTTGTTGTTTTAGTACTTAACCAGCTTGTTTTGTATCAAAGCTACAACCTTTTACCTCTAGTAGTTTTTACACACATCCTTTTATGTTTAGTCTTATCAACAACTTTGATGTTTTAAAGTATCTCATTTCATATTTTCTTTTGAACATAGGAGATTAGACACGCCCTAATTCCTTTAAGCAAAATTCGATCCACAGCTTTCTACAGAAAGTGGGTTAAGCCTCTTTTCCCACAAAAAATGTGTGTTTTTGTCCTTCTTAGATTGTTTATGGGCACCTATTTTGCAAGCTGATTACTGTTCTTTTCAGGTGTCATAATCTATGCATTTCGGTACATGTCATTAGCAATTATGTATGCAATTCAAGCTTACGTTAGTAGCATCTTTGCGTCATTTCTAATGGCATACGTTACATACTGACATCAACTGTCGCCATGTAATCAAGGATGTTGAACTATTTGATGAATAATCTCATCATTTCACCGCAAAACACCTTGGTATCATTTCATTGACCTTTTGTTTCATGATCGTCCAGAGAGAGTTAATGATAACCGCTCTTTTAGTAGGTGAAACAGTGAAAACTTTTATGCTCGATTTTGTTTTAGCTTTCCATGTGTGTAATGCATCAACACATGATCCTAACGTTCTTTCTACGTGTGAAATTCATTTCTCATTCAGATTCTTTCTTCTACATCTACCTACCTAGTCCTAGTCCTATCTACCTATCTATTTACCTAGTCCTATCTACCTAGTCCTAAAAAGAAGATTTGAAAATGGCTTTGAAAAAAGCAAACATTCTAAAGCGTAGTGAAAGCTTTTCTTTCGTTCCTCAGAGTATAGGACGTCTGAGTAAGGTAGCGAAAAATCACGATAGAAACTATATACCCAGTTGTGGATCGAAATATGCCAATCAAAAGAAGATTCAATAAGAAGATTCTCAAATCTATGTAAAGCAGTTTCTTAATCTGTTTCGGCTGAATGAGAGAATTATAGCAAAATATCCTCTAGCAGTGTCAAGGACCATCCTGTATTGCGAGCTGTAATTTTGAAAATTTGTCTTGAAATTTGAATTTGGCTTCAGTTAGCAACAGGCAAAAAGGCTGCTCGAAATTTCATACCAATTCGCCTCCACACGGTGCTAGAAGTAAATAAATACCGACATTTTTTGGTTGGTCAATTTTCGAATAGTCGCAATTTGATTGGTTATATTTTAAATCCTGTTAAGTTATGTTGGAACCTGTTCAATAAACTACTTGTTTTTTCTCTTAGATATTTAGTTGGTCAGCGATTGGTGAATTATCATTATCCTTCGACCTCAAACACTGATGAGATACCTGGTGAGGTCAATTCAAGCACTGCTATGATGTAAATATATTGAGGTCAATCTATGAATGAATCACTGCTCCGAGGGAAAAATTTCTGACTGTACAGTAAACTGCGTAGCTGTTTGAACATCCGTCCAACGTCTAGCGCCTTTAAGATATGTCTTTTATTTGTTTTTGCCGATTAACTGATTTTTGTCTTTGACTTTGCAGTTTGGTGCAAAACTAAATACAGTTGAGTCCCGTTGAACCCGTACTCCGGACTTTTTGACTTATTCAATATTCAATACTATTGGGTATTCTTATTCAAGTCAAAAATCGTACCCCAGATTTGCCAAGGCGGATTATTTCCTTATCCCATTTTAAAAGTCTGACTTAACTGGATTCAACTGTATGCAATGGAGCATTTACTGCATTAGTTGTACTATCCTTCGCAGAAACAGAATATTTTAAAAGCTTTTTTAGGATATATTACTTTGCAAGAGGCCCTAAGAACATTTGTTCCACTTCAAATCACCTCGGAGGGAGAAAAGAGGTGCGAGAAACAAAACTCCTGCAGTTATATTTGTTGGTAAAGCTTTGCTTTGAGAATAATGCTTAAATTTGATAATTTTGAGTACTAAGATTTTTGTGTTATCTTGTGGCGGTAGATATTTTTTATTCCTTCAAAGGCAGAGAAGGAATTTATTGTGGATTCCTTCAGAAATATAATACATATACTAAACATTTCGATCAAGTTTTTTTCAAATTTTCGTTTTTAATATTTTTTCAAAGGCAGTTTAAAATTAATAAGTTCCTCTCGAAAAACTTTCAACTCGTGTGCATTAGAATTCTCGCTATTTTGCTCAGAAACTTCAACCGTCACAAAAATTTTTGCTCAACGTTGCTTTTTCGCATGTCGACAGCTAGTAAACCTACTTTTGGTAAAGTGATGAAGTGTTAGCATTCCAAAAGGTACCGATCCGAGCTGCTTCTTTACCAATGTTGGAAGAAACGAGATGGAAGTTGTGAAAACCTTTGAGAATCGCTTAGACTTGATCGCAGATTAGACTCCATCTAGATATTTATCGGATATTCATAGAATCTTGAAGAAAAATTTATGTTAGAGTTTTACCTTGACTTTAGGATTTAGCGAGTGCATTCGTTGTTGATGAGTTGATGTTAATGATGTAGCAAGCAGCAGACAAACAATGTAACAAGTTATTCTGACTGCCAACTTTAAATGCTGTTCTCAACTCAACTTGCGTTATTCATTTCCATTCACCTTTTAGGCATCCACCTTAGGGATCCTTTTAGGCTCATTGAAATGTCGGTTCAAAAGTACTTCATTAAAATGATTCCCTTTCTTGCGCCATGTTGCAGAAAGTATTTTTTAGTTAATCATCTCATTCTGGTTAAACATCTAGAGCGTTTTGATGTTAGAAGTAAAGGGACGTTTTGATGTTGGAAATAAAGAGGCATCTTCCCTCTCGCAAGTAAGCAGTATAAAATAATTTTGAAATATCAGCAGTCAGGAGTGTTTAGACCTTATGCTATGATAAATTCAACACTGCTCTTTTTAGAGCCTCTCATTTTCAAGTACTAGAAGAAACTTGCAGAGGATAAATGCCAGTGAACATAGTATTGTAAAGTGTGTTTTGGAAATTATAAGTACTTTCTTCAATGGCCCAAATGAAGTTCAGCTTGCAATGTTTGAATCTCTGCTCAATATCTGTTTGAACTTGTCAAAACGTTTTTGTCCGTAAGTACTTTCTTCAATGGCCCAAATGAAGTTCAGCTTGCAATGTTTGAATCTCTGCTCAATATCTGTTTGAACTTGTCAAAACGTTTTTGTCCGTAAGTACTTTCTTCAATGGCCCAAATGAAGTTCAGCTTGCAATGTTTGAATCTCTGCTCAATATCTGTTTGAACTTGTCAAAACGTTTTTGTCTGTAAGTACTTTCTTCAATAACCAAATGAAGTTCAGCTTGCAATGTTTGAATCTCTGCTCAATATCTGTTTGAACTTGTCAAAACGTTTTTGTCCGTAAGTACTTTCTTCAATGGCCCAAATGAAGTTCAGCTTGCAATGTTTGAATCTCTGCTCAATATCTGTTTGAACTTGTCAAAACGTTTTTGTCCGTAAGTACTTTCTTCAATGGCCCAAATGAAGTTCAGCTTGCAATGTTTGAATCTCTGCTCAATATCTGTTTGAACTTGTCAAAACGTTTTTGTCCGTAAGTACTTTCTTCAATGGCCCAAATGAAGTTCAGCTTGCAATGTTTGAAGCTCTGCTCAATATCTGTTTGAACTTGTCAAAACGTTTTTGTCCATAAACGATGACGTCAACCAGGAATATGGGTTGATTCGGTCCTGGTGCCATTGTTGCATTTATTTATGTCCCAAAGTCTCGTGATAGTGGATAGAAAGCGCTTGAAGGAGGTGCGACACTGTAATAGCAGATTGGTGAATCAATAATAGACATAGGAGGAACAAATTTCAAAAGTAATTTGAAAGAACAATTTCTTCGACAATGAGGAAGTATTATATAGAATGTTGTATAGCTGAAATTCAAGAAGAACTTCACTGGCAGTTGCATAAGTTTCGAATATTTTTGAATGAATAAAGAGAAAGTTTTATTTAATTTTTTATGTTTTACTGCGGGACGTGCTTTCATGACTGTGTTGTGTCTCGTTCGCATTCGAATATTGTATTATAATGATTTTCCTCACAGTCATTGTTTTGAACTAGACAGTGAACTGCAAAGTACATTCTGCGTCCATGTGTTGTTGTGCAAAGTTTTCGTTAGTTTACTGGCGATGTCTCTTAGTCGTTTATTGCCTGATGCTTGAAATTTCCAAACAATATTTTCGTTGTAGAGAATTTTAAAATCGCTTTGAAAGAGCAAACATTTTGAAGCATGTAATTAAAGCTTTTTGTCTGAATAGTCTAAGAATGCATTTCAGAGAAAATCTTCTTACCTTCCACCGATAGAGGCCTTAATCGAGTTTAATTTTTTCTTGTTTATATTTTTATTTAAACACTAAAATTAAGCTTTAGCTGATCTCGAGAAAGTTTTCTGATATCTTTGCATTTTTGTTGCTTTTTCTGTGCCAAAACGTCAACTGTCGTCAAACTTCACCATAGCTTACAAAGGGAAGCATACTTGAAGAGAATCAGCTGATAAACAACTGGCTAACCATACTTAACAAAAAGGCAACCAATCATATTGGTTGCATGGAACTTTAAGTTATTTACAGAATAACATAACTGTGTGTAAACTCATTTAAGAATTATTTGAAGTTAATGAAAGTACAGTGAGCGTACATAGTTGCACATTTTGATGGTCATACTTGCCTTTTTCAGAAAAACATGTTATCAGTTTTGTACTTGGTCGATGCCGAACACTGGTTTGTTCACATAGCGTAGTCTAAAAGCTATTAAAGTTTCATAAACAATTAAGAACACTCTAAATGCACTGTTATAGAGGATTAATTTTTCCATGTCGGACTGATGGATGTTTTCTGAAACAGACAGACACCGCCCTTCAAGATAACATACGCCTCATACCTTGATTTTTTACATTGATTTGCTTTTTAGATGAATTTTAGGTTGTCTTTCAGGACCATACATAATTTTAGTCTATTTTTCTCCCTTGTGAACAGAAATTGTAACGAATTTTTAACTCAGGCCTTTTAACTTAAATGCTGGTTGGCAATATGGCCTAACGGTGCTTTGAAACCTGGCCAGCACAACTGCTAGCTAACTTGCTAAGAGACCGTAATGAGACGACACACTATTATCCTGTTTGAGAACCTCGATAAAACAAGCAGTTTGGTTCATCACAACTTCAATAACTGTAATTATCAGATGTCAGTTATGCTCAAAAGGTGAAAACTGTCTTATTAAATTCATTTTATCGCCATAATGTCCTCAAGAAAAGGAGTAAGCTTTGGAGATAAAATAAGTAATAGGTGTTTGACGCTGACGGTAGAAATGTTTTTAGTCTTGCCCTTTGTCACAACTGGAACTTATGGTTGTTATACAAATGACGGTGTTATCAAATTATACAACTATAATATGCACGAGTCTTGTAATAATCTAGGAGGTTCTCAATAATAAGAAAATACGGTAGTGATAGAAAGATTTCGGTATTTTTGCTAAAATAGTAGATCAGAACAAAGATATTTTCCTGATTACATAACATAGTCATGAGAATTTTGGGTGTGTACAAGCTCCTTTTAGCTAAAACCCCTTATACGTAAGGTATAATACCAAAAAACCTCTTTGTAACTAAAAGTGCCATTTCAAACCCAGGGAGCCCTAAAATGTTTAAATGAGTTACCAATCCACAGCCACCAACGGTTTTCTGTGTACAAGTCCATTTTCGTCTTTTCTTCTTGATCTTCAGTTACTGCTTTAAAATAAATCGCACAGTTTCGTTGGTCTTTTGAAACTGTTTCCTAATGCACAAGAATGGGCATTTAAACCTTAATTCAGTTCATATCCCCGTGATTGTATATGCTTTTAGTTTATTTCCAACCCAAACGTTTGGTTTATTGATCACATAGCTTGAAAACACCATATGAAATACCTTTAAATTCGAAATCATTAAAATATCTGTCAAATTGACTGAGATATAGCAAGTAATAGAGTAGAAGGAAGTAAAACTGACATTTGCGCTGGCCTAATTCATTTATTGGAATCAGAACCAGGACAAAATTACAGTTATTTGACAGGGAAAGAGTCAGTGCTTATGCGGTCACATCTCAGCAAGTTTTCAACATATTTAGCTGAATTTACACGTTTAGAGATTTTTTTGATGCTTTTTCAAGCTATTTGGTTATTCTAAATTCCAAGGCTTAAAAGCTAACATTTTTGTGACGCATCACTTTCAAACTCTATTTTGGCATAGCCACATCTCTTCTAAAAGTGACAAAACATCTTGAGAAATGCTTAGCGTGGCTTGCCTGTTTGATGCCAATTGTAAACATATGTAAATGCACCCTAATAAATGCATATTAATCAAATTCAAAAGCCAAAGCTCATTGTGCATGGAGAGCAAACGTACACAGACCCGAGAGATTACGCGCCTTGTCAATTTTAGGTTCTCTTGGGATGTTAGGTAGGCCTTAAAAGGCAGTTTTGTCTATCAACTTCAATCAGAATACTGCACGTTGAAAAGATAGTAGTACAAAAAATGGCTCCGAGACCTAGCATGCACGACAGTAAAGCGTTCAAAACTCGGAGAGGCAAAAGAGCTGTTGATCTAAAGAAAATGATTCTCGCCAGAAATCTGAGAAAAGGCATCAAGAAGCACAAAGACAGTTATAAAGTTTATATTTACAAAGTATTGAAGCAGGTCCAACACGACGTCAGTATATCGTCAAGAGCTGTTGGTGTAACTTCAGCGAACGAATTATGTGAATGTATCGCTTTTGAAGCCAGCCGTTTGGCTCATTACAACAAAAGATCAACAATTTCAAGGCGGGAGATTCAGAAATCCATTCAAATGCTCTTATCAGGTGAGCTGACTAAACACACCATTTGCCATAAGGCGGCATGCAATTCAACTCCAAAAACATCGATGTGAACGAGCTATAAACAACTGCTTCAACTCCAGTTTGTTATATTCAAGACGCTTAGTAGCTGAAGACTCAATCTTACATTATCACTATGTTTGATAGTATCGCTCAGTGGACTCTGCAATTGATTGAAATTTGACAAAGCAGCAGACTAGCTCATTATTTAGAAAATTCGTATTAATTTCAAGGCTTTTGTATATTTTTAGTGTATTTATATATTATTGTTAATAATTGTGGTGTATTGAAAAATGACTTTATTTTATGATATTGTTTGATCTCATTTTGTTACATCTTTGCTGATCTGCACGAACTTCTTACTCAGGCCGCGGCCAAGAATTGCACCAACCATGATCATCAAATAAATAATAAAAAGGCCTATTTTGCTACATTCTAAATCTCAATTTAATGAACTGTAAAAGAAGACCACTTTATTCTTTAATAAGTACTTTTGTTATTTTCTTTTCGCAGTCAACTTTAATTTCCCAGCAATTCTTGCTTTCATTTTCTAGACGTATTTTCTAATTCTGTTGACTCTTCAACGTAAAAGATTTTTTCAGAGAAAAATAAATAGTTATTGTCGATTAGAAAGTTTCTATGGCCAGTGGCGGAAATTCAGGCTTTCATTTGGGGGGGGCAGGCCTACAATTTTCCGACAAGATAACATCTTGGATCATGTCTTATTTTAAAGAAACTGCCCCTTTTGATAAAAATATATAATTTTTTGATGGGACCCTAGAAATATTTGCTGACCACACCATAATAAAGTAGCAAGAAGAACAATCCGTTTATGATTTTTGATATCAAGATCTATATCTCATCTAAGGCAATTTATGATACAAGAGGTTACACTAACGACCGATTACAATTTTGACAAGTCGTACGTTCATTTTATGCATTTTATCTTGTTTTCGTCAGTGGAGAAAACGTTTGAAATAACTTTTATTCGGAAGAATCCGATGGAAATTTCGGCTGATTTTTACGGAATTGAAGTTAAATATACAATTCACAAGCAGTTTTGATATTGGTCATATATTGTTTGATCGATTATTTAGAACTGGCTAATATTTTATCAGCTATGCTATGTCCAAATTTTGCAAAAAGGGTCCCAAGAGGTTATAGAGGCCCCTGGGGTAAAAAGGGAAAATGCAGTTCACCTGCGAGCGAAGTGAGCAGAAAATTTGTCAATTGCGCCCTTGCGCCCTTAGATTAGCTTAGAATCCTTTTCCGAACGATTTCTTGGAGTAATTTCGACAAATTAAACTGTTGTCAATTATCCGATGAAAGCCCAAATTTTCCAACGACATCACTGATTGGGGGGGGCCGAGCCCCCCCACACCCCCATAATTCCCACCAATGTCTATGGCCTTGGTTGCGGCAGGATTCTTCTGAATTATAGGTGGGATGAAATCTGAAGTACCTCTACAAAATATTATACCTTTTCAAATTAATTTCTTTGAAATTTATCCTTATGCGTCCTCATGCTATCGCATAACTTCATAAATCGATTAAACCTTAAATTAAGACCTTATCGTCGTTTGGAAGATGGTTATAGTGCACACTTTTTTTTCTCCAGGTACCTAGGCCTTCCTGGCCTCTGTCATGATCTCCATTTATTTTCATTCTAAATGCTGTGAGATCCGAGCAGTGGTCTTGAAATCCATTACACCACAGAAGCGACTCAGCACTAATTGATGCATAGAAATCACGTACCAAATATCGTAAGTTGCTGTTTTCTTGAATCAAAGGCAGTATCATAGTCTGTAAGGTGAAATTGCCTCTTTTTTTCTTCAATTTGTTTTTATAGGCTACCTAAGTTGTAACAGGCACTGTAATCAATTTATGGAAATCAATCGTCAAGAAAATATAGTTGAAAGAGGACTTGGGAAGATATGAAAATTACGATCATGAACAGTATCTGTTCATTCTTAAAACTAATTGCTATTAATCTTTGCAGTTACTTTATCTGAAAATATCCTTAATACATAAGCTTGTTTTTCAATCAGTCGCAATTTTACTTCAAGTTATAAGATGTAGATCGTTAATGGGACTTTTTCATAATCATAATCAGATTGACCCCTTTCTAAAAATGTTCATTAAGAGCCATCTAACAAAAGCAATCACTAACTTTCTTTAAACCCTGGACATTAAGCAAGAGTTTATAAACCAACGCTTTCCTTACGAGGAGCTTTGTTAATGCATAAATTTACTTTAACAACCCTTTATAATTACATCACTCAAACTTCTTTCAGCTGTTGTTTCATTCCGTCAAATTATTAGAATTTGGTGAAATTATAAGCTTGGGTAGCGCCAGCTGCTTCTCTGATTTATAGTGACGACTGCCAAATTTCTCTGTGAATCGTCTACCTTCTTTACTGCTAATGAAATGTGTAATCTGTAAGATGCACAAGATGTATTTGAAAATGTATCCTTGCAAGCACCGTTGCCAATGTACGCAAGATCACAAATATTGCTTTTTTTTTGCTATCCAAATCGATAATGGATATCGCCATGAATACATGGCAATTCAATAAGGACCCTTTCATTCAAAAATTTCCATTCATACTTCTGTTTTATACCTTCTGCCATAATGTATTTTTTCCAATTCTTTACTGCGTTGCTACTTGTACCCCAAAACCACAAATTATGGATAATTACCCTTAGCAACATAAGAAATGATTAAATTCTATTGTAGTTAGCTGTTGTACCAATAAATTATCAAATTACCTTGATTTATTGGTATTTCCTTTGCCCTATTAATGGATACCGGCTACATTACAGTATTTCCGAGTAACCAGCCTCATGGCTCCATTACGTTGTTTTCCAAAGGGAGGTACTTTAGATATACTAACATCTACTGCGATTCAAGTCTTGCATTTTTCAGTGGACCTGATAATCTTATTTGATTATTCTGCTTGTAGCAGAACAGTTACGGTTTATGGACATTTTATCGAGAGAATTAGGCAAAAATAGCATTTGCGTCTGTCAAAGTACATTCAAGGGATCTCAAACTATCTCATTTTTTCTGTCACTTGAGCTGTACTTCAGCATTCATTTTAAGCCACATTTCAGGATTGCGCTTAGAATGGTCTGAATACATAGATATCACGCATTATTTTATGCTGCGTCGTAGCGTCGTCTAATCAGCCAGATTTTACCCTTCTGTCAGATGGCCTCGTTCAACCTTATAGAAACCAATCATAGCAATATTTGAGAGGCTGTGGAAAATGAACAATTGTAGTTCATTGTAAACAATTCATTAATATACTTTCTTACTTCTTTAGCACAGAAATATAAAAAGGTGCTGCTCGGCTGAACTTAGCTTTTCCTAAATATCACCTTTACCTTGAAAATTGTTCCCTGCTGTCGAAATAGTTTTATATCCCACAATCGTCAGCATTTCAAAATTTGCCAAAATTACAGGTACTCTCGCAGAAGAATGATGAATTATTAAATTGTCCTGTTCTCATTACGAGACTCGTTATATTCATAACAAACTTAACAACAACGTTTATTGCCATGGAAATAGGATACGATTGCCCATTGTTAATAATTTTCAAATTATCAAGTAACTGCAGAAAATTTTTTGTTGACATGACTTCATAGCTACCGTCTATTTGTGAATAACCGCTAAAGGTATTAAGTTAAACCTCTTGCAAAATGATGCAGCGCGGTGACAAAAGTATGACACGCTATCATGTTTCAACTATCGTTTTACCTGTATATTCAATTATATTTTTTGACTGGAATATCTGTATTATTCAGTATTGCTAGATTTTTATATCTGAATCCAAAAACATCCTTCATCGTTTTGTTAAATATGAAACATTGTGTCATTCTAACACAAAATGCTTTCTGGCCAAGCAAGAAACCTGCTTCTGAAGTAACTTTATGGCAAAAAGTGGCAAATTCAGTGAGAAAATAGTCGTTATATCCTTAGACTTGAACGCAAACTCGAAATATAAGAAGTTTTTCCTTCACCTGTCAAGTTCATCGTGGGAGAGCAGCACCGTTTTAGATGCAGACAACACATGTCAATCAAGCTTTCTATCACCTGTTTGACTGGGAAAACTATTTAAAGACAGTCTCATCTCTGGCCATATAAGCCGATTGTCCATTTGCACCCCAGCAGTCACCTATAGGAGCTTAGCTGGCTCGCTTTTTCGATAACTTGGCTTATGCAAGATTATCTTTTATAATCAGACGAAAGGCAGAATAACAAAAGCGCCACAATGAATCAACAAAAGGTTACAGTGGCTTATCTTCTTATAGCACTAAGTCTAATAGATATTAAGCAGCAGAACGTCGAGTGTGTTTTTGCTGGCTCTGGAAGATATGGTTACGGAAAAAAGGAGACAAAGGTTTGTGCTTCTTAAGAGTTTGCTCTTTCTTCGTACATCAGGTCATGTTGACCTTTATAATGAATTGAAGGCTATGCAAAAGTCCTTGATAAATGAATGACTGAAATTGTTGTTTTTTTACGTAGACGACCTGATAGCAGGAATATTCTATTTTGTGTGTTAATTGTAACATAAATGTAGAAATTTGATCCCAATGGTGTCAGTGAAAGCGATGGAAATGTTTTGTTTACTTAAATAATGACAAGTCATCAATCTAAACATGTTTTATTGTATTTTAAGAATTTCACGGTCTTGTTGGCTGGTTTCATGATTTCATTTCAACAGTTTGGATTTCCGGTCCTTTCGATTTCTGTAATTCATACACTGTAAAGAAAGATGCTTTTTTGAGTTCATAGAGAAGTAAACATCAAAATGGGAGTGGTCTTTTTACAACACAGGAGTTCTTGTTTGAAATAGAGCTTAACCTTATGTTACACTTGCAAAATGCGGCTCCGGTTATCGCCAGAGCATGTTTTCAGAAGAATTTAAGACACATTTTCAGCATGTAATTTGCTTGATTGGTAAAGAAGAAACGAGTAAACTTTCCAAATACCAACCAATAATTCGCATTAAAATTACATAAAACTTTATATGAACGCGCTAATAAATTGCCAAATCCTTTGTAAGATGCTCTATAACTGCAAACCGCTTTTCAAATGGTGAATTAGGACTAGATTAAGCTCACTAGATTCTTCAGAAGAAACGGCCGTTTCGCGGTATCTAAAAAAATGTTTAGATCGATGTTGCAACTATAAAAGAAGAGTGCTTGTCGCTACTCGTTACAAAATGATAGATGCCAATGAAACAACACCCGAAACAAGATTGCAAGTAGCATTTATACAGCTCTTGTCAATCTGGTCCATTTTTG